AGCAATGTGTACGTTATGTGCAATTGCACGCATTAGCTTAACATATGACTCAACTGTACATATTTTATAGTCGCCCACATCGTTCCATTAATGGTCTAAATGCTTGATTCACGTCAATATGTTGCCAATGTTTGCACACAAGGTGTTGAGAGTCAAGCTTGCGCCATGCCTACGTTGACACAGCGGAAGGAGGCCCCGCTGAGTATCTGAGGAGGGGGGGGGGGCAGGACGAATTCCCACGCCCTGTGAGCTGAGCCTTTCAGTTGTGAGGATATGCTTGGATTTGTATGATGATGAGCTTAGGGTGGACTCTGGCTGAAAATATATGAATTTTTAGAAGCAAGAAATTCTTTATTGATAAGCTAAAAATCTTTTTAGGAATTGATAAACTAAAAATCTTCTAAAGAAATGAGGTTGGAGTATGGTACTAAAAGTTTTAAAAGTGCAGTTTTTGAATTTGTAGCGGGTCAGCGGTATCTCAAGAAAAATCTAAGAATTAATGAATATTCAAAATATAAAGAACCGTTAGCTCAATTCAAAAATCTTCCGATAGCGGGAAGCGGCGGGCCCCGAAGCGAACACTCTTCCAAATAGCACTTTTAGATTACTGGTTCGCTAGTTTCTAATAAAAAATCAATAATATGATAATAATTAATGCTTTGATATAAAATCGTTTACACAGTATATAACTATAACTGTTTTTATATAACTGTATAACTGTTTTTTCAAACAGTTTTTGAACAATCTCAGAAATTTCTTCTACAATTCTTCTAAAAATCTCAATCAAAAATTAGATATTTGAGCTAAAATTTAGTAAAATCCTGCAATTTTCTCTGTAAAACTTATGGGAAAACCTGATGTAAAAATATTTGAGCTAGAATTGTAAAATGCTGCAACGTTTTTGCAAGCTTTTTGCGACAACCGAACAAACAAAAAATATCTGAACAAAATAAATTTGCAAAATTTTTGGGGAAATCTGACAAACAAAAAATATTTGGGACATAATTTGGCAAAGTTTTGAAAGATAAATCTCAAGGTTTATAATAAAAAGTAACAACAAGGACTTTTGAGTAATTTTTCCAATATCACGTGAATTTTTAGTGAACATAAAATAAATAGCTCCAATTCGCATTGTCAATAGTCCCCCATAATCATTAATGTTCTGCCACCTCCCACTAAATCGATGCCAGCGAGTGCGGCACCTATTCAATTTTTATGAAACCAGAACAACAGATTCGCTAATGCTTCCCAATCCTTTGTCCCCACGAGAGAAAAGGGGTGAAAGCGTGGGCTAGTGAAAAGAGTGGGTTTTTCTATTTTTCGCTACCCATAGAAAAATTGAAAAGTGAAGAGTTTCCATAGAATTTTTCAGAAGAGAATTTCTGAATATTTTGTGCACAACCTTCAGGTAGCATGGGTTGCGGGACTTTTCAAAGTGGTACAAGTGAGTTAAGAAATTATGCAGAATATGTTTCTCATGGATACGTAATTTTACACATTCTGAAAAGAACTGTTTTTGATAGAAATATTTCTAAGCGGCTTACTTACAAGCCTCCAAAATGTAAAACTGGGGTTAAAAGTTTTACATCTATGTTTTTCGGGCGTTATTATTTTGTAACGCAGGAAAGTCTAGGTTTATTATTTTTGATGTTTTCTTTTGGTCGCTTACAATTATTAATTGTAATGTTTAAAATTTGCGCAGACTGCATCAGAAATGTGGTGAAGATAATTGCTTGACATTTTTGTTATCTTCATTTTGCAGTTTTCAGTTTGAACAAAATTTTGAATGATAAATTGTATAGCTTGTTAGGAAAAATTTTATTCCCCCCCCTTCCAAGAAAATCAGATCTTCGCTGAGTGCCAACGCTCGGTGTAATCAACGATGCAAGGAATCCGATGACGAATGCTCAAAAAAGCATTCTGTTGACAAAACTGAATTTTGAGATCCTGTGATCTTGACGCAGAATAGAATTTTTTAAATTTTATTCCGTTGGGGAGAATTTTTCGCGATCGAAAGAAAGGCAACTCAATTTTCTTACAAGAAAGGAGAATAGGAGGTACTAGCCTAGAAAATACCCTTTGATTCAACTGGCTTGATGGCTAGAAGGCGGGGCTTCGTGACCTAGTTAGGGTTAGGTAATCATCAGAGAGCACGCGCATGGGAGAGACGCAGGCAGCGTTGCGGGCGCGAGCGGCCTTGATTAGGTGGCAAGCCCGCTTTACAGCCGTCAAGCTAGTTGAATCAGAGATTAGTTGCAGATCAAAGGCTTTTTTTTTACTTTTTTAAACATACTCATTGAGTACTTTATCTTATATCTTTAAATTATTCCGTCCCAATTTTCGTTACATTGCATTACACTTTACTGGATTTTTTTTTGAAAATGTATTTTTGCTATGTAGCATAGCATAGTTTCATGCGGAAATGCCCTCATTTTTAGCTCTGATTTATTTATCATCGTTTTACGGCAATTTGCTGCAGCAGCTTTCTTTCACAATGATGAAAAATGCGAAAATTCCCGGACAATAAAAATTTGCCTTGCGAGTCAAAAAACCCTTTAGATTGCTCATTCTCATGGAAGAATGAACGAAAAGGTCGCAGATTTGCGTCGTGAGCCGTGTTACGCTTTGTCGAGCTGGTTTTCTTGCTCTTTGTCGCTGTGTACTTTGAAGGGAGCGGTGTCTTTACGAGCCTGTCGGGACATAGTCGTTACATCCCTGACTGTCAACTTTATTGCCTTTGTGAATGCTTGAGCAGTAACAAATGAAATTAGAGATAGAAAAGATGCTATTTTTCGATGGCAATTATCGGAAGAGAGATTTTCACGTCAAAAAAATTGATTTTTTACTCTTTGAAAGCCACTCCGTTGAAAAAAGACAATTTTTGTTTTATATTAAAAACCTTTATTCGAAATAAAGAACAGTCACAACGCCTATAGGTTGAGATTTTTCACCTCCTTGAAAGCACTAGAAAAATCTATCTACTTATATTATATATAAAGAATCGTAGTGCCTACTCAAAAAAAGTAAAATTGCGGGAAACCACGCGGCTCCCGCAGTGAACGCTCCTGCAAATCTAGCACCTTTGAACTATTGGTTCACTAGTTGGTGGTAAACTTTTCACTTTTCATTCAGCGAAAGATTAGTGCCTTGTTTCTTATCCTACGTTTCTTTTATTTTGAAGGAACTTGTATTATTCAAAGTACTTGATGCATTACACAGAAACTTGATTTTCAAGAAAAAATCGAATTTCACACTTTTCTTTTTGAGTTTTCCAGAACAACCTGCTCTCCATCTCTAATGCACTTGAGTGTGTAAAGATGAATTATACGTTTTCTTTCAAAAATAAATCATTGCATTATTTTCACAGCCATCGACGTAAGAAGCAAGGGGAACTCTTTACACCTGTAAATGATAGTATTTAGAGGAACTGCGTAATGGGCACCCCCCCCCCCCCTCTCCCATTTAGATGAGAGGAGGACTTTACAGCTGTTTTAACTCTCGAATCCTTTAGAAGAAACATTTTTGTTCAAAAATTTGACGGAAAAAGGGAAAGAACAGGTGGAAGGAATAAGAAAATACTATGATAGCCCCAGATACTGATTTTGGCGGGGTTGACAGCTGAAACTAAATTTTAAATACGATTTTCGTCTTTTTTGAAGTTGATCCATGAGAATTTCATAATGATAAATAGGGAATTTTAGGATCAATTTATTTAGGAAGATAGATATCTTAGAGCTTTTTTTTCGAAAAGATAGTTGCATTTGAACTTACTAAGCCATGTAGCCATTTTCCAAAATTTTTCTGCGTTTTTGCGTTTTTCTCAATTTTCTAACGAGCATATAGTAGCTCTGAAATACTGAAAAGGGCAATTAGACTGTTCTTAATTTCTTCGTCTAGCCTTACTATCTTTCCTATCTGTTTATTTTATCTCTTCACTGCCAATGTATAAGCTAGATGCTGGAAGCTTCTTTCTCATATTCATCCATGTAGCTTTTCATTGTCTCTAACATTTCCGGAAATTCCAGTCCCAGATAGATTGCAGTTTTCCTTTCCTCTTATTACAGTAAAAATACTACTAGAACCCATAAATTCTCTAACGATCGTACCAGGCCAGACGTTTTCATTAATATCTCCCTCAAGGACTTTTTGTAAAGAGGAATGACAGGCATTACTCGTTCCATGCAGCATTTCTTTAGATAATCGGCTTTCCCTGCTCAAAATGAGATTTTTTTGGATGAAATCGAAAACCAGTAAGCCTTCATTAGCTATCTACTGCTCCCTGTGGGATTTCATTTTTGAAGTTAAAGCTGCTGAAAGTTGCTGACAGCTTGACTGGGCGAGAATTAGATGTGGAGGGAAGTAAATCAATTTGAAGAAAGTGCAGAACTCTGATTCTTGGGCACAAAGCTGCACCCAATTTGCCCTACTGCATTTTTTGCACTTTCAATCAAAGAACGATCATGATACACTGCAAAGCCCCATCTTGCAATGCTTCAAGGCTTTTTGTGCTAAGTCAGATAAGATTGTAAAACAATTGAAGGCAGTGAGTGTCTAGGAAAATCTGGAGATCCGGGTTTCTTATATAAAAAACTAATCGAGGGCTCTTAGCTATGCAGATTCCCAAGCGGCAGCTCATATGACTCAATCTAGGCCATAATATTCAACTCTGAACTCTCGCCCAGACCGTAGTTTCTACCGTAGTCGAGGGCGGCCTATAGTCCACCAAAAGCCACGGTCTCACGGTTTGAGATGAAGTTTCAGATTGAAAAACCGTTCTGAAAAATAACAAAAAAAGGATCTATTGTTTTACCCTATTATCTTCGACTGCAGATAATTTTGGCACAAAAGTAAAATATGCTTTTTCAAGTTGTTCATGAGAGTTTTGCGCATTTCTCTTTGATTTGCTGCATCATCATAAATACTGGGAAATTGAATATGAACAGAATTGATCGAAAAAAATTTGTCTTTCGAGAAATTGAGTACCTAACCTTTTTGTTCAGGTTCGAAAACGGGTACAACGAACTTTGATGGTTCTTGATGGCCTCAGCATTCCATTTGACGCTATTGACATCACAAAACCAGGTATGTTTCCAAGTTTCAGGACACCAATCATAGTTGGCTCAAACTCGTCATCGAAAGAATAAATTGTCAAAGTAAGAGTTAATGAGGCTGATGAGACAAAAAAAACCGTGAATTTATTTCTTGGGTTTTATATTGAGAAGTTTTTGTTGCAATGTAATTATCATCATTCTAATTTCACTCCATATTGCCAAAAATGCTATTTTTACAAAATACTGAAAACCCGCTGCTAGCAGTCTTGTAACAATAATTAACGCTTTGAACAGAGTTTTTCGAAAAAAAATCTGGTAGAACAAAAAGTAAAAATTCCAACTTTTTTTTATAAAGTGTATCAACCAAATTCCACTCTATGTTGCTCATGAAATTCTTCGGCGAGTTGTCCAAGTGGATTACCGTCAGGGCTGCTCCAAATTTCCAGTTACTTGCGTTTTGAAACAGGAAACTTTTAACAAAATATATTAGGTTGGAAACTAAGTTTTGCAACTGGTCTCATAACTTCCCTCTCACTCAACATGGCGCACTCAAATTTTGCCACTGCGTTGGTTATTCCGTAAGCTACAAGCGCAGCCGCTGTCCTACCAAATTCTGACGTCGCAGTGAGGGTTACGGTAGGTGCATGGTATGAAGGGGAAAAATTCAAAGTTTGACGGATTTGGCTGAAACTTGGCATAGGGGTGTTATCCGACATGCTGATCACGAAAACGATAGTAAAATTGTGTGATAAGGGCTTTTTTGTAGGATTATTGTAGGTGTACGATATGGGTTCTCACCCTAAACAAGGAAAAAGGCGTTGAATCAACAAGTGATTGTGATAATCGCGTTTGGCAGGTCAAATAACCTTACTATGTAAAGTTTCGGCGGAATTTGAGCTCCGGACTCTTTAGTCATTAACGGTCGTCCCCAGCGGCTCTTGCTACATCGACTCGTTCGACTTTGTGAGGACGCCAAATCTCTACATGCTCCTAAATTTTGTTTCTTTCTTCATAGGCCGAAGGATTCAACCTCCAGCAATAAATTGTAGACGAATCCGGATTATGCGCATGGTCTAGGCTACCAAAGGCTTCATTTTAGCTTGAAACCCCAAGAATCCTCAAATTTCACTAGTTTTCGAGAAACGCCTGAGACTTTTCTATTTCGTGTTCAAAATTTAGACAATTTGTGCTCTCTTGTAGCTCACATTGGCTTCTACATAATACCAAAGTATGAGTGCGTCATATCCAAAGAGAATGAAGTTATGAAACCAGTTGCAAAACTTAGTTTCCAGCCTAATAATAGATGGAATGTTCTTTATAGTGCTCGCACTATAAAGATGGCCATGTAGTTTCTCTGCCCCTCTATAACATAACTGGACCTACTTCTCGCCGGAACTTATGCCTCGAGAGTAATTTTGTCGAAATGTGACAATGCAAATCTACAAAAAACATGACGCAGTACCATAAAGAGTTCTGCAAGAGGTACTTTATGCACTGCCACGACGTCATAGCGTATGAATGAATGTTACCTTATGTCATGCTGTCAAATGTAGAATAAATCTTGAGGTAGATTGACGAATACCAATCAGCTTCAAGCTTTAAGGAGAGGAACATCGAAAAAACATTTTTCTGCAGCAAACAAGGGTTTCTAAGCTTTTCATTTGACAATGTAATCTTCATCAACCAAATTCCACACAGAACATTTCTAGTCCTGACAAAGCACGCGGATGTTTGGAAATTGTTGGGCGAGTATATGCATGACACATCCCTTACAAAACAAATGTTATGCGTCATGGGAATGATTGTCCAATCATTCAACATAGTTTAAACAATTTAGAAATTACAATAAAGTCCAAGAAAAGCGTAGCATTGAGAGATTGTTTTACCAATAGAAACCCAAATGATACACAGGAGCAAAGCTTGGAAGAAAACACCTCAACGGCCTTTGTCGAAAAATTTGGCTTTTTACAAAGTTAGGATTCATAGTAATATTCTTATTCTCGTACTCCGGAAAATAATTGCTAGAACTTCGAGACTTTTTACATATTTACATTGATCACCTTAAAAATTCATTCATTCGCAAAGGTAAAGAAACTTACTTCTTCTCAAGCAGAACTATTATTTCTCGAAAATTGCAAAATTGCTCAGTGTCTTTGTATTTTGAGAATTTGATTCCTCTGCGGTAAAATTACCTAAAAAATCAAATTGTGGATAATTGTTCACCCTGGAAATTGATTCTTCCGGAATTCGAATTGAAAATTCTTCACAATTTTTTATGAGAAAAGCTTTATCTTTTGAAGAGCAGTTTCTCGCATATATTCAATTTTCAGCTCCATTCCCTTCATTTCAAAGAAGTTTGAATCTCCTTAGATTTGGTGATGATCATGCAAAATCCGACTTTTTAAGAAAAATCTTTTCTCTGGTATCAATCTAATTCAAATTTTCTCAGGAAATGATCAACAACGTTTATTTATGCGAGAAAAAGCCGTGAGAGAAGATGTCAAAGGAAACCCACTACCACCGCAATTCTTTTACAACGAAGAATACCTTGGAGTGAGTCGTATTGAATTATTATCGCCTCTTCCTATTTTTAAACATTTTTATGCCCTCAAACGAAAAATATGAAGGATGCAATGCTGATTGTTGTTTATAGAGTCAAAAAAATTGTTCTTTTTTTACAGAATTTTGTCGACTTCGAAGAAGCGGTCGAAGATGATCGCATAGCCGAATTCCTGCGACTTACGCCAGATGTAAGTTTTTTTTGAATTTATTTAAGGCTTTTCGATTCGCTTCGAATGTTCACTCTGATTGAGTTTTCCGTATAATCAAACTTTAACCTTCCTTCGAGTGTTGCTAACTTTTTGAGAGTGCATTTTGCATGCAAAACTTCACAAGATTTTAGAAATATCAAACATCTATAGAAATTTCATTTTGACAAGAAACGATTGAAAAACTATCAAAAATCAGTTCACTAATTCCGTTGATCTAAAGGCATTTTTAACGACGACAGCCGCCCATGTAAGCGAAGCGGATGCGAAAGCGGCTTTTCCGCGCACGCACCACGCTCGCGCCCTCTCAGCTTATATAGACAACTACTCTCTTTCGGCAATGGCTATAGCACGAAGATAATGTGATCTAGATGATCACATTGTGAGTATCAATGCTTAGATAGAAATACAGACATTTTTGCCTTTTTTTCCTAATTATGAGTGAATTATCAGCTAATTTGCAACCCGTTGCTGTGTGTTTCTCTAACCAGATTTTCACAGACACTGCGAAAAGATCATCCACTGCAGTGCAAAATGAAGCAGAACGCTGAAGACAAGGAGAACCGCGATACCGGTAATTTACGATTTATTGATCAGTTCGTCGTATATTTCTTTGTGTTGTCTGCAAGAGAAAGGGAATTTTGCGATTACCGGAGAAAAACATCTCGTCTGCATGCATGTTATTTGCATGTTACTTTATTTGTTGACTCAAAATCTTACTGCATGCCGAATGCCAGTAATAGCATGTTTTTTTTCTGCATGAATGCATATTTGCTTGCCATGGCATTTTTTCGACAGGGGTCTAGAGATTTCTAGCGCTCCAGAAACTTTGGGGGACTAGTGAACCAGTAATCGAAAGGTGCTAGATTTGCAGAAGCCTTCGCTGCGGGAGCCGCGCGCTTTTCCGCAATTTCACCTCTTATTTGAATAGGCAACGATTCTTTATCTATAGATATTTATTAGAAAATATAAACAGTAAACTAGTAGCTTAAAGCTGCGTCGCTGCGGGAGCCGCGCGATTTCGCTCAATTTCACCTTTTTCAAATAGGCACAACGATCCTTCATACATGGAAATTTATCGAGTATTTGGTCCGAGATACAGCAAATCCAGCTAACACTGCAAGGAGATTTTCGTACTAAGCTTTGAATACAAGCAAATTTGTTACTTGGGTTTCTTATAAGGGAACGGGATAAGAAATTCACAGCTAAGCCATTGCCCAAGCGGGGGCCTATGTTTTCCATTCGTGGTCGAGTAATTCAGCGTTGAAGTCTAGTCCAAAACGTACTGTCTACCGTATTCTAGGGCGGTGATTGGTCAGTTTCGCCCGAATTGTAGGTTCAAGCTCCGGCAGTAACTTAGCGTCTTTGAATCGACATCCATATGAAGTACAGGAATTTTTGCTCATACACTGCTTTCACTGAGACAGTAGATAAATAAAACAAAAATATCGATTGATAAGATAAAATTCCTTCGCAGGGGATTCGAAAAATGCCATGACAACTTTGTGTCAGCAGATCTCGCAAAGCCTTTACTGGCTAGTAATACCCCCATACAGCTGCTTGCCTATCGCACTTTTCCAAACTTCAAGCACAAATCAATAATAATGTTTTTTTCAGAAATCAGAGCAGGCGGCCAGCAATGAGAACGCCGAAGATGTAAGTCGTTTATAAAGTTCTAAATTTTTAAAACCATATTTCGATACCGTTATCCGAACCAATTATTTTCGCAAGATATCATGGACTACCTCTACCAACTATCGAAAAAACTAATATGCTGCTTTGAAACACGTTTTAACTTTTTTTCTTGATAAAACATATTAAACGAGTTAAGAACATGTTGCACTTTCCTGACACGTGGCAATGGATTAGTTTTTTTTAGCCATTTCTCACATGGCAGAAAACGCAGAAACTCTCTTTATCGGAACAAGTCCGGATTACGGAGAAGTACCTTTCTGAAACTATATTAACGTTGAAAAATTCCATTTTTTAGTTTAAGTGATTAAATGAGATTTTACATATCTCTGGATCTGCAAATCACACCCTTTTGCATATTTCGTAGTCGGAATTGCCATTCTACCGATATAAAAACAGCTTTGCACTAACATTTTTACCCCTTCGCAGTTGCCAATTTTACGCGATCCAAAAAAAAAACTTTCTCAAAAGGTTCAATAATGTTTCACACTTCTAACATCGCAGCTTTTTGAGCCAGCGATAGAATTGACAAGTGAACGGCCATTTGGCACATGATGGTGCCAAGTCGCCATTCACTTTGCACTAAAAATGAAGAATGTCCACCCGGAAACAGCTAATGAGGGTTGAAGGGTTTACTCACAACAATTTTCTAATGACACTTTTCATAAAAAATCAGATCACTTCGTGATCTCTCGCTATTTTAGGACAGATCGGACAAGGAGAACGAAAACGGGGTAGTGGGTACACATGACGACGACGAAGGCGAAGGCGAAACAGAAGGTGAAGAAGAAGAAGGCGAAGGAGAAGAGGAAGAAGGAGAAGAGGAGGAAGGTGAAGAAGAGGAAGGTGAAGAAGGTGAAGATGAAGAGGAAGAAGGCGACGAAGAAGAAGGCGAAGATGAAGAAGAGGATGAAGCGGAGGCTGGAAAAGACGGAAAAGTAACCGCAGAGAATGGTGAAACAACCGTAGATGAAAAGATCAAGTTGCCGAAAACATCAAAAGAAAAGGAAGAGGAGAAGAAGAAAGAAGAGGAAAAGAAGGAGGACGCGAAGGAGGAGGAATCAGAGAAGGAGGTAAGAATATTTTTTGGTTTACAGGAAAAATTCAGGAAAAACTTGAGCGGCTCGAGCTTTACTATTACGACATTAAAGTAAACTTCAAAATCTTTCTTAAAATATTATTTACCATTACAGCATTGAAGTAAACATTACCATCTTTCCTATAAAACGGCAAAAATTTCAAAAGTGAGAATAACTCACCCGTTCTCCTAACATTTATGCGCAGCCCAATCACAATTTCTATTCAGATTGAAGAAACGGCAACGATACAATTAGGAGCTCCGCCAAAGAAAGAGGAAGAAAAAACGGAGGAAGAAGGAGGAGGAGAAGATGAAGAAGACGAAGAGGAAGGTGAAGATGAGGAAGAAGGTGAAGATGAAGAGGAAGGTGAAGAGGAAGAAGAAGATGAAGAAGAAGAGTATGAGGAAGAAGAGGAAGCCGAGTGATATCACTAATATTAGGATCAATGCTCAACTAGGCCTTGGTAATATGTTGTCGCATAAGCATTCGAGCGTCGGGTATTTTGGGGTTGTAAATTGCATTTTTTTTCATGTATTCACTACTTTGTATTCATAATTCTATCAATTTCCATCTTTGGAACTTTGCGCTTTCAAAACTAATTCTTCTTGTACCGATTTGTCACTTTGGCTTTGTTCATTGTTTGTGCTAAATTTATTGCCATGTTCAGAATATTACAACTTGTAAATATGTCATGTATGAAAATTGAATGGTATATTATAGTATGGCGTTAGTTTTACAAATCTGCCAGTCTTGAATAGCATAACAATCGCATGCAAATAACAAAATAAAACTTCATTTTGTACTCTTATTTACAACTTAAGAATCAACACATATAACTTGATGGCGTAAAAAATGCATATGAAATCTTTCCCATCAACAATTACCCTTTTGGAAACGCAACAAATCGCGAAAAGTTCCAAGTGTGTGAGAGTCGAACAAACTTGATTAACCTATACTACCCTATTTTCAGGTGTATAAGCCGCACCCTTTTTGCTCTAAACGCGAGCAGACCCAGGCGTGCCGCCGCGCATATGTCTCGCGAAGCGGTCGCTTTATCGCATACTGCTCTCACTTAACGCGCTCCATGATGACAATCAGTCCTTTGGCGTGTTCGCCTTTAGAGTGAAAAGTGTGCAACTTATACACCCGAAAATAGGGTAATCGTAAGAAAGCAAATCGCTTCTGACACTCGCAAGGTAAACTCAGTCAGTGCCGAAGTACTTCACTGCAAGACTATATGGCACTCCGGGGCCCGTAGTAAACGCCCGAAATATATCGTAATGTGAAGAAAGCGAGGTGACGACGTGTCCGACCGAACGACATGCTGCAACGAGCACGCGCCTTGGTCCCACAAAACGTGGGCGCGTACAGAACTCCTAAATTGCAGAGTCGTTTGCAGCAGCGGTCGCGCGACCGCGTCGCGCCCGGGCATCAATGGCGCCGCCTCGATCGATGGCGCCGGCGCCAGTAAAATGCCCGAACGCGTCGCGGTCGCGCGACCGCTGGTGCAAACGACTCTGCAATTTAGGAGCCCCGTACGAGTGTCAAACCCTTCGATGGTTGTAGACGGCGCGCATTACCACTGCGCTACCAATACACATTTAACTCTAAAGAATTAAAATTGGAAGGAACGAAATAAAGTGCGGCAGACAGATCACTCGCTTGCGACATCCTTCGAATAAATCAATAAGTAGACTTCGATTTGCACTAGCCTCTACTTGTAGGTCGTAAAAGTGTGCACTGCCTCTTATATTCACAAAAAAGCCGCTTACTGATGATGTCCTACTAGTAGTGTAGATGGTGCAGCGCCACTTTTGGATACACCTGTGCTTGGTAGAAGAGGTGGGAGAGGGATATGTCCCGCATGAACCAACGTTTTGCAAGTAACTCATTAGATGAGTTTTTTTGTATATAAACAAAAATTAATAGTTTTTTCGACGCGCACTGAAAGGATTACCAGGCGCACAGTAAACTTTGTCAACGACGAGCAAACTAGATGTGAGAAGATATGACATACATGATTATAGTTGATGATAAAGGTTGTAGAGTATCTAGATAATCTACGACAATGTATTTCTACAGGCAGTGTCCACCAAAATTCACCCCAGATTACTACTTATCCTACTAGCAGGCTTCTAAGAATAGACGCTTATATCAATATTAATGTACGATATGTGGTCGCAGCAACTATGAACAACTTCCTCTGCATGCATAGATTCCTAGCCGATTATTTTTTTTTTGCAGTTAATTCGTTTATCTGATGCCAAATTTACTAGGAAGAGCTAAGAGATGTTTTTGTATATTCTAAGTTCTGCTTGATAAGAGCGAGATAAAACTCTCTACGTGCAGTGCTTTTCCCTCTTTTCAAATTTTTGTTAAATTAGGCTATAAAATCGAATGCAGACATTTCGTAAATTACTTATCTAATCATATGCATAATTCTGTTCGTTGCTGCTGGTAAATGCATTCTAGCAATATTTTGTTCGTCCGAACCCATACTCTACTAAGCCAAAAGTAACAACTCGTGAATGCACAGTAATCTTAAAAACTCTGCGACCTCATCTATTGCAATGATTATGAATTTAGTTCCAACCAAACTAATCAAGAGCGCAAATACAAATTCTCCATAAAAACAATTTATTCCCTTACGCTATCCCAGTTCATCAACCCTACTATTTGAACAAACAATAGAGAGCTGGACCGCCTAAAGAAGACCCGCACTTAATACTAATACAGTTTCTCTTAGTATTTATACTTAGCGTGTACTGTCGGACTTAGTAGAAAATATGCACGAATGTCATTTTTTAACGGCCCAAATACCGCGGATATGGATCTATACTGCGCTTGCCAATGCATGGGTCCTTATATTCTTCCTACAGAAACCGTCTCTTTAGAAATTATCTATATCAAAGTAACGGACGTAAAATAAGAATCCTTTTTCTTTTTTTGACTAAACTAAAGCGATATTCTACTTTACCAATTGTTGAGATATGACAACTAAGTTTGCTGTTTTACAAAAATGGATTTTCTGATTTGTTCTACTGATTTGTATAATGGCACGCACTCAAGCTTCCACCTGTGAATAAGGAATGGAAAGATAGAATGCTTCAAAAATGTGAACAGGCATGCATTGCAACCTGCTTATTCCAGGTACGCCCATGTATTAGCACTTCGAGCCGCAAGTTAGGCTAGCACAACTAAAAGTGTAAATTCTCGAAATTTCAAAAGTATACAGTGGATTATGTGGGACACATTGTAGTTTGGGATGGATTTGCAAATGCATGCTATGCAAATGGATCGAAAGTACTTAAAAATGTGTAGATAAGAAATAAATGTTTGTAGCAAAGTCTATGATAGCGCAAGGTCATTGACTCTAGTGTTTGACTAGCCTATGCGTACTACAGAAGGAATCTCGGTCCAAAACATCTGTCCGGAATTTGATCATTAACAAAAGATAGCCGACTTCCTTGGTATTATCTTACCAATAATTCTGTTTACCAGTCATCAATGAAACGAAAGAAAAAGTTGAACTATCGATCCGCATGTATGTCTTCTAAACTTTTCCGCACAAGCCCAGAGGGTGGATGACTATATAGAAATTGGGCTTGCAGTATAAATACTAAAAACACTTTGGCAGACCACCACCCCCCCCCCCATTATCTTCAAGCCAAACACCCTCCTTGGCGTTGCGTATACGCCGAAACCCATAACAGTCCCCTGAAAATCGTCACAACGCTAAAAAAAGGCAGTCGTGTCTGTCCAAACGAGTCTCAACTTGGGCACGAGGGTGCGTTGGCCGCCCTCGCAAAAAGCTTCGCGATCATTTAACGCCGAACTTGCAATGAGCGCGTGCAACTATTGCGCCATAGACAATGCTTCTGTCAAAAGTCTTCACAAAAGAAAGGAGCATAAGGTAGATAGATAGCCCCTCAAGCTACAAGCTAAAACTCAAAAATGGGCTAATTACACTCACCTTGTTGCTGGGAGTAAGACGGGCTCCCATGTCTATCCGAAATGGAGGTAGATCCCACTCTCTCCCATTCTAAAGGAGAGGGCATACCTTATGCAATTTCGGCGCCTCGCGATTCTTCCAACAGGACAACCGTTAACAGTTCATTGCATGCTGATCATCTTGCATTTCGGTTTGGCAATGTTCCGACACGACTAATCGCGAATAACTCAATACTCAACTAATAACTGTCATAACCGCTATGCAGGATGCCGGCATTCAATGGACTCGTAGCGATTGTTTTGTGGAGAGAATCGCGAGACGATGAAATCGCGTGATGTGTGCCTTTAATTGGACTTTTCGCATATATCCTTCGCAAACGGGAGCTCAGGCAGAGCTTTATTACACTGCTTTGCCTAGCGGTTAAAAAATTTTGTATGACCCTAGCATCAGCAATCCCGACCAGTCTACCGTCAACGAATGGAATGCGGTGGAGTCTATTTTCTCCCATTACGGACAATCTGATCAGCGAAACCTGGATACGAATCCGGATTTCGCTAATCAGATTCATTTAGGCGCTTGATTATTGCACAGTGACTGTTCTACGTAAGCCAAAATTGTAGTCATTCGTGAAATCTGTCTCCTTACGTGCACATACCGTGTGCAAACAGGCACCTTAATAAATCAGAAGATGCGTCTCGGCGAGCTGAATCCAATGGTGCCATTGGAACGAGTATTGTCCATTTTGAAGCGAGGTATGGCCGCGTACGGTGATGTCACCTAACCCAGTTGTCGGTCGCGCATTTTTTGCAAAAATTATGAGCATTGTACGCCTCAAAACAGTAGCTACCAAGAGTGTTACCCCAAAATCTTCAGCTTCCGCATTCAAACATCTAGCGAATGCTTCATAAGAATTTCGCTTACTCTATTTCTTTGGGAGCAGCACTAGAGTCACAAAGCTATAACCTGGCGGGATGCGGGCAAAACTTCGTATGAATTTCTGAGCCAGCCCGAAGTTATGACTTTGCGACTGATACTGAAAACAGAGCAGTCTGAGCAACTTGACTGTAAGTGTCTTAATTTCTATTGAGAAACCAGCAAATCAAAATGAGCTTCACCGCTCATCCTTCATGACTACGGAAAATGTGCACGGACACACAAACACACAGATTTTTTGTTTCATATACTTACTTACTTAGATACTTAGATGGCCCGTCCTCACGTGACGTGCGGGCCCCAGTACAGAAGTTGCCATTTTTTCCTGTCCCTCGCTTCGGACATCCACGATCTTCTTGGCCGTCGTCGGTGGCTGCGTCCACGAGTTCCAGGGGCGAAAGTCGTATCCAACTGATTTCTCAGCTGGTCCATCCGTTCCACGAACACGTCTGCCTATCTCGTTGGTGGTCTTCCTCGAGGACGTTTGGCTTCGCGAGGAATCCACTCAGATGTTCTTAGTGTCCATCTGTCGTCTGTTCTTCTCATTATGTGACCGGCCCATCGGTGTTTGGCTTTCGCAACGTATTCCGCTGGGTCACGAAGACGGGACATTCTTCTCATATCCGTGCTGTGAAGTCCGACTAGATGTTGCTTGCGTCGGGTCATCTTCAGAAGACTGTGCTCAAGCTTTCTGTGGGTGGTCCGTAAAGCTTTCGACGTGGCTACAGTATCGGCCCAAGTCTCAGCTGCGTAACAGAGCGCCGGGAAAACGGTTGAGTCGAACAGGTGGGCACGAAGCTCCGGATCCGTCAGTTGGTCGGTGGCTTCCTTCAGAGGCCCGAAGGCGGCCCAGGCTGCTCTTCTTCTCCTTTCAAGTTACTTCCTCAGTCGTTCTCCATTTCAACAAACGTACAAGATACACGTATGAAGACGTCTCCATAATAGGGGTGCCTTCCAATTCCATTTCTGCATCTTCGCAAAGGGCGTTCCTCATGAACTGAGTCTTCTTCCGATTTATTCGCAGTCCGATCTTCTTCTCTACTTCGTTCAGTTCCTTCAGCATCGTCTCTGCTTCGGTGATGCTGCTCGAGAAGAGAACGATGTCGTCCGCAAAACGAAGGTTGGACAGGAATCTCCCATCAACTCGTATGCCTCTCTTGTCCCAGTCCAGTGACTTCATCACCCACTGCAAGGTCGCGGTGAACAGCTTCGGCGAGATTGTGTCGCCTTGTCGGACACCCTTCCCGATTAGTATGGTGGAACGATGGAACAGCTGTATTGTTGTTGTACAGTCCTTGTAGCAGTTGGCTAGTGTCCTCACGTAAGCTGGGTCCACTAGCTGTTCTGCAACTGGCATTGGCTATCAGTCGCTCGAGATGGGTTGCATTCGGATCCTGCCTCAGAAATCTTCTTCTTTCGAGCATTTCCTTGGTGGTCTTCGAAATGCGTTCCAAGTTCTTCTCAGAAGTCACTGAGGCGCATTCTCCACAGGCTCGCAATCCTTTCAGAAGCCGGTCGTAGTCGTACGTTGTCCTCCTCGATGGGCCAGTCACAACTTGATATGAGCTCTTCCAGCCTGTTACCGTCATAAACGACTTCGTTCCTTCTCGCGGCACTATGACAGACTTTCTTTTCCAGCCTTCGGCTGAGTCGTATCTTCGCTCGAAGGAGGCGATGATCGGAGCCACTACAGAAGGATGGAACTACAGAGACATCGAGTAAGCTCCACCTTCGGTTGGTGAGAATGTGGTCGATCTCAGCATGAGCCGTTCCGTTGGGTGATTCCCAAGTCCACCGGCGATGTTCCTTCTTCATGAAGATGGAGTTTCCATGGAAGAGTCGTGCGGCGGAGAGAAGCCCAACGAGACGGTTGCCGTTTTCGTTTCGGAGCCCATATCCAAACTTCCCGATCCTATATTCCTTTTTTAGTGGCATCCCGATTTTCGCATTGAAGTCGCCCACAACATACTTGTAGAAGGACTTTTCGTTGCGGACGACCTCCTCCACGTCTTCGTAGAAAGCATCTAGTTCTGAGTCGTCAGCTGCTGATTTTGGCGAGTAGCAGTTGATGATGCTGATGGTCTTCTGACGTGGAGGGCGTAGTCGTAGGATGCCCAGTCGAGGTGATAGGATCGCGTGCGAATCGACAAGATGGACGATAGATGGGTGGACGACAAAGGCAACGCCTCCCACGTTTCGTATGGAACCTTTTCACCACGAATGATGAGGGTCCCATCACTCATCTGTCGCACGTCCTTCTTCCTGGACTTCGTTTCCTGCAGAGCGATGATGTGGTAGTTGATGTGCTCTGCAGCGTCGAAAAGAGCGTGGAGGTCGGCGTTTGTGAAGACTGTCCTGGCGTTGTAGGTGCAGAGCATGAGGCAGTCTCCATGGCGTGTCGTCCGGGCAGACGTGTCGTTTTTGTCCAATCCGAAAGGCGCCCTGAGTACCCTGACATCGTTCTTGCTACCACCCGGCGCCGTAGGCGGGATACGATGTGCAGGGTTTCTTTCTAATCTTCTAACTGGAGGAGTGATATGAATTTTCCCCCCAAGAGGTGGCTTACTAGGCCTACTCTTGATTTCCACGGGGCGATCGCTGACCCCGGGCTTGGAGCGGGGAGGGACCGCCTAGCGACCAGAAGAAGCCAGACGGCGGGGGATCTGGCGTGGCCGGTTCTTAGCTAGGCATCCGGCCAAAACCGGAAACGTCGAACTCCTTCACAGCTTGGGAGGCCCTACCAGAGTATACACTCGGCTGTGCATCGCAGTTCGACACCCAGTGTCACCCCCACGCCACGATGAGGCGACCGACCATTGTGGAGGTATATATCCTACTATAATAACGCGCTAAGAGTGTTTACGTTTTTGTGTGTCTGTCTGTGTGAATGTCTGCCTGTCACGAAATTCATAGCGCGAGTTCCAGCCAACCTCCTGGGCTCAAATTTTGCACAGCGCATTACCCGAATGAAAGTGCAATACGTAAAAGCACGAACAGATTCGTTGAGTGGATCCCTCAGAAACTGCGCGTCAAACGGATTCACTTTGCATTTGGGCCGCAAGATTGGGTCCGTAATTCAACTTTCTGTAAAGTCGTGGATGTTTATGCCAAGTAAATGTGCAAGCCATGAACTTAGGCCCAAAAAAGTAATCAAAAGTCCATTACAACGGCGCCAAAAGTATTGGTTGCTTAAATGGTCAATTTGTCAAGGTTTTACCAAAGCATTTGACTAGATTTGTGCACAAAGATGTAGCTCACAGTGACTGCTGTTTTTATTGCAAGTGTCGAGACCATGGGAAAATCAAAAACCTATTAAAATCTGCGTTTGTTTTCCTGCAAAAAGTCTCATCACCGCACATAAAAAAGCATTCGGAATGAGTAGTTGTTAACATTTTGTTCGTGATAGTCGACACCGCTCGGTGAGTTCCAATGCCATCATTATGAGAGAATGAGTAGGGCTTAGATAGTAGAGCCAGTGCGAGCCTCTGCGAAGCAGAGGTGACGCACTGGTACAAAGATATAGGACACGTTGCACTGAACTAGCTCTTGACAAAGACACAATCTCTTTATTCTTCTGAAAGTAAAGTGGCAAGAGAGAGGCCATCAAGCAATCTGATTTCCATTGGAAGCTGAAACAAGCTGGAAAAAACAAAAAAAAGCATCTCGCAAATTCTTCATTTCTCTATTTCTTTATTATCTAGAAGCTTTTGGCGGTCATTAATCACCTGCCTGTACGGAAAAACTTCCCTCTCCGCTGGGTAATGCTCTTTGTTTTATCAGTCACATCTGCTCAATGCTGTTGACAACAAATCGGCTTCTAAATGTCATTTCTTTGGTAGAACTGGTTGACATCGCTCATTTCAAAAAAAGTTCTTCAACATGCCATGAGACATTGTGAGATTACTCCTGCCCACATTTAACTTGGCCCGAAAATAATTTTGTGCATTTTAGTGCATTCTTTCACTACCATTTCACTGTCTGAGCGCTACAATAGAGCTTTTTCAGACAGAACCTCTTTTGAACTCATGAAACTTCTGTTAGTGCTTTTGGCGGTGATCGTACTGGCTAAAGGCAATCTGCCCACATGTGACATATGCCAGAAGTGGATCGACTACATGAGAACACATGTCGTAACTGAGGACAATCTTGATCAGGTACGAATTTTTTATAGCAACAGATTTTGGAATAGCAAAAATATACCTCGTAGGTGCAAAGTCAATGAAACAACTACTCTCTTCGGAATTCAAACAAAAACCTTTTCATAGCTATTCTAATTACTGAAACATTTTCATTAAGAAACTCAAGGCAAAGATTACGCTCTTTGCATTTCCTATCAAGTACGCTCACTTTAGATGTTGGAAGAGTTTTGCACAGCAAACACACCCTCTCACCTTCAATATTCATACCAAGTTTTGTTGAAATCGGAAACGCCGGCTATACGCGAGGCGATGGAGGTAAGATGGCAAGTTTTTATATTGTTGGGAGGCAAGCAAGGAAATAACAAAAGCATAGCTAGTGACAATCATTTTAGTGAAGCGAATTTGATAAACGATTAGGTTGGAAGAAAATTTCATGCGTATTAAAACGGAGTTCGGTACCTTTTCAGATCTTTAACCTGAATTCACCATTTCATTCCCCAAAAATAGTAGAAGGTTTGCGCTCCACGACAGGTAATCAAGCGCATTCTATGAGCTGACCACCGAGAACAAAGTCTTAAGGAATAGCATTTCACATTTCTGATTTTGTATTTGGTGCCAGGAAATTGCGGAGGATTGCTAGCTAGCTTCAAAAAAAATCACTAAGTTATTCTTATAGCAGTAATGCATAAGTCAGTTTGAAAAGTTTTGATCTTTCTTACAAATGGAGAAACTTCGCTTAGGTTATTTTGAAGTTAAGTTCCCCTTGTAACCGCGCTTTTCAGCAAGAACCACTGTTCAAAGCCTGAAAAAGGCTGTTTTAGATAGATAAGCTTCAGGCCAGATCAGGGCTCAGAACAGGTGGCCTAAGGGCAAGCTGATATCGTTTTGGAGGTAACAAGCAAAGGAGATATCGTTTTCGCGAATTCGTGGACTGCAAGGCTGCGAGCAGAAGACTCAAGAATGCCACCAGCATGCGACTGGCATGCGCTCTAAAAGAGCCATGTCCTAAAAAACAAAAGCCTTGTTTACAATCAAAACGCAACGATACAACATCAAACTTGGTGTGTGGGTGCGCAACAGGGAGTTGGAACCTTGCGTTAAAAATTAGGAAAAACTTATGTGAAGTGAATCCATGGCAAAATTTTTTTGGAGTTTACGGCCAGCTGAACGGCGACCTAAGGTGTCTGTGAGAAGAAAAAGTCATAAATTTTTCCCCTCACATATTTTTCAAAACTTTTTACATGATTCCACTCTACATCAACTTACCTGTGCGTTTTTGGATTGGCCCTAACTACCTCCTCTCCCTTAGTTTACAGCTTAAAGTTGTCGAATGGCTGCAGCGACGCTGCTCCAAGCGCGTGGTGAAAGACGGACACAGCATGTCGCTGAAGCAAACCGACACACATTACAGTTTTTATAAGTTTTGAGATGAATTTTAGTGTTCTATTAGTTTTCACGTTTACTCTGTGAGCACCGATAGGGGATGTCGTGGAAGTGTTGTGAACTCAAGGGGACTCGTGTGCTAGGATTTGCTAGCACCTCATGCTGAGCCCTGGGTCAGATCCCTGGTCTAGTGTGTGTTAATATGAAGGAAGCGTGATGATTAGTTTTTCTCTCTGAAGTGACATTTATCGCAATTTTCCATGGAGATTAAAGGCACCGTCCACCCAAGGAGGGGATTCACGAAATTCGATGGATACTAATGTGAGCACCCATACTGGGCCAATCCCCAAGTTTCCCCCGCAAAAGATTGCTTCCGGAGCGAGAAATCCGCTCCGGAGGGGACATATCTCCGGAGCTGCTCAGACAGTCGACGGCATACCTCCGGAGCAGAAATGGCAGAGCCGCGAGGTTTTCCAGCGGAGGTTTGCCACTCGTGCTCCGGAGCCTTCCCATTTTGTGCTCCAAAGACCTCCCATTTTGTACTCCGGAACCCTCCCTTTTGCGGTCCGGAGCCCTCCCATTTTGCGCTCCGGATGTCCCCCGCGGCATACTGTAACTAGCCCTAATCAAGCTCCAAACCCCAATTATGCCCCTAAACCTCACCCAAATTAGCTCTAGACCAGAATCGAGCAAACAGTACATACGACTGCCGAGTACGCCCCCCCCCCCCCCCGGGTAGGAATTCAGCACAACCCAAACCCCGTTCTCTACCCCCTCCCTCTCACCTCAGCGTTTGTAGATAGAAGATAGAAGAATGAAGAGACAAGACATTTACTTCAAGTTGACTGCAAACAATTTATTGCAAATTGTAACTTTTGTTAGACTTTGCGTTGAGTTGAGTTCGCTTTCGTCCATAGGTATCATCATGCTTACTCCACGACGACTGCAAGTATCGAATAGATGCAGTTCAGCGTATAGTAATCACGCCATACGTACTGTCGCTCTGCTTGTACATTTTCCTACGAACTCGATTATCTGAGAAAATAGCGAGTCGAAAACCGGCTACCTGACCTTTCCTCCTTCACTCTCCCCTATCTGACCCCGCGTCTCCGCTTTTTCGTAGGAATAAAATCAGGAACACATTGAGCTGATGTTGTAAACTCTTAATCGATGCGTTTTAGCTTTTACGTGTCATAAAAGGATCATGTATACTTCTTAAGAGGACTATACCATGAATGTTAATCCGTATAGTGCCAGAAATAAAAAACGAGCTAAGAGGCGAAGTTCAGAATAGATGCTTGCTCTCGGGCTGTGCCAGAAACGGCATATCCTAATGCTATTGGTCTTGGAGGTAGGAGTACCTCCGAGACAAATAGCACCTTCGAGACCAGCTATTCTAATACTGCGACGAGCAGTGGATGTTGTTTTTACGCCATAACCGAGGATTGTGACTAAAGGATTCATATGAGGAAGTACTATAGTTCATTTGAGGGCGCAAGCAATACCGCTTCTGCGACTACTGTTTTTTTTTCATATGCTACAACATATACAACATATGTCATTCATCCTCTGACTAAGCGACGCGAGCACGCTCTGTGTACGTTTGATCAACAAGCTCGTGGATGAGTTCTACTGCGTTTTGATTATTTAATATCAGGAATACGTAAAAGAAAGTGTTCAAGCCAGCGTGGTGTAACGAGCTCAAACATGTTCTTCCACGAAATCTAATAGTAAATCGATCAAACGCGTTAGAACTCATTCATGAACTTGTTAATGAAATGTACGCAAAGCTCGCTCGCGTCTCGTAATCAATGAATGATACAACATATCCTATGACGAGTAGTCTACAGAGGCAAGTGCCTTTCGCATGTATTAAGAAAGGATCAAACCAAGAAACGAATTAGCGGTAGGATTTTGATGCTTCACATACCCGCAGCTAAAATGACTTTGTTCCAACGTCATGTATAACCTACCAAAATTATAGCAATCCCCCCCCCCTCACCTGCTCCTAATGCTAGAGTTGAAAGGAGTGACGGAAGCAATACGATGGATGATAAAAAATAAAAGTGATTCGCTCCAGCTTGTATGACTTTGTCAGAGTAATAGGCTGCTACATTCGAACAAAAAGAAAGTCCTAGAAACGAAAGATCAGGAAAAGCTGAGCAAGCATTACAATACCTGGTCATGATGTGCAAGGCAGACTTTTTCGTACGTGAGATTCTGAAAGACTGGGTACCTAAGAAAGCTCATGAGCATGTAAAAAAATAAAGGGATCTCCGCAAACACTTTCCTAAAATGCAAAGTTTCCCAATGTGAGAACGTAGGACCGAGAAGCTAACCAAGCTTAGTACGACCAGCGCGACCAGCACATTGCACCAAAAGTGATTCAGTGCATCCGCACGAAAATCCGAAACGTAAACCTGAAAACGAGGAATAGAACAACACAAACGCCAACGCGCCGACGAGCAACACGAAAAACCAAAAAAAAAGAAAAACGAGCGCGAAAGAACGACAAAAAAAGGTAAGTCGAGAGCGAAGGCAGCTTATTTTCGAAAATGATAAGCTGCGTATCACAGCAAATTGGCTGCGCACCTATTGTGCTCCGGAAGTGTCCCACATCTGGCGTACCTCCGGAGCGCCTTCTTGTGACGTACCGTGACGTCACAGAAAGGGACCGCCCCCTCGCCCCGCTCTCAATGGTCAATTGGGTCCTCCGCAGCTCTGCCAGATTTCCACTCCTCCGGAGCTACGGCACCGATTGTCTGAGTGGTCACTCCGCCCTGCTGTCACTCCATCATTTTGCAGGTTTGGCGGGCTGCGGCGCTAATATACGCCGGCGTATAACAGCACCGCAGCCCTGCGACCTGCACTTGCACCGTCCACCAGGTTCTCCAAGACGGGGATTTTTTTGGGGTTTCGTGATTTTTCGACTCCGTATTGGAGGTCCGGACCTTCAGAAGGCCTGTAAGCGACCAAAACATGGAAGTCGAGAATTTGGGTGGACGGTGCCTTTAACACATTGACGACAAGGCCGATTTTTCGATTACTGCCATTTTGGACAGGAGCCTTTTTTGCACTGCCAAACTTACGACCCACCTGGGTCGTATTGTCCGAAATGGCAGTCTTTTTATAAGAAATTCAAAACATATCTCTGATAATATCCCCACAAGGGTTATCGAAGGCGCTGATTATCAAAATATAATTTGTTTCAGTTTTTGGCGGTATACGGTAAGATTGCGGTAGTCACTCTGTACGAACCCAACATCACGGATTTTCGTGAAAAATTGTATTTTGGGGTTATTTCACATGCTGATCTCGATTATAGTGTCCACTTTGTTTACTACTTTCCCAAAGTGGGACTGGTAGCAGTACGGTAGAATTTTTTTAAGAATCAGGAAACTGATGTAAAGGGCGGTATTAGAACTTGAGACTATCATTTTCGTAATCAGCATGCTAAAAAACCTATATAGGCAAGGTTTGAGCTTCCTGGGATGAACAATGCGAAAAATCAATAAAATCAATAAAATCGATAATTTTTGATGGGCTGACATTAGTCTCATGCTCTCCCTGTATTTCTTGTGCATGTAAACTTGAATTGTCAAAAACCGCACCACTCTGCGATAAATTCGAGCTAAAATCTATGCCTTACCTCTATCTACGGTATGCCTACCGTAACATCACATTACGTATCCCGGACCTGGACCACTCCGGCTGGAGCTTCGCCAAGGTGTCCCCAATCATGTGCCAGAATACCGTAGAATTCCATCGCATGCTGCCAAAGTTAGAGCTTTCGAAAACTTACGACCCACCGGTGGGTCGTATTGTCCGAAATGGCAGTATACGTACGACCCACCGGTGGGTCGTATTGTCGTCAATGTGTTAAACGCTGCCACACGAAGTATGGACTATTGCCACCTATGAGTTTTTAGATTTTTTTTGGGGCTGGCTAGCAGCGACCCTCCAAGTTTGATGCAAATTTCTGGCATCAAACTCAAAACTGCAGAATCTGAAACGCCATCTTTTGAAATAGCTTATGAAAGCTATGCTCAAACACCTACCACAGAGCGCAAACCTGCTTCTTTTGGAAACGCGATGGAGAGCTATGTTTAGGAATCTAAGAAATTATTGAATTCCGTTCGAATCACGCAAAAACTTTTGTTCCAACTTAACTACTACATCGTCTTTTTTCAGGAAACCCTCGATGCGCATGAAGTGTGCACTGCCGTCAACATGTGCTGGGGAGATGAGCCCTATTGAAGCTTGCGACTAACCTACAGAACTGTTAACTCTTCCTTGACTACCAACACTATCAAAAAATAAACCACTCAAACTGTGGCTTGAGAATATTACACCTGATATAAATTTGAACACTTCCTTGAAACTTTTGTAAAAACAAGTGCCTCGTCTCAGGTATGCATACTGTCGCAAGCTTGCGTTCGATACGCAAGAACTTCCGATCCAACGCAAGTATTAAACACTCTTTTTCCGTAAATCCCTCGATGCGCGAGGAGTGTGCACTGCCATCAGATCAAGGAGAACCACGTGAATACCGGTAATTTGAGACCCAGTATTCTGTTCGTTGATTTTTTTCGTGTTGTCTGCAAGAGAAGGAGATTTTGCGATTACCGGAAAAGCACACCGTCTCCATGCATGTTATTTGCTCATTACTTTTTGTTGACTTAAGGTTTTACATGCCAATAATAGTATGTTTTTTCTGCATGACTGCAAGCTCCACTGAATATTTGTTAGTTATGGCATTTTTTTCAGTAGGGTTCCAATTTTTGGGGCGTCTGAATGCGGTAACACGTCCAAAAAGCAGAACCGCACACAAGAATAACTCCTAAAGACAATCTTGATACCGGGTATCTTATGGGGAAACTGATAGCGAAGTCTTTGCTAAGCTAGTGTCGAACTTATCTTGAACTCCAGCCTAGAACATACTTTCTATCGTATTCTCTGGCGTTCAGTACGGTCTAGGTGACGTTAAAAGTTGAATTTCTCCGCTATAATTGGATCCCATGACTTGTAAGTTTGGCAGTGGCTTAACTGAAACCTCTCGATCACTATAGATACCAAAAAACCGAGGCATCTTTGTAGATTTTTTGTGGGTGACACGGGGTTTTACTGCAAGGCTACAGCGAAAACTACTGGAATTTTACCACAAAGGAGATGCCATGGCAGTTTCGTATTTCCACAAAATCTTCAAAATTTCAGTTGCTGTGACCAGCACCATACAACTCCTTGCCTATCGCACTTTCCGAATTTTTCAAGCAACCATCAATAATAAACATTTCAGAAATCTGAGCAGGCAGCCAGCAATGAATATGTCGATAATATAAGTCGTTATGATAATGAATTTACAAAACTGCACAAGTTTTTTTTTGCGATATTCGAACCCAATTTTGACAGGATATCACAATTTTTCAGAAACTACCCGTATTTCAAGCATCAAACCCACTCAATTCGATAAATTATAAGTGATAAAGAGATGTTGATGAACATGTTAACTTTTAGGAAACATGTTGCACTTTTTGACGCGGCAATAGATTAACACTTCCTTTGACCAAAGCTTGGCCATTCTTCGCATGGCAGAACGGAAACACTTTTCATGATAACTCCGGATAACGGAAAACTACCCATATTTCTTCGAAGCTTCACCTCATGTGCATCTGTTGACTAACATTGAAAAAGATCATTTTGAATGAGATGTGTATAAAAATTCCATTCTATGAATCTGCAAGCCACCCTTTTTTGTATATCTTATCAGTTGAACAGGTAGTGGTAAAGTATCCAGAAAAAGCCTAACACATATTCTCAGCTCTTTGCATTTTCTCAATCCACATTGTTTTAGAACTTTCAGAAACATTTCTCTTTAAATGATGCTTTTCACACTTCACATTGTAGAAAATTGACCCACCAATCAAACTGATTGAAAAAAATGTGTACGAGACATCAAACAAGTGAACGGCGACTTGGCACATGTGGTGCCACGATGCCATCTATCCTGCCCCAGAACAGTTCTCGTTGAACCAGCGTGCGTATCGTCTGCGGCCCAGAGAGGTTCCCATAGGTACCACGTCATCTCGCTGCCTTTCGCACTTTTGAACGTGTTAACCTCGGGCACTTCCATTGAAATCTCAGGAGAAACATGTCAAAAAGAGCGAAAGACAGCGTCGCACCACGTACGCACGCTGGTTCACATGGGAACCTCTCTGGGGCGCAGACGGTACGTGGAGCGATGCTGCCTTTCGCTCTTTTTGACACGTTTCTCCTGAAATTTCAGCGGACTGCCCGAGGTTAACATGTTCAGAAGAGCGGAAGGCTGCGAGATGACGTGGTACCTATGAGAATTTTGTGGGGAACAAACGATACTTTACGCCAGCGTTGAAGGGTGCACCCATGAAAAGGGCAAGAGTCGAAGGCTTTACTTGTATAATTCCATAAAAACGCCTTATGAGAATATCTAGACCAAATCGTAAATTTCTCCTTTCTCACGACAAATCGGACTGGATATACATGACGACGACGAAGGTGAAGGCGGAGAAGGTGAAGAAGAAGAGGAAGGCATGACGAGGAGGAAGAAGGAGAGAGAAGAGTGAAGAAAAGGAAGGGGAAGAAGGACAAGATGAAGAAGACGGCGAAGCGGAGGCTGGAAAAGACGGCAAAGGAGCAGAGAAAATGGTGAAGTAAAGGAAAAGATTGCGATGCCGAAGACAAAATAATATCTTCCATAATATCCTCCGCTAAAGATATCATGACTTATAATAGAGTGCTAAGCGTCTGTCTGTTCTATGTGTGTGCGTTATGTTTGTCTGTCGGAAAAGGTTTAAAGGCCGAGTTGTAGTCAAGATCTTGAGCTGAGATTTTGGCCATAGCATCCTATCAGCATGTAGGTGAACTATGCAAAAGTACAAGCCGATCCGATAAATACATTTGCAAACTGCGCTTCAGTCCACGCGATTTTGGCCCACCCACGTGGATTAGTGATTGTACTTTTTACGAAGTTGTGGATTTGCTTGACAAGTAAATGCGCAGACCATGGGCTTAAAGGCATCGCCCACCCAAAATGGAGTCGATGAGATTTTGATGCCTAACGGTGGTGGGGCCCTATGTATATACTTATCCAACTCGCGCTGGCAGAAGTTGCTTCCGAAGCAATAAAATTGCTTCGAAAATTTCTCGGATGACAGATTCGTCATGTTGGCTCCTCCCCTTTGAGTGGGCGTGACGCTCGTCCCGCCCATCCGTAAGCGCCCAACCAATCACCGTTCCGAAGAAATCGCTCTGCGGATTCTAAAAATGGGGTTTTTCGTGGTTTTCGCGAATTTTCGACTTGATATTCGGAATCAGGGTATAAGAAGGCCTTGGAACAGCAAAAACATGGAGGTCGAAATTTTGGGTGGACGGTGCCTTCAAGCCTAAAAGTGAGAATGTCTACTTTTACGCAAAAACAGCGCCAAAAAGGAATAATTACGCAGATCGTCATTCTGTCACGTTTTCTCCTAATTATTTGTGAAGATTTTTGCTCAGAAATGTGAGTGACGAAACTGGTTGTCATTCAACTACCTGACCATAATGATGCAAGCAACTAACGAACTCTCAATTTTCTAAACAAGAAGAGTCCATGTCCTCTTTCCAAAGTTACCGCTCCTATAGGGAAAAGCTCATGGAAAGAGCAGTTGTTTACAATTCGTTCATGATGGTCAACATCTCACGTCGAGTTCTAGTGCCAACATAATGCGAGCAAGAGGAAGGCATATAGATAGAGGCCAGTGCGAGCCTCTGCGAAGCAGAGGTGAAGCACTGGTTCATAATAGCTTGAAATGCAGAGTATGCCGACATGATTGTATCAGTTATCATCTAACCAGTACGTCACCTCTGCTTCGCAGACGCTCGCACGGGCTCAACTACTAGGTTGTAACATAAGTTTTGAGACACTCTAACTTCTTACGGCGATAAGTCATGCAATTCGCATTTTCAATGGGAATCCAGGGCACAAACTTTCAGTGGGTCGAAGCTGGTGCGAACTTTTGCAAGCCACCTTGTAGAGCTTGCTTTGCTCTATCGAATGGTGCCCAGATCCCCACTGGAAATGTGAATTGCATGACTTATCGCCGTAAGAAGTTAGAGTGTCTCAAGAATTATGTTACAGCCTAATATCTATGTGCCTTACTCATTCTCGTAAAAACTGGCACTGAAACTCACCGCGCCATGCCGACTACCACAAATAAAATGTAAACAACTACTCATTTAGAAAGTTTTTACGTGAGATTGGTGATTTCACGTGAATGAAACTTTTTGCAGGAAGACAAACGCAAATTTGGATAAGTTTCTGAACTTGTCATGGCTTGGTAGTCGCCATAAAGGCAATAGTCACCGTGAGCTACATCTCTATGCGAATTTCTCAAATCTTGGCTAAAGATTGGCAAATTGACATTTACGCAACCAATTCTTTTTGGAGCCGTTTCCTAGTAAACTTTTGAACACTTTTCGGGCTAAAGTCCATCGCTTGCACATTTCCTTACCGAACACTTTTGAACACTTTTCGGGCTAAAGTCCATCGCTTGCACATTTCCTTATCAAACAGATCCATGACTTTGCGTAAAAGTGGTGATACGGATCCAATTTTGTAGAACAGAAGCCAGGTGGATCCGTTTGGAGCGCACCTTCTGAGGGATCTACTCAACGAATCTACTCGTGCTTTTGCATGTTGGACTTTCATGAAGGTAGCATGCGCTAAGCGAAATTTGGGCTTAGACTGGACTGGGCGGCTGGAACACGCTCTACGAATTTCGTAACAGACACAAAGACACACAAAAACACGTAAACAACCCTTAGCCCGTTGTTATAAAGTCTTGATAATTGATTTCTAACAGAGAGCATACAGAAATATCATTCATTTTTGTACCATTTGTCTTGCAAGTAGGTGCACGAGTGAAGTTCTCTCCAAAAAGGATAATGCCTTTCAAGTGGCTGTGGAACCAGCGCAACCTCCAGAAGCGGAGGGAGGTCCTGACACGCCGGAAGCGGTTGCAGATGGAGCCGACGAAGGCAAAACGACGAGAAAATTGAGTGTGAGTTTCCTGAGTATCCAATCAAACTATGACATACTAAATTACTGGTTACACTTCCGATAATTACATTTTGCATAGCGATGCCTCTGTGTTGTGACGTCTGCGTCAGTAACCGCTTGACTTTTCTCGAAAGCGTTCGCTTCACTCGCGGGCATTCTTGTTGCATTCAATTCAAAATCGAATTTTTTCCGACTTTGACTATGGAAATTTTCAGAAAGCTAAAGAGGTGTTCTACTGGATGGGCGGTATCATCATTGTGCTTGACCTGATCTTAGCCTTTGTGGTTTTCCTTCATCTTGGTGGCGCAGTTAAATTCATAGAACCGCTGGCCATAGAAAACTTTGATGGCTAGGAGACATTATGCGCAGAAACAGATACGTAAATACATAACAATCAATTCAAGAATCCTATATCAATAAATATTATTAGTTTTTGTGCTTGTGTTACAATTCAATAGACGGTACAGTGTTGATAGCCATGTCCACGGAAAGTTGTGCATCAGATGATTACCTGCTTGCCGACATTATCTAAACAAGCGTGAACAGTTCTTTGCTGTTTCAAGCTCAAAAAACCTTAAATGAAGTAGACTACAAGTACGAACTTGTCAAGTCTACACATATATAAAGCTCATATTTGGTCAATTGTTAGTTAGTGTGTGAGTTGAAAGAGTTTTTGTGTGTAACCAGCGTCAAAATTTGCAGACATGGGTTTCGAACACTGTCTTATTGTATCTTATTGTACTTTTTGCGGCGAAATTTCCACTGCCCATGATTTACCGATTTTCGGCACTTTTTGAGAAAAATAAATACTTGTGACACCCGCTCTCTCAATTTCGTGTAGACAACAGTAGTGGAGCTCATTTTCATCTCGTGGTGAGGGCGAAGCGGTCATTCAAGGCGAATGGAGGTACAAGTCTTAAATTAATGCAGAGTCGGATGCATTAGCATCTCCTCTCCCGCGCGGCCGCCTCACCTGGACTCTGCCCCTTCGCGAACACGCTCTCTTATCACTTCCCCATTACGAGCGTGGGAAAGGCGAAGCTACGCGGCTATGCGGGCGCAGAGATAATGGTGCAGCCGACTCTGCTATTGTTAATCGGTGAACTTGCGAGTGATAGCCAGGGCTTGGCACAGGTGGCTAACGGGGCAGCCTGTATATCGTTTTGAAATATTAGGTGGTTCCGAAAGTAATGTCGCTTTTTTCAAATGAACGCCACATACTTGTAACCAAGATTTTGAAGAGCTCTTGGGATCAGTGCGGGATGCAGCATTTCGTCCCCTTTCTAATTGTAATTTCATTGCATAATATTCAACGAGCTTTCAGGAAATTAACAAAACCTGCAACTCATGCTTTTTGTCATGGTCAAGTTCGGCTATTTTTCTATATTTTTGTACTGATTCCAGGAAGATGTACAAGTAACGTATAAATAGAGCAAACCCTATAGGACACAAAACAATTTTTTCTTTTCCCTAGTTTGCTTTTTAGAGTCTCTAGAATCAATTCAGTGCTATCAAATTCCATATTTGGTCAACTCAAACCTCACAGAACAGCAGCCGGCAAGCAACTCGGGTGTCATTCGACGCAGCTTTTTCTCCTCTTTTTACCTATTGTTTTTGGTTTCCGATTCATAAAGTTTTCCAGGATAAAGACATCATAATTCATGTTTTCCAGGACGCCCTAAGCTGTACCCGAAATTTGCGAATGTTGCTAAATTAAAGCGGTAAACGCTCACTTGCTTTGTAAAATTAGTGTCAAACCATAATCCACCTTTGTAAGCTTTGAAACCCGAAAATTTATTGGTGTTTGATGCATTTGTGTCTGAGACAAGCCTGCTAAATTCGGTGATTCCATCAAAAAATCTCTACAAAAATCATGACGAGCCATGGAAAGTAGAAAAAATCGCACTGTTTCCTATAGGGTCTGCTCAATCCACCTGTTACTTGGACTCCTTTGGAGGACTGTTGTAAAAATTTAGAAAAATTGTGAAACTTGACCTTCTCAAAAGCATGGGTCGCAAATTTGGGTAATTTTTTTGGAGCCTATCGAATATTTTGCAATGCCCATGTAACCATTAGAAAGAGAATGAAATGCTGCATCGAAAGCCACCAAGATCTCCTGGAAATCTTGCTTTTACGAAATGTAGTGTTTACTTGAAAAAAGCGACATTACCTTCGGAACGAGCTAATAAAAGCAAGGGGGAGATATCGTCGAAGCGCCCCCCCCCCCCCTCCCCAACACACACAATCGCCATCTGCGTTTATGTCAACCATCTTCTATAGAAGACGCAAATTGTCATTTCTGCCTTATCGATCTGAAGGAACCAAAATTTTCCCGTTTCAATATGTTCGCCGGTTAAGCGCGCGAATTCAAACCTGCACCGAAATAAACAAAAGACTTGTTTACAGTGAAGAGAAAATTAAATGATACCAAAATTGGTGTGTAGATGGACAATAGGGATTTAGAACTATGTGCAAAAACTTATGAGAAAATTATGTGAACTGAAGGCGTAGCAAACTTTTTTCGGAGTTAGGTGACTCTCCAGCTACCTGGACAGCCACCTTAGGTGGCTGTGAAAGGAAAAAGTCATATATTTCCCTTCCTTCAAAAATTCTCTCACATTTTAATACAACCTTGTTCTACATAAGAAACCCTTCAACTGAGTTTTTAGATCTCTTCAAACTCCCTCTTCCACGCCTAATTACAGCCCTCCAAATATGTTGTATGGCGGCGGCAAGTGCTCCAAGCGGCAAAGGTGCGCGCTGGACACAGCATGCCGCTAATTTGGGAAATACAAACAAATATTTTTGTGTTTTGCTCCATTTTTTTCGTCATTCGTTTTGATCATTTATGATCGCGTCATAGGCGAAGTCGTATTTTTGTGCGAAAGTCTACAGGGACTTCGTTTTCAGAAATTTGAAAAAGCCACCTCATGCCGAGCCCTGGCGCTAGGTTCAGCAACTAACAGCTTCCATCAATCGACCAGCACTTCCTCTAGTTCTGCTGTAATCAAGAATGTGGAAGGTACATCCTCTGGTGGAGCAGCCTCAAACAGTTTGAATTGTTGACTCTCAGTAACATCACAGGTCAAATCGCGTTCGTCCCAATGATTGAGTAGTTGTGTTTATATATTGGAAATCAGTACTGAACATTTGAATGTGTCGAGTATTGATGTGGTAGGCTGCAGACTTTGTCGTAGCCCCTTAATATCAACAAGGGTATTGTGTTTATCATAACCAAGAAGATTCGATCAGTGGGGAGATAAGAAGGACGTTATCAAGTGCCTAGTTCAAAGAAGTACAGGTGACAGCAGTGTAGGGACACCTCAAAAGCGCAAATAGCTAGGAGATAGCAAGTAGTGTTGGTAACCTAAGTCCACGATAAAGACACCATAACTTCTTTGCTTCGTCTTTCCTTGTTCAAAGATTTCGTAGTGTAAGGTCAGATAACGCAAAATCTCTCAAATTCTTACAAGATTACTATGACAACTGTCAGTAATTATTGCTTTTGAGGTAGGAAAGATTTTCTAGCAGCAATCGTGTTTACTCACTATAAAATGTTCTTTTTTTTCGATTTGTGTGGGAGACTCGTCCTTGATACTGTCACCTCGCTGACAATGTTATCTGACTGGCAACGTCACTTTCTGATTAATCTCAAAGCAAGCATCATAAAAACGGATTTTGGTGTCACTGTAGACAAGAGGACATGATATTAAAAGCACACACTATTTTATGTATTTCTGTCAGTTTTCTGCGGGAATGAACAGCATTGTAAAAAAATTTATTACTGGGTGCTTGGAAGCCAAACATGGGGCAAGTCACGTAATATCGGCCGAAAGTTTCGCGGAAAGGCCAGAGACTAAAAATATAATTCTTCTTGTTGGGAGCATAGTGAGCATATTTGCACAGGTATGAGGCCATGAACATAAAAAGAACTAAGGATCGGACTTTTTCAAAATTGGACGGTCCCCGTGGATGTCTAGTTCACTGGAACTTCTGCAGTGTTCGAGTAGTAAACCAAAATTACAACTAATAGTGCGATCTGGGAAATCTACTTGCATATTTCCGCAGAGCATAGAGGGAACGGAAACGCACGTGAAATTTCTAGTCGATGTCTGACTTGTAACAAGGACGTTCTCACAATTCTCAAGTTCCTGCACCAATCATGTGCATTCTATAGCAATGACATCGCCAGCTGTATATATAGAGGAATAATCCTTACAAAAAGCTATCGAAAAATCCAGAATTTTTCTTCAAAAATCAAGTAGTTCTTCTTTGTTGGATAGGAATATGAGAGAAAAAATTAAGGAATATGCAATATGGTCGGCTCCAATACTTGGCGCGGACGCTCGAAAACACGTTCAAAAGACATTAGTAACAACTTAGTGTGACTAATTTACCTTATCTATGACAGTGTCTTGACATTCTTTCATTAAAAAAGGATGCCAACCTGTAATAAATTTCCCTTGACTACTTGTGTAGCGCTCACTATCTCTATCCGTTACACTTTACCTATACCTTTTATCTCACAAATGTACAAAGTATTTCAGTCGTGTATAAGCCACCAATTGTAAAACGGTTTTTCAGGAGATGGAGTGCTGCCTTCGATGTGAACATGCCCGATTTTGACGGTCTGTCTAGGTACGAAAGGAAGTTAATTTATCTAAAAAAAATTGTTTTCTTAGTGGAGCTGTTGCGAGTTATATCATAATTTTGGGCTTTGTGGTAGTAATTGCTGTCGCACTTTTGGCATTTTTCATACTAAACAAGCGGAAAGGGAGGCAACGACAGCGAACAGCAGCGCAAAACCTCACCAGAAAGTCAGTATGAACTCTTTCTTTTGAAAGCGGGAAAGATAAAAAGCAACAGAGAATTTGTCTAGTACTGCTGATTTCAGCCAGTTGGCAGAGAGATCTTCACCTACGTCTTCATTGGGAGATGAAGCACCAACAATAGTCACCATAATCCAACCATCCACACTGCCCTGCAATGGCCAGATTCAGGGGCGACGCTACGTGGAGGAGCACTACATTTTTCCGACATAGCATCATCTTCGGCACCGTTGTAGTCTTATAAATGATTTCTCATTTTAAAATTCGTAATCTTTTAAAGTTTCTCATTCTACGTTATAGGGATGGTATTCGATGTATGAAAAAATTGTCCATAAACTCTTGTTATTTTCTGAAAGATTTTCGCAAACGCATATCGCTCTAAATGTGGTGGGAGTACCGCTACTCTTTATCGCAGTTACACAAGTTCATCCTCCTTCATCTCGATCAACTTTGACGAGGTTAATCCTAGGATGGTGACGTTGTTTGATGATGAATTAGCACCTGCTAGCAAAGGTATGAATCGCTTGCAGTACATTTCGTAACGATAGGATGAACTTACACGGACAAATTCAGCGGCATTGTAAGCCATGATGTACATGGTGTCCCAAACAAAAGTATCGAACGTTTGATGCTAATAACTCTCTTATTGTGAATCTTTGGAGAATTAGGTACCTTCTATAGAGCTGGCTCCACCTTAGATTCGCAGTTTGGAACGAATTACCGATGGCTTTTCATCACTGTACGACAGAAACTTTCGGCATATTACGTTGCTGTGAAAAAGCTGCTATTTTGATTGAAGAAGACTCTGAAAAGTTGTGTAACATGTTTTTCATGGAAGGCTGAGGTTTATACTCAACTTTGTACAGTGAAACACATGTTTTAGTACATCGAAAACGGCTGCTAGCTTACTTGGCATAACACTTTAAAAAAGCATTATAATGAGGTGCAGACTCCATACTTTTTTGAATCAGCAGCTCCAGTTACCCCAGTGTGAAAGTTGTCAAGTCGTTTTTGTTTCGTGAGGCAAAGTATGGCCTTCCACGGAAAACTCTTTTCAATTTTCATACCTAAATTAGTGATGCGGTCAATGATTCGCTGTATACCGTAAATCTAAGTTGAACCTAGCTCTGCAGACTGGTACCTAAAGTTGTTCGCCGAAAGACATCAAAGCAAGAGAGTTATTAACAAACAAACGTTTGTTTTGAAGAAAGGGCTGAGCACACATTGGTTACGCAGGGTGCCCCATATGTACACATTTGGTCTTCACTATTTCTCAACAAAGCCTTTGTCGATTTTCATGTACCGTTCAAGAGCTGGCTTCACTAAGATTTACAGTACGGGACAATTCTTCTATCCTTACTTTGCTTTAGTAATACGTTAGATACTTGCAACATTCAGCGCCGTTGTGACTCACAAGGAAAGCATGTTTAGTCGAACTGGCCTTTTTAGATGGAATGCACACCATATTGAAGGGCTTGAAATGCTGATTCCAAATTTGGCTTTCTTTTGCAGAACGTTTATGAACGAGGAGTTATGAGCGCTTATTGGAGCAAAAAATTGATTGTGTAAGTAGGACAAAAACAGCTGTAATATTTTTTTCTAGCTTTTCAATGGACAGTGATGATCATCAGAGCAGTTCATTCAAATAATACTTTGAAATAAAAAAAATATGTCACACTTGATTGCATTATTTGAAAACTAGTAAGATTTTAGCGATTCATTTTATTCGAAATGCACATCAATTTCGCTTAAAAACGCTCATAAGTCCTCGTCCATAAACGTTCTGCAGATAAGGAAGGCCGATTTGGAATCAGCGCTTTATGTCCTTCAATATGGTGCACATCCCATCTGAGAAGACCAACTCGACTAACCAAGCTTCCCTTGTTAGGCCTGTATGCAGTACATCCCCGCGGGGAGGGGAGGGGATCTGAGAGCAGGGCCCGGCACAGATCGTCTGGAAGCAAGCTGGACTTCATTTTTGAAGCAAACAGCAAAGAAGATATCGTTTTTGACGAGAACCGAGCACCAAGAATAAGCGCCATTTAGTCGAACACAACTTTTCGGACAGGTTATCACACGATCGACATGCTCTATCGTGCGTGGCGAAAAGTGCGCGCGATTTGAAAGCAAGGCTCAAATAAACAAATTGCTTGTTTACAGCGCACACAGAAGCATATGACACCAGAATCAAACTGTATACATAGTAAATTATTTGCGGAAGTATTATGTAGAAAGATTTGAAAACTTTTTTGAAGTATTACCTTTCCCAAAATTAGATTGTTTCCAGACGGCCACCAGCGATCTGAGATCGTCTGGAGCATATATTTCTGCCACTTCACACAAGTTTCGGATCTTTTTAGCATGGACGGATTCCCCGGTCAAAAATCTATCCCTGAACATGAAGACATCTTCATATCATTGCCTTTCCTTTGTTTTTTTGCCTTCATTTCTTCTCGCTTTGTTAAATATCGCGCTCTAATGCCAAAGTCTTGTGCTGCGTAGTATTCAGCTTCAACTTGGATTTTCACTCTTATCTTACGTCTTGCCTTTCAGACTAGAAAATCTTTCTTGTCTTCATCTTCCCCTAAACGGGTAGATCCAGGGAACTTGGTAAAACTTCCGAAAGTCAGGGGAGACTTCGTTTTCAGAAACCCTAAAAACCGACTCGTGCCGGGCCCTGTTTGAGAAGGGATGCGACATATTCCAATAGTCTTAATGTCTTTCTTCTCCTTTCTCTAAATGGGTTATGGAGGCTTTCATACCCTGATACCTGCGCATATGGTTGCCAGGATATTATCATACAAGATCGGACTTTCGCTATTTTGTGTGATTCCCTGGGGATTTCCAGGGAATCATCTCTCAATTTCAAAGTCATTTTTCTTTCTACAACCTCAGTGTAAGTATCAAAATTGTGCTGAAAAATATAATATGGCACTGCGAACATGTTTATAGTAGAATGAAGTGAAATCTCAGAATATCAATCTTCGATGAACCGCGGCTAGCGAACCAACAATTATCAAAAAATTCACAATCTTCAGACTCCATTTCTCCGTCGAAAGCATCTTAACAGTGCCAGTATATCCTAGTACAATTTTACAGCGTTTTCATTGGGTTTGAGGAAGATAAATGACTTTGAAAATGAGAGGTGATTCGCTAGGGATCCCGGAGATTGCACAAACTAGTGAAAATCTAGTCTTGCATGGCAGTAACCTGGCATTTATCATGCGCAGGTATCAGGGTAGATGAACCTTCATAGCCAGATAGAGAAAGAAGAAGAAAGATGTCTAAAGTAACGAAATATGACGCATCCTCTCTCAGATCCCCTCCCCTTCCAGCGGGGATGTACAGGCCTTGGCTGCTAGTTCAGAATTTTCAAAAAAGTCCACAAAGTCGTGTAGCAACATCTCCATGCAATCCGAACTCCTTATTTGAGTTTTTTACGAGCTTGGAAACCTTTATACGATATAATCGTATTTTTAATTACATTTTGAAAACATTCGTTACAGTCTGGCACAACACAGCATTACGGTGAAGCGGGGATTTCCTATCCAAGCAACTCTGACTAGCCTAATACGGGCTTGTTCGCTTTCATTCTGGAGCAAAATTGCTCGAAATCCTCTTCGAAGTCCCCACCTTAACCTTACAGTAAAAAAGAGGGTTTATCAATCTGCTTCGTACTGCTCAGTTGAAGTCAACTACACAGTAAAGGTTGGTAAAAGGCTTTATAGGAAGGGTGACGGCAAAGATCAAACAATGAGTGCATACTTTGGGATATCCTTCTTGCAACAAAACTATCCTTCAATGTTGTTTGAAAACAATCAAATGGTAATACGTCTTTTTTTAAACTGCTTTGCTGTGGAGAATATAAATAAAACAGATGAGAACGGGCAACTTATCACTGACCAAAAATGCCCTCAAAAATTGTTGGTATATTTGTGATATTTACATATAGAAAACATAACAAAAACAAATCCGGAACACTCTATAATTCTGCTCTTCGTTGGTTCGCACTCTATCGGAGCTTTTTGAGAAGCACATATGAGCAGAGATATGATATCATGCACTGAAGATCTTCTAGTTCACGATGTTATCTATGCTGTTGGTTAGTTTTCAGTGCTTTGCGAATTTGGCTGTTTGTTCGCATGAAACAGTTCAGTACTCGTTGATTCTTTGCACATAACCGCCGTCCCAGTCTTCACATGTCTATCCAGTGCGATCGATGAGTGAACGCGCTGCGAACTTGTTTTTCTTTCGCTGCATCTCTGCTCTTTCTGCTATTGAGTGCAACATACCATTCTTTACCACTACAACTCAATGCGTATTTGCTGACATCGTGTACTCTCTTCCTTTCTGCTGGTCGTATTTTGTAGCTACAACTAATAATGTGTGGAGGAAGTAGGCCTTGCTTCAACTATTCGCTGCTTTTACCTTATTTATATTCTTCCACTTATTTCTGTCCTTTTCGAACATAATCAAGTCTGAAATTCTCTATAATCAACTTCACAATCAGTTTCCAATTTGGACAGAGAACTACATCGGATTCTTTTGCGTCTTCTCTTAAACAGAGTAGGACGGAATTTCAAGTGACAGTATGAAAATCGAGGATGCATGTAGATGTGCGGTATTCAGACTACCGTTATGCTGGAGCTACGTTTGTATCGCAAAACTTGAGAGATGGACAAACTCATTGTGCGAAAATTCTGGTCGCGTTGCAAGTCACGGAAACAATTGCAAGTTAGAAACGCACAGCACTGGACAACCGAATCGATGATTACGCTGCTCTGCTCATTTCCGATGACGCTATTACTTCAAAATAATGGATCGCAACTATGCAAAAATTCACAATGTGCAGGCCTTGTTCCTCAGAAACCCACTTCAAACCTTCGCGGTCCAGTGCATGAATGTCCCGTTATAAATTCCTGTGATGCCAAGAAAAAATAAGACTGTTAGGGTTATCCATTAATTTGCAAAGATTAGATCAATATTGTGACAAAACTTCTGTTCTTTTGCAACCTGAATTGTACAAACGTTCAAACACATCCTGCACACTGCGAAAGTGGGTGGACTTACTTCGACGAAACAGAGGCTTGCTATAAGGTAAGTGGTAAAAGCACTGAAACAGTTTGTCGAATACTCTGACGGCTGAACCATATCAATACCTCTCCTCCCCCCCCCCCCCTGAAAAATTCTGGCTAATCTTGCTGTACTTCTATCTCACAATATCTCCAGTGAGAGGCTAATCAAGCATCAGTTTGGTCACGCCATTGAGCAGATGCGAATTCACCGTTGAGTCATATCTCACCCCGCGAAAAGTGCAGGAAAAGCTGGAAAGATGAGCTCGGATTCTACGCTTTTTTTCTTTTGTTCGCGACTCTTATGAGATGAGCTTATGTGGATCTTTACAACACTATCAATTTTACGACTGGAGTAGCGAAATGCAGGCTAATCCATGTAGGTCTGCCGTTTCGGTCTCTCCGACACTATCATTCTCAGTTTGCGAATGTTCCACCTTTTGTATCACTGCTCAGTTTATAACATGGAAACAAAATTTCATACTGTCTGCATGATTCAACATGTAAATTACAATTACTGAAGACAAACGAACAAGAAGCACAACTTAACTTTGGAGACGGCAGAATAGCGCAAGTCTCGACTTCAGGTTGAATTGTGTTGAAAGGTTTAGAATTTCACTCCAAATCATCACTACAGGATTTGAAGCAAAAACTGTGTATTCTTCGTAAGTATGACCGCAACAGCGCTGCAGCTCTCCGTCGGCTCCGAGTAATGTATGGTAGAGCAGGAATGGAAACCGAGCAACTATTGGTTAAGTTAAGCCGAATACAATGACTCGGGATTTCAGCGATTTCAAACATATAATTCTACACTTTTCTGTCCTGCAAAAGACAATGACTGTGAATGTCTCCTAAATCCTCTCCCGTCCCACCCGGCCTATCCGGCTCGAAGGCCCGGTTTACGAGAGCGCAAAATGCGCATGTGTGGCTTACCTAATCTTCGAGATTGCTCCAAATGCATTTGTCCAGGTGGATATGGAGGCCGACCATGCAACAAAAGTGTATGGAATCTTTACCCGTTCACTGTTTTGGATGACTGTTTTAGTCAGTGGAAACAGGAAGGAACGTGCAAGCAAATAAAAATGGCAAACGCTCGAGGCAGTAGTAAAATATTCGGATGTGCGGAGAACCTGAAACCTGAACCTGACTAGAGAGGATTGATTGATACTGCTGGATACGACCCACGGAGTATGAAGTTAATACTGCGACGATGATATGGAAGTCAGCATCGTACATCTTGAGGAAAGAAGATCGAGGCTAAAATTATGTTATTTTAAAAAACCCGAAATTTTGCGATGCTACCGGTTTGGTTTTGAGATCAAAACACTGAAAGATCAGCTTCTGACCGGATACAGACAAATTGTATCACCTGACCCTCTTTGCATATGTTGCACATAAATTATGTGCAAGATTAAACTTCTGCTGTTCATTCTTAGAACGCTTGCTGAAGACATCCCTGCACCACCGCGGAGACAATCGGAGCAATGAATTGAAGAGCACAAAAGAAAATTCGAAGTTATGAAGCCTGACATGAGGGTTACACGTCCATTTACTGTCGTTTACAGAATAATGGCTTCATTGAAGCTTTTCACCGAAAGGTCGGTAGAACAAATGGGACTTCGGTCCCTTTCCAGATGGTGTGGACGGCATTTCGAAGTTGCCACAGGTGCGTTCAATGGATCTTCTGAAGGGTATAACATGAACTACAGCGAGCCCGCATCAACGCGCAAACAAGCAAGCTCTTTTCGGTTCACATACCCACATGAGGTATGTCGTCCCCAGCATACTTTGTGTGAGCACCACCTCAACAGGTGCTCAAACACCTGGAAACTTAATCTTGCACAATGTAAACTAAAAATACCCCTGCTAGATTTTCCTCCGGAGGGGACAGGCAACCTCCGTAGTTTTGGCCGTCGAACAGGTATGACTAATGCTACGGCGTCTTCCCCCTGCCATTCTACACCCGACAAGGGATTTGGAAGTGCAGATTTACTTTAAAATGAGGGACGAGTATAACAACAAGCAGGTTAGTTTTGCTAAAAATCACATTTATTCTTTGTTCATTTGCATCACTAACATGTTATATATTCCTGTTCTTGATTTCCCAGAAAGATTCATCTCAGGAACGATATCGCCGTCATCACTCGCTCTCCTCCCACAACCACACGTACGTGGACGCCCAAGACTTGAATGGCGACACTGAAATGATTTTTATGATTATTCGGAATAAAAACTTTATAATAGATTTTTTTTATGAAAATGCAGGTTCTAATAGAACAGTTTATTCATTATGAGTAGGATTTATGAAAAATTGTCGAAATTTAGGAGTATGGCTTGGCTATCAATCCGCCAGCGTGTAGAGTGCAAGACAAGGCAAATATTTGGAGATTCTTTGAGCAAGCCTTCTAATTTTTTCTTTTGGTTTGTGCTGTGTTTTTTTCGTAAGTATTGATACCATACTGCCAATGTGCGTAATGTTCTTCTTTTTGACAAGTCATTCAAGGCATCGTGTAGTTTATATTGACGAAATTCGCGTTCTCACACATCACTCGTTAATCCTCACACTATCATCCATCAATTAACTGCAAAAGCTGCTCTTGAAGAAATTGTATTGAAAATACAACTCGTACGTCAACGAGTCCGTTTCGTATTTCTCTCAATTACCCTAATTTCACGCGTATAAGACGCACCTTTTTCGGTTCTTCAAGCGCGTCGCTCAGCCGCCTCGTTGTGTTTCGGAACACGACAATTATGCCGCACAATAATCTCAGGAATTATGCAGCATTATGTATAATTTTTTGGTCGCGAAATCCTTCGGCGTGTCTGTGCTGGTCGATTAGAAAAAAAATCCCCCGCGTCCTATAAGCGTGAAATTAGGGTACTTCGGTTGGGTTGTCAAGGATATGGGAAAAAGCGTAGCACATATAAGAATTTCATTGCAATACTTTTTCCCTTAGAAATAGCATTTCACTCTAGGTCGATCGATACGCCCCCCCCCCTAGCTTCCCCCTCCCTCCCCCTCCCTTATGATACCCCATCCAGGGCCGGCGCGAGGCGGGCAAATGACGAGCTGGAAATCGTTTTGGATTGAAAAAGCAAGGGAGATTGTTTCTCAGGAGGAAGGGGAGAGGAGGGGTCTGTGGCGGAGTCACGAAAAATATTGATAGTTCAAATGGCAAACAAATTTGAGCTCTTTCCCATATATGGGCTTTCGCGCGCGTCAAATCGCGCCGCCGCTGACTGCCGCACGCGCCGAGCAAATTGGAACGCATATATTAGGTCGTCCCGAAAGTTCTTGCGCACGATTTTCAAAAATTCATAACTTCCGATTTTTCCATCCGATTTGACTGTTCCATTTTTTTATGAAAGACCAAGTCATGCTCTTTATAATGACATCTTACATGCTTACTAATGGTCATCTGTTGCATAGATAGGAGCGATAGAATAAAATTGGTCAAAAATCGAATTTTCTGTGTAGGGTCATAAAAAATCGGAGACTTGCAACAAAAATCGGAGCAATAGGTATTGTAGGTATTTTCCCCAGCTCTTTCTAACAGTGCAAAGTTTGCACCAATTGAGAGTCTTTATGAAAAGTTATGATTTCCCTGAAAATGCCAAAATAAATCAAATTCGCCCTTTTGTATTGCGTGCTCGAAAATCATAACTTTTCATAGAGACGCTCAATCAGCACAAACTTTGCACAGGTAGAAAGAGCTGGTGAAAGAACCTATAATACTGACTGCTCCGATTTTTGTTGCAAGTTTCCGATTTTTTATGACCCTACACAGAAAATTCGATTTTTGACCAATTTTATTCTATCGCTCCTACCTATGCAAAAAATGACCATTAGCAGACAGATAAGATGTCTTTGTAAAGAGCATGACTTACTCTTCCACACAAAAATGAAAGCAGCCAAATCGGTTGAAAAAATCTAAAGTTATGAATTTTTGAAAATCGTGCGCAAGAACTTTTGGGACGACCTAATACAGGGTGTCCCAAAAAAATGTTAACACTGTTTGATCGTTAATAACTCCCTTGATTTCATGTCTTTCGGTGAGCTTAAGGCACCATTCTGTAGAGCGAGGTTCAACTTAGATTTACAGTTTGGATCGAATCACCGTTCGCTCTTCGTTACTGTAGGATTACGGTAAGAAATTCCAGCATGTGGAACCGTCGTGAAATATGCCCTCTGACAAAATTTTTTTTTAAAAATCTGAAAAATCGTATACTAGGGTTGCGCACGCTGATTTTACTACACAACTTTTTACGAGTGTTTCCAGCTTTTTTGAAGGTGTAATCACATTTTTGACACATGCTGGGAAGTCAGTTATTACGCTTTACTTAGGATAACTTTGAAAAGAAGAATCATAATAAAATGGAAATTTCATATCCACAATCAGCGGCTTTCATTAACATAGTACAAGAGATTTCGGCTTGTTTGGCTCTGTTTCGAAGCAGAAAATGGCCTTTAATAGCCTAAAATCCTTGTCAAATTTCCTACCGTAATCCTACAGTAATGAAGAGCGATCGACGATTCGCTCCATACTGTGGATCTAAGTTTGTCCTCGCTCTACAAAATGGTACCTAAAGCTCGGAGAAAGACTTGAAAGCGAGGGAGTTATTAACGATCAAACAGTGTTAACATTTTTTTGGGACACCTTGTATATAAGGTTGTTGCAAAAGTTCTGTCGTTTCATTTTCAAAAATTTGTAACTCCGCGAAATTTCAACGGATTTGCATGCTTGTAATTTTATTAGAAAGAATAAGTCTTTCGCTTTCAAATGCTGTTCCGTGGAGCTTCTGTTTCGTACTGGGTGCGGAGATAAAAATGGAAAACTAAGACCATATAAACTTTGACCATTTTAAGTTAGGTCACCAAAAATCTGGAATGCTGCAGAAAAATCTGAAATCGTCAGTACATATGTTTTTCGGCCTACCCTTTGCATCTGTGGAGAGTTTGTGCTGTTTGTACGTCTCTGTAAGAAGTTATGATTTTCGCGAAAATTGACAAATTAATTAATTTTGGCGTTTTCCATAGTAAACTCGATATTCATAACTTCTCACAGAGACGTCCAAACAGCGCAAACTTTTCACAGATGCAAAGGATAGGCCGAAAAACATATGTACTGACGATTTCAGATTTTTCTGCAGCATTCCAGATTTTTGGTGACCTAACTTAAAATGGTCAAAGCTTATATGGTCTTAGTTTTCCATTTTTATCTCCGCACCCAGTATGAAAAGAAGCTCCACGGAACAGCATTTGAAAGCGAAAGACTTATTCTTTCTAATAAAATTACAAGCATGCAAATCCGTTGAAATTTCGCGGAGTTACAAATTTTTGAAAATGAAACGACAGAACTTTTGCAACAACCTAATATTATACATGACTAGTTCTCAATGTATGCGTAACGATATGGCACCAAATGGGGCAAATGAACGAACATAGGCTAGAGAGCACAAGGTATAAAAAATTATGAAAAACTCATGTGAATGGAGGGTTTCTAAGCTTCTTTTCTAAAATTTCTCTTAACAGGTGAGTGAATATGTGGCTAAAATGGTTCGTTTGCAATGCACAGGCGACAATATGGTCCTAAATTTGTTAAGTACATGGACACAAATCTGAAGGAGTTAAAAAAGTTTCCTTTAAAAAATTATGCAAATGAAATTTGTATCAAGCTTTTCTCTGAAAATTTCTCACTACCAAAAAAAGGAAAAACGGCTGCAACACACAAATGACGATATGACATAAATTCGTTCTGTATACGTGCATTGGGGACTGAGGAACAAAGCATGAAAATTATGAAAAATTATGAAAAACTCTGTGAATGAAGAGCATGCTTGACTGTTTTCCAAATTAGGCGGAAAATTGCCCACCGAAGGCCTTGGACAGAGTTCACGCAATTTAATCGTCGCGATGCAATCGCCGCGAATTCCAATCATTTCCATTTTACATTCAAAAAATTCGTACTGGAAAAGTATAACAACCGAAATGCAAGCTGGTCGGCATCCAATGAACTCGTAACAGTTGTCTTGTCGCGACTGAATCGCTACGATCAAATCGCGTGAACTCTGCCCGAGGCCTAATGGCCATTTGAGGTAAGCAAAATACAAGTTACATAATTTTTCCAAAATTTTTGCATGAATCTGTTTTACACCTAAAGTTTAGTATATAGTGATATTTCAGTTCCAAAACTCCTCCTCTCCTCTTATTAGGATCCGAAATAGCAACGACGCCGGTCCTTTCGAGGAAGGAAGCCCGCTCGAACCTACGCACTACTGCGACCAACGGGGAAATCATAAAAATACGATAGTGGCAAAGGCAAAGTCGTTTCACCGATGTCCGTTTGCACCCTCGCGCCGGGCTGTGACCCCCTCCCGTGTAGCGTGCCACACTCCCCGCTTCATGCTGCGCATAATCAGTTTACGTCCCATTTCTATAAGAGAGGACGAAAAAAAAACCAAATCAAATCAAATCAAACAGTAATGTTGCACTTATCATAAGGTAGAACAGAATCTGGCAGTTGAAATGAGAAAGTAAGATAGCATCACCGCATAAGAGAATTTCTTGTCGTTCATATATTCATGCAACGGCTTCCAAAACAAATCACTTCTACTAACTATTCTTTGGCTTGGACCTCACTAGCAACAACAGCAACATTCTATTTTATCACAGACCCAGTTTTTCAAACAGTGAAGATAAGGTTTGTTATCGCATTCTGTTTGCCAAAACCTTGTGTGAGAAGGTTTTGATGTACAAGAGATAGTTTGTGTGCACACACTAATCGAAGCAGAAGACAAAGGTACATATTGTAAGCGCCATCTATCTAGTCCACTTCACCGTGGCTGCACACAAAGGCACCGACGTCTTATTCGATGATGACAAGATGTTCTTTTTGCATATGCGGAACGCCTTCTGACAAAAACTCACCTGGTTGACTATATCTCGTCGAGTTAACACACGAAATCATTACGTGCCGCTTTGGGGCACGCGCAACTTGAGATGACAAGGCGACTACTATACATGTGTAGTTAAGCAGGCTCAGTCTATACTCCGTACTCGCTGATAAAAACACTGTCATTAGTCATGTCACTAGATCTGCCTTCCTTAGTCTTGACCAAAAAAGCACAGTCGACCTTTTTCCAAATTATGTTTAATGTGTGCATATATAAAGCTGAGTGTTGGTAAATTGTTAGTTAGTGTGTTCTCTATAGAAACTTTTGTGTGTAGACCAATCAGCATCAAACTTCGCACACATATAGGCTGTACCAACCAGCATCGGTTCCGCGCTATTATGCCTTGCGATAACGCGCAGCCGCACACGATGTACTCTCGCGCGTAACGGAGTTCGCACGCGTCACACGCATCGTCGCAAGCTGCCGCAGGCGCGACGTCGCATGACCGATGCTGGTTGATACAGCCTATATGCTTTCGACACTTGTCCACCGGTGTCGAAAACATATTTGGCTACTTTTCGCGGCAAGATTCCTACTCCTTCCATTGATTTATCGACTTTGAAGAGAAGTGAGCTCTTATACGTGCTCTGCTCAAACCTCTTCCAACTTTCGCGTAAACAATAGCGGTAGAACTCATTTTCATTGCACGATGCTGGAATTGCGGTAATTCACAGCAATGCTCTCAGCAGGTATATGTGCCGTGTGTTACAAGGGAAACAGAAGGAAGCCATGCAAATAAGTTTAGCTTTTAGAATTTAGCAAAGTTCTTTGTTTAGCCATTCAAGCTTGCGGGCAGGCGAAGCTGGGAAATACAGCTAAAATAAACAGTAAACAGTAAACGGTAAACAGTAAACAGCTTGGCCAATTAGTATGACACTTTCAGAATAAAGGACGCTGTCGTTGTCATTTATTTAGTGGTGAGTGGGTATGATAAGGAAACGATTTTGTTTCATTGAGAATCTCTAGAAAGCGGCTTTACCTAGAACAAAGCGGCATTTCTGATAGCAGGCAGCAAATTCAACAGTCCACTTTACACACAACTTTTCTCTTGGTTTTTGTTATTTGCAGAGTTATCGGCTGTGTAATTAGCCTGCGCTTAGTGCTTTTAAAGCTGTAGTCAGATCGTTGGGAGAGATCAAAAAGGCACTAATAAGTTTGAGTAATCGACGATGAGCACCTGATGCTGTAATTAGGCAAGGAGGCTGTGTTCGTTGATAGAACTGAAAAGGAATTACAGCGGTGAGTACGTAAAGTTGGATTCTGACCAGGGCCCGGCGTATGGAAGCCGGCTGAACTTCTTGGAGCGAAAAAGCAAAGTGAACAACGTTTCTGCGACCAAAAATTGCGACGTTTTTCTTTTTTTTGGTCAAGGGGGACTTCGTTTTCAAGAAGCCTAGAAACGAACCAAGCCGGTTCTGATTCTGAGGTGGAGTCCGGTTCTTCCTGCGAAAAAGGTGCGAGCGCTGCATTCGAGCATGTCTCATCATTAGATCTTGTGCAGCCGCGCGCGCCGGTTATATGTCAAGATTAACGATACACGCAGTAGTGGCACTTACAGTGTCAATAAACGGCGTACAGGTATACAACACTGGCAAACTGCATATACATAGTGTGTATAACTTAAGAGGATTGATAAAGTGCCCTATCTTCTGTACATCAAAATGTGCTTACAGTGAGTTATGGATATTTGGAATATTGCCAAATCGAGTCGTGACTGAAATGCGGCGTGACCGAAATCGCGTGAAGTATGCCCGGCCTTTAAGCTTCTATGATTGATGTAGGAAACGAATTTTAATGAAAAGAACTGGAGTCTTAATCATTTTTCTCATTTTTATGAATAAGAGAGGGCGGGCTGTTTTGCGCGCGTGAGCAGCTGACAGCTAGCGGCTGGCAGAGCTATCGTTATTCTTGACCGCCACCCTCGCGCCTCGCTTGCATGAGCAGTCCATTCGTCTGGGGCTCGCCGCTATAGGGTCATGCAACAGGCTTGCCAGTGAAGCAAATAATTAACATGCGCGCAAAAAGGAAAACTTCTGTATTTTTCGTCAGAAAGACCCATCCCTTTTATCCACTTAGCAATCATATGATTAGCGCAAGCCCTTTCAAAACTGCTGACGGTGTGGAAAACCCCTCTGTATGAATGGCCTTATGGTTATCGCTGTCATTATGGAATTTCTAACTGGCCCACAGATTGCCGTGAGGGCGAAGTCTTATGAGTGTGTCAAAAGTGCCGTAGTTCACTGTTGGGGCATAGTTGATAGAGTAATTATCGGTTAACCAGTGTAATCCTCCTCGCGGCAATCTGTATAATTTTAATCACTGACAGTGCCGCAGCACCGGCGGCTCGGGTCCTCGCAGCCTTGCAGAGCTTGCGTAACTCTGTGACCAGTTATTAATGAAACATCTAACATAATACAATGCTTCACTCCTTTGTGGCGTCTTTTACTAGCTGGTAATTACCTCATCAGTTTCAGTGTCAAGCACAGGCTCAGGCGCTTGGCCTGTGAATCGTTTGAAAGACGAGGAGTAGGGCTGCGAGGTTTGATGACCGAAGTTAGAAGAAGGGATGCGCCCAAATTCGTCGGCAAAACCTTAATGAAAAAGATAAGGATATAAAGCAGTCGACAAATAAATGTCTGTCTACACCGAATCATGATCCATTAATTCTGCATTAGAATGGTAGACTATTTAGAACAATAGCATACCAGATGACGATTCAGCTATTACATCGCCATCCTGATCATTACATTTGGGAAAGGGGTCCGATAGGGAAACACAGTCTCGTCGAATCTGTTCACCGCGGCCTTGCACTGAGTGAGCCTCTGGAGTGAACGATTTAGGCATATGAGTTGATGGATCTCCTCTAAAACCTTCGTTTTGCGGACGATATCGTTCTCTTTTCGAGCTGTATCAGTGAAGCAGAGATCATGCTGAAGGAAGTAACGAATTAACAAAGAAGATAGGATGGCGAAAACTGGAAGAAGACTCAATCCATAAACGCCCTCTGTGGAGGTGCAGAAACGGAAGTGGAAGGCAACCCAGCAACGGAGACGTCTTCGTAGGTGTATCTTGGATGTTCAATGAACATGGAGAACGTCGAGCTAAAACTTGTGAACAAAGGTGTCTCACAAAAATTGGGGTAGTGCGAGTTTCTACATATTTTGTAAGAGGACCCACCAAATAGGCGTCCTCCCCAAGACCGACTCGGTCCGGGCCTTTCTACGCCGATATGCCCTCAAAATGGCCCGCAAAGCGCGATTCAACCCTCATGGCCGCCGCTCAATGTTTCCCCCTAAGCGTGTCCTTCCACTTGGCGTTCACCTCTATGTAGTGTTGCTGCTACTGTGACAAAGGCTAGGCTAAGAAGGTACAACTCGTCCGCGTTGCTTCCAGAAGGCTTTCCAATAACGGGATTTTCGTACATTTTATGAGCTTTGAAGATGCATTGAGTTAGACAGGGACGAAAAGGTTTGTACTGTGCAAAAATCTCGACAACAAATTTTGATGAAACACTGCCTTCAATAGGAGGGCTTCTGAAGGGAGCCACTTCCTAGATTTTGATTTGCACCCATCATTCTCCACTATCATGATAGCTTGACGATTAGTTTTTACTAAGTTGTTTTCCCGGTCTACCCCGAATCACGGCTTCAGCTGATCCTTGCCATAGTCCCCTCCCCTTCCACCTAGCCCTTATGCTGCACTGCAAGGAGTTTTCTGTACCAAAGCAACTCACCCACTGGCTCGTCTTGAATCATCGCATCCTTCCTACCGCGAAAATCGAATGAACTCTACTGCTCTTGTGTACATGAGATCATGGAAATGACTTGTTAGCCAGTGTTGAGAACTCATTCTCACGCAAAATCAAATCCTGATCCCGATTATGAAGTCGAGAATCCTCGATACCCCGACAATCCCCGCTCCGGAGGACCCGCACGCCTGTTCCTCGGAACTTTGATTAACACGTTGACGACCGCGCCATTTTGGGCGAAACTCCCACTAACGTCCTTCGCGCATTTGGCCCGTGCATACGCGCGGATGCACGAAAACATTATGTGGGAGACTTTTTGACACTTATTCATAAAACGTGCGACTTGTTCAGACATACAGGTATATCATAGAGCCTTACCAGGACTTACACAAATCAAGGTTTTTGCATCGATTTTCCCTCCAATAAACCATGCAATGGCTATGCCTGAGGAATCCCTCTTCGAGAAAAGCTTTGTTATACCAGGTGTTTTTTGCCTGATTCATCCTTGTTCGACTTCAAAACAGCTATACAGAGTTTTCACCTTCTCGGAAATACACAATTAGCATGATTGACTACATCAAAAACGGAGTGATAACCAAATTTTGCGGCCAAAACTTCTGAACAGCTGCCGCGATGCCCTGTGTTCTATATGACAATCAGGCCACTAGTAATATTACTGCATAGAGGTTATCTTGAAACTTTCGTTTGCACCTAAAAAACTACCGTGCATATGCGCGGATGCACGAAAATGCTAAACGGGAGTCAGGGCGTGCATACAGGCGGATACACAAGGTCGTCAACGTGTTAAATGGCCATGCACGAATGAGACTTGGGGTCCTCATGCCTCTTCTTCGTCAATTCGAAGGGATTTTCTCGCTTTGAAGCGACAATTTGAGCCCACTTGGGCACTGGCTTGATAGGGGGTTCTACTAACGTTAGCTGTCAAAAACTCAAGGCCCCCGACTTAGGGTGGACGGTGCCGTTAAAGCTTCATTCTAGAGAGAAACAATTGCAGCCGCACAAAACCATCTATAACTTTACAAGAAAAGAATTCTTATATATAAAGCTGAATGTCTGTTTGTCGGTCTGTCTGTCTGTCTGTATGTCTGTCTGTCTGTCTGTCTGTCTGTTGTCTGACTGTCTGTCTGTACATATGTTCCAAATAGAAAAATCCATTTCTGAACCGATGCGGACCAAACTTGGCACACATACACTTCGGGCCCGGCGGGTGCCACAGACTACTTTTCGTCATCGATCGATATCGATTTTATCGATTTTTTTGCAAAATTTGAGCTACAAGGCTGTGAGTTGGCACAGGGGGGTAATCGAGCATGCTGATTACAAATATACCCTAAAATCCGGCATATAAGTCCGCCTCTCAGATAAGACCGCCTCTCAAATAAGATTGCCTCTCAGATAAGACCGCAGAAGAACTCTCAGTTAAGTCCGCTTTCGTGACAGCCTCGCGCGCCGCCAAGTCCCGCGGATAAGTCCGCCTTATTTTTTTCACATGAAAACAAGAAAGATGCGCAATTGCGCTGCCTTTTTTGGTCTAGAATGAACCGAAGCAAGAGATCTTTATTCAGGTAGCATTCCATGTTCATCATCATCAGAAACATTTACGGCAAGAACGCGGCCAAAAGAACGATCATCATCAGCGTTATCACCAGCATCAACCAAAGCGTCGAAATCCTCGTTCATTGATTATTCGGCATTGATCATTGATTCGTCATCGAGAGCCCTGGTAAAACTGTTCGCAATGGTTTCTTCAGTAATCGCATTGAAACTCTCGTAGACTAGTGCTGCTACTTCGCCGTAGGTCATTCTTTTCCTGGCACCGCCTTTTGTGTATCTTGCTCGTGCTGCATCGGCCATCCATCGTTCCCATCCTGCCCTCAGATTGTCTTTGAAGGGCTTGTTGATGCCGACGTCGAGAGGCTGTAGATATTTGGTCATTCCGCCTGGAATGACCGCGATCTTTGAATGCTCCTTGAAAAGCTCTCGGACGTCTTCTGTGAGATGGCACCTTAAAAAAGCAAAATAAGCTCAAAAATGGTAAAATACGAAACGATACCTTGCAGAATCCAATATCAGCAATGACTGGGACGGATCGTTGACACAGCGTTTCCTTTTGTTCCACACCTCAAGGAGCCATGTCTTCATCAGTTCGTGATTCATCCAGCCTTTTTCGTTGGCACGCACAATCACTTTAGGAGGGAAGTTATCCTTCGGAACCCTCTTTTTCTTGAATATTATCATCGGTCTTAATTTCTCTCGCGGCCGTCGCAGAGAGGACAACGGTAAAATTCGACTTTTCATGTCCTGTTGAGTTAATCCTTACGGCTTCTGCTCCCACTTGATCCACGGTCCTTGAATAAACCATATCGAAGGGCACTGGGACTTCATCAACATTCCCAAGATTGTGGGGGGAGATGTAAAGCGATTCCCTTAGTACGAATCTCCTGAAGCCCGCGCAGATGTCCTCGCAATCCTCCGGAAGTGCTTGACCGACACTGGTTCTTCGCCTCAGAAATAGGTTCTTTCTCTTCATGAAGCGTTTGCACCACATCGGCGATGCCTTGAAGTCCTGGTGGCCAAATTCCCGCGCTAGCTGCAATGCCTTCTCGCGAATGTTCTTGACAAGAAGTGCTCGGCTTCCTTCTCGCGTCTGCACAATCCATTCATGGAGAGCTTCTTCGACTTCCTCCACTTTTGGCTTCCCATAGCGGTTGGCACGTTGCCTCAGTGGCCTATCCTCCAAATTTTCTTTATCGGCCTTCCATCTTCGAACCAGACGATCAGAGACTTCGTAGCGAACAGCGGCAGCCAATGTTCCATGTTGCAGGGCATATTCCACCACGTTAAGCTTAAAAAGCGACGTGTAGGACTTCCTTCTGGGAACCATTGAGATCCGAGATACCTGAACAGCTTGAGTCACAGTGTGTGAGAGTATGTTGGAAATATAGGGCTCTGCGTGATTGCGAACTTCGCTGAGTTAGCGGTCATTGCACACTGGAATCACGCGGAGTCCTATAAATTTGCGCTGATCATCGAAAGGTTTACTCTTTTGCAAGAAAAAGCAAACGGCATCAAATTCGACTACACTATTTTTTGTCTTGGATGTACAGGCTTAATGAAACAACAATTGAGAAAAAGAACAAAGAAGCCTAACGCTTTGCTAGGGTTGAGCGTTTTTAGACTGCCACTCTTTCGTTCATTAAAGCATTTGACAAAAGCCGTAGTGAAAAAAAAACAAAGCATTTGACAAAAGCCGTATGGCGTGGGTCAACAGAGACTACGTTCAGACCATGAAAACAATAGAGGAAGCAAAAAGTATAGGCAGTCAGGTTCAGGGGTTGTAGCCTGTACAGGTTCGAGAGATGTATTGAAAACATTGTAGCTTCCAAAACGATAAGATGAATGATAAGATGAGATGATTGCAATGATACAATGAGAAAACCTATTATGATTTTTCCGACAGAAAAATTTCATGTGTACAAGCACTGTCTTATATAGGAAAAGAACCCACCAGCGTATGTGATGACCAATCCGCGACGAAACTGTCAGCAAGTAGACTGCACGACTTGTCGAATCCTTTGGCGGTCTCTTTTAGGGGAGTTCACGGCTTGATTTCAATCGCTGAAACATGTGATATCCAGAACAACTTCTCTGTAGCCTTTGCAAATCTACGAACCGTTTGTATCCTTGTACTTCGTCAATTACTGCTTGGAACAGAGTATGCGCGACGATCAGCGTTCTAAAAAAGCTTTGTAGGAGATGCATGTACTGTAGTTAGCCTATATCATAAATCTCCCCTGCCTAATATTCGCTGAAAATGGGGTGAAATCCTACCTTACTATCGCGTCATCAATTCCAACACACAAGAAATGTTATATCTAAGAAAAGAACTCACCTATCCAGCGTATGTGATGACAAATCCTCGGCGAAACTGCCAGCAACTAGTCTGCACGGCTTGTCGAATACTTTGGCTCTTCCTTTCAGGCGATTTCGCGGCCTTGTTTAAATCTACACCGGCAAGCTACGCGGGCGGTCGCGCGCGTCTGTGCTCCTAGGTCGCGCTTGCTCATGCTCAGGACAGACGGACGTATTTGTGAGAGGATTTAGGCGGACTTATCTGGGAGACCTTTTGGCGGCGCTGAGGGCGTTTTTCCATCGATTTTCCTGCCAAAACCGCAGATAAGTCCGGACTTATATGTCGGATTTTAGGGTATTATTGACAGGGCCGGGCGGAGCCGGGTAAGCCATCTAGTATAGAAAATAAGCAACATCATCAGCACACTTGGGAAGAATTGGGTCTTTTAAAGAAGAATTTCACATTCTGAAAATGTAACTCAAACTCATATTCGCTCCAAATCATAAACTCGCATCTGTTCTGTATCAGCACTCTTCTATTAAGATTCCGTCGCGACTGCCAAATTCCTCAAATCAATGTGATTTTTGAGCAATTTTTGCTTTTTCTAAGTCGCTAAACTGATAGGGTTCAAAAAAATGAGAAAATCCTCAAAACTGTCCCGACCTTGTTTATAACTCCAAAAAGCCAACGCGATTAGTGTGCCTGATTTGCAGACATTTTCTCAACTCTGTAATTCTTCTACTTTGTAGTTTCATATTTTACGCAACCATATATTTATTCATCCCCGTTTTCTTGCCGCTCCCCTCCCCCTGTTTTGCCCAACAGATATGAAAATAACTTTCGCTGCGACATTTCATTTCTCTCAAATGCGGCAATCATGCGAGGGGGGCCGGTTCGACACTCCGCTGATGGTGTTACAAACGAGTCGTTGAGCTGCGCGGCGATCGACATCAATTCGACACGGTTCATAGCGTTGCAATACATGGACATCGGAAGAGAATTGTTTGCGTCAGACAATGGACTATTCAGTCAAGCGAAGGTCGATCGTTGATGCGCACCTATTTGTTCTGAAACGTTGATCGAAGAAACTGTGACAGTTGAGAGGTATTCAAGGCAAGTGAGAAAATGCCCAAGCGGCAGCTTGAAAGGTTCATTCGCGACCGAGAAATCTGACTCTGAACTCCAGCCCTGACCGTACCGTTCTCAGCGTCCTCGCGGTAGGAAGTACGGTGTGGGCGAGTGTTTAAAACAGGATTTCTCTGTAAAGAATAGGTAATATGACCTCCCGCTTTGGCAATGGCTTAGTTAAGGACTCCCAATTCTGTGTCCACATACAAGAATGATCAGTTTTGTCAGAACACCTCCTTAGGGTCGTGTTATCAGTAATGCTCTCAATGCTATAAAACCCTATTTTGCTCGGAATTTTCCAAGATTCTACGAGCAAGCAGATTTTTTCCGTCGATAACTATCACCCCTTAGCACTTTCACGTCACTTCGTCACTTTTCTTATCGAGAATGACAGATAATTGCTGCTGACTCCTCTTCGAAATGATTTTCCAAAGTGCAAATCAGGTCCAATCTGCTCAAAGCACATTTCTGCACGTTTTAAATTTGTCATTGAAAGATTATCCTTTAGCATTCAAGTAATCGTGCCTCAAGACAAATGAACTTCAGATGTAGTTCTCATACTCAGCCTTCTGTTCTACCTTTGCACAATGCTCATTTCTGAATGCAAATATTCATGTAGAAGATCGAATCAGATCAAAGCACAACACGACTGTTAGTCTCTAACAAATAACATTTTCAGCATTTTTTTAGAAAATACATGCGTGAGAAGAAAGAAAAAATAGAGTTTGTGAAGATGAGAAGTTAAAACTGCCATCGGGACGTTGCACTACCCGTGCGAAGAAGAAGAAGAAAATCCTCATGACTAAAGAGCAAGGGGCAGATAGCAAATAACTGAAAGCTTAGGGTATATCATAGTCGCCCGTGATTCGGACAAACTCGGATTCAATCTGGATCCAATGCGGATCCAATACGGTTGCATGTGCTTTCATTGCAACCGCCGCTTCTTGCTGGTCGCCGCCGCTTGTGCTCGCCACGCGGCTTGCATTGATCCGGATCAGATCTGGATCACGAGCAACTATGACACCAATGCAGTATAGTTGGACGTTGTTTGTATTTAACAAAAAAAATCGATGGAGAAGCAGAAAATCGATACAGATCCATAAACCGGTTGTAAGTGGAGGGTAAGATGGTCATGGAAAGCATAAACGTTAACGGATTAGGACCATTATCACAATCGATAAATCGCTGTTTACTGAAGCAGAACGTAGCGATACGCAACAAAGAGATGAATGGAATTCATGTTGCACATAGAGTGAAATTATAGAGCTGCCACGATCGATAAATCGATTATTAGTTGAAAATGGATCAATAGGCAACTAACGGAGATGGAAACATTACCCCTAAAAAGGATGGCAAGTGTATACACAGACGAGAGGCAATATATAGTGAAACAGAGAAGGAAAAGCAGAAAATGTATGTGTAATGACCGGTCAGAGGTAGATGAGCATGTCGACAAACTGTTGTGGGGTGACTCGGACAGATGGAGAACCGGGTCGGAGACATGGGTGGCCGAGGCTCTTCCAGAATAACGCCTTGCAGTGGCAACAGATGTGGATCAGGTCAGCATAGAACTAAAAAAAGAAAATTTCTTAAAATAGCTAATACATGCGGGAGGGGCAGGAGAAGGGTGAGGGATGAGAGGGGTCGCAGAATCTCAAAATGGTCTAAAAAAATCATGAAAAAACCAATAATTTAACCCATTAACCAATAATGTTTGCTCTAATTCCTAAGCAAGTACCTTTTCTTCCTCTTTTATCTTTGATCTGATCTTTTTACATGTATCATCATCGGACGTTACAAAAAAACAAAAAGTTTGAAAAAACATGGGAGGGGGGGGGGGGTTAGACAGCGTTCTTCCGACACCGATACCGATCTAGCTTCGAAAATTTTTCTGTGTGTATTTATGTAGAGAGTTACAAAAAAAAAGAATTGTGGCCCACCTCGCGGATTCCATTGTATTTCTTGAGCTCAAAGAATGTCTTTCTCCAAGTTTTCTCTGACGTTTTCCTTTGATCGATTTGTGAAGTAGTGAAATGGAATTCACAAAGTGATTGCCAAAGGCGATCTTCACGATCAATTATGCTTTGCAGAGCTTCGTGAGCCTAAAATTGGCATGTATGAATAATAGAAAAAGAATGAATTTCGAGGAAGGACCAATGAAGACTCTAACTCACCTTAGCAATTTCCAGAAGAGATTTATCATCTGGAAGGCGCCTGAGCACTAGCGTGAGGATCTGCAAAAACAGGTATAAGAACGATTTGTGAAGATCTACGCAATTCATTTTTCCCCAGCATAATTACAATTCAATTCTTCATCAAACAAACCTCTCTGGGCAAATCGAGGAATGTGACACTAGTCTCTTCGGCCGAAGTTACAGATTTCGGCTGTCGATCCGAAATCACATCAAGAAGTGAATTAGCGGTATGTTGATGGCGTGAGACCAGCTGTGGCGATCCACAAACATGACCCTCAAGGGCTTGTCCGAACTGAAATTCGACTCTGGTAAACAAGGAATCAAGTGAAATGGACTCTCGTATAGAATCCATTATGGAAATTGGAGTCCATAAAAGTACAAATTGTTGTTAAAGAGGTTTTACAAAGGGAGAGCACGGCTGAATCAATTAGTGGTAGAAATTACAGCATGCTTACATGGGTGCTCTCTGACAAAAAGTAAAAAATGTAAAAATACGGAGAATTTTTGCTCTAAGGAAAATATATAGAATAATTCAAAGACTGTCCGTTTGGAGAAAATTCTTGTCATGAAATACATAGATTTTTTGATCACCAAAACTATTCGAGTCCCTTTCTCTTGCCAAGAAACCCTGAATTTATTCTTTGAGCGGCAAATTCTCTTGTCTCCACGTCTCCCTATTATTAGGTCAACTTAGTCCGCTGCTCTTTTGATGAAAGCTAATTCAAAACAGATATTTTGAGCATAAGAAAACAAATTTTCCACTTTTTATGCTATAAATTCTTTTGATCACTGAGTATTGGACTATAGCTGATCCGTTCCGGTTGTACTGAACAGGCTGCAAAAGTTTAGTCGCCTCTAGTACAGTGCAAACTTCAGAAATTTTTACACTATGCTTTTCAGACATCTCTGCAATTTTTGACAATTTGAAACAAAGAGAATCAAAATAAAAAATAGAAACTGTTAAAAAACTTGAAAAATCAGATAAATCTCCAGGTAAATGCAAAGTGGTGGTTCCAAGTTTTTTTTTTTGCCCGGAGATGGTGGAAAAGAAGGGGGGGGGGGGAGAAGAGTTACTTTTCTAATAAATGGAAGTAACCTTAGATAAGCAGAAAGGTCTAGAAAATTCTGAATTTCAGAAATAAAAACCTTGAAATTTTGAAAATGGATCGTAAAATTAGTCATATACTGTTTCCATGCCTCGAAAAAATCTATACAAATCTGAACTCGAAATTCTACAAAACTTACGAGATTATCTCAAATAAAGCAAATGCAAAAAGCTGGTGGTGCAATTTTCTAAGTGATCTAGACCAACCACGGTCAAAGAAATTCTTCAGTTCCTGCTATGATCATTTACAACTTCCAAACGCTGCCTTTGCCCGTTCCCTCATAGCGTATAGGGATCTCTATTTATCGGGATAGCCCAGAATGCCAAACGAGGTATTTACCACCAGCTGCCGCTCCCGTTCCGAGCGCAGCATTGTCAACTCTCTGCTGACACAAACATCGTTCAACCCTCAATGACATTGCAATGAGTGGTACTCAGTCGACGGTAACGCGTACAAAAGCCTCAAGGTTATGCAATCAAGTTACAAAAGGCCTCTTTCGGTGAAATTCAGCGAGAGAGAGATCTGTAACAATTACTGTAGCAAATTCTGTGAAAAAATAGCGATTTATCAATAAACTTAGAAAATCCGTTCTTAGCATGGTTCAGACAGTAATATCTGCAACATTTGAGTTACCAGAAGGTTCCCCTAGCGAACGCTAAACATCCTAAATTTCCCTGCATTTCTGTCACTCCGTGTGATATCTATGAACTTGCATTGTTCATGGGTTCCCCAATGCTCGTCAAAATTTCTAGCACCCCAATAGTTGAAAACCTTCCCGAAACTATTGTTTGCCTTGCCCTTGTGCCAGAGAATAAATAAACACTCAGATAATCTCAAAATCACACGAGTCATACGAGTGCATCAAACAAATACGAAATTCACTTACAGTTCTGAGAGTCAAAATCAAAAATAAGGCAGCTCTAGTGATCAAAATTTTGAGTTATTTAAAATAAAATATATGATTTGAGTTTCCCCATGGCATAGAAATTTTGCGAGAAAAGAAGTTAGAAAATTCAGAAAAAACTTTTTTGCTGGTGATTTGCAATTCTATTGAAATTCATTTCATTTAGATATCCTACATGCTATATTACATCACTTCCTAGAATTTTCTTCTTTTGTTTGTCCTATGAAACTTCTATGTACAAAAATGCCCCTTGGAAAAGTTCCATGTCCTGTAAAACACCAAATTTTATAATCCCCCCCCTCCTCCCCCCTCAGCCGTAAATAGCATCATTCCCCCCAAAAACTAACTCACCAAAAATCACGCCAATTACAGTCTTTTTTTTTCTTAAAATGAACGATAATCCCCAGATAATACCACCTACAATGACCCTCCGCAGTGAAGTGCAAAGTTCTAAGGTTTTTCTTTGAAAGGGCACAATACTTTAGTTCTACAAGGCAGCGAGACATAATGATGGCAATTCGTATGTGTCATCGCTGATATGAAGACGCTGGAAAAAAATGTAGTGCCTCATATAGAATTGGTAAAATCTGATAAGTATAGATAAGGATTATGAAATTTTTTTGTTGTCTGTATAATGGGGGGGGTATCTCTCACAGACTGGGTGGACAGGAATTTTATGGGTTTGATCATAGATTGAAAAATCGTTGGCACTTTTACGAGGTCGCTAACATCACAGTTGAAAAAAAATGATTCATTATAATATTTTAATGCACAAAGGCATAGATGAAGTGAGTTTGGAACAAATGTCGATAAATTGTAGGGTTAGAGTCAAATGGATAAAGACCTAAGGTTTATTGAAGAAAAAAACTGATCAGACCTTCACTATGATTCTTCAAATATCTTTATCTAGTGAAAGAGGATAATGTTTGGATTTAAATCACGAATTTTCGGCAAAATTTATAAAAAACAAGAGATTCTTCGATCACCAAAAAGCCAAACATGCGTCAAAAGATATCTTGTATGCATTTTCAGTTAATTTCACGTAGCATATAGTTTGGTAGATTGACGGTTAATATAGTGCCATTGCGTTACATGCAACCTTTGCGCGTAAAGCAACGGTCTCAAGACGCGAAACTTAAAAATGTAAGCTATAAGCACGTTAAACAAAAACAATAATGATTTATAATGATATACGCGCAGATTGTCTGCATATACAAAATGGCAAATTATAGACGCGCAAATATTGCCGGCACCGCAGATGCGCTATCCTCAGCATTGTCAAACATGCGTATTTTTGTCATGTAAAAATGTGGTAAAGCCTGAAGGACTCGAAAGCTCGACTGTGTATATTTTTTCCATAATCCAAAATAAAACAAAAACTCAAGATTGTGGCAACAAACCTGCTGGACCAGTTCTCTGGCAGTTGTTACGTGTACATCTTCTTCTGAGGAGTGTAGAACTATAGCAGTCAAAATGCCCACAAGTGACTTTCTTGCATTTCCGGACAAATTCTGGACTTTCTCTTGTACAAGGATCTCCACCACCTAAAACAAAAGCACTTTTCAGTTCTGTATTTACTTCGTGATGTACAAAACAACAAGAGGAGTACATCCGATTTGGTCGTCGGGTTAAGAGTTATTGTCGTGTGTTAGTGTGGAGTGTATGTGTATTTACATATCGACGACCCCCTTATGCGAGTCAAATGGTCGTGCCTCAATCCCCGAGTGTTTGGCACAGTTTAGAGTGTTTACAAACAGCTTTTCCGCTATCTTCGCCAGACAATTGGTGCCTGTCACGCCGCGCATTGTTAGGAAATTTCGAAAGAAACGAAACCATATGCGAAAAAAGGCTGCTCTTGCACAACAGTGAACGAGCAAGCAGTGCTGACTCAGCTTTTCAGCGCCGATAAATCAAGAAATCAGCTAACAATCAGCTGAAACAGCACACTAATGGTAGTAAACATGAGTTTGAGCACCTGGAAGGCAAAAACCTGCAGTTTAGAGTGTTCAAAGATGACTGAGAGAAAGTCTTCAAGCAAATCTGGATACCTAGACTTCTCCTGTGGACCCCGCATGGGAGTCCATATCTGAGCCACTGCCCAAGCAGCATCTCATATAACTCACTCATGGCCGAGAAAATCGACTCTATACTCTGGCCCAGATCGTAGTTTCCAAAAGTGAATCAATCAACGTGTGATTACAGTAGGATATGCTCTCTTATGACTATGAAATTGGATTTTTCAGCCAGACGTGACTCATATGAGCTGCCGCTTGGTTGATAGCTGAAGTGTAGTTCTCACTCGGTTTGCACACAAGAAACCCAGGTATCCATGTTTGCCTGGACACTACTACAGGACCCCCTTGTGCAAAGCCAAACGTTCTTTTCAATTTTCTGCTTGCAAAAACGAACACACACACACTCGTGCTCTTCGCAAACCAATACTCATATTGAATAATGCATGAAGACCTAATTTCTAGTGACATGTCCGTTTGTTCGTTACCTTGGCAATGTAGGAGAAACGGCGCACATCGGAAACAGCTCGTGCAAGATCGAGTCGATGAAAAGCCTCGCTAATGCTGGTGCATCCAATAAACTGAAAGTTCACAGTGTCAGACTTCATGACAGAAATTGCGCAGCAATTTGGAAAGCAGGAGAAAATAGTTGAAAGAAAACAATAAGATCACATTTTCGTACACTTTTACTAATAAAATACTCATCCAAAAACTAACAGAAATAATCCACCGAACACTTAATTTGATAAACGGGGTAATCAATAAAATTCTTCTTTCCACAAAAAAAAATTCATTGCCTTCACTGGAATCTTGACTTGTTATAAAGTGCGCGATTAATTCTTCTAGAATATTCTAATCCACCTTATTTAATAAATTTTCAGTGTGATACGACGTTCTCAATCACATAAATAAATAGAAAAAGGGCTATTTCTACATCTTGCTTTTCACTTATTTAGCCTTTTTGTTTATGACCGTTCTGGGCCAAAAACCAGAAAATCCAGTGGTTTAATACTTTAAATGGCAAATCTGCAACTTCAACCCTTGAATTCAGTTCAGAAAACTTCTCAGTACCTCAGCTGAAACCGCTACACTATTTTTTAACGCTGACTAATTGTGAACGATTTTGCATAGTTAACAGATTGGAGCGCTTTAGCCCTTGTTACTTTTTTGATGTGCTTTTTTACGTTTTGCAAATTGAGCTTATAACCCAGTTTCCCCTCATTTTACCCTCTCTCGCATTCAAGCTGGAAATCAGTTGAGTTCCGCATGACTTACGAAATTTCACTGACTAAAGTACGATCACTTCGTCATTTGGCATATGTTAAGTATGATTATGTGTGTAACAGTAGCTTGCCGACTACTGAGTGACGCAATACGAAAGGTTCAATGGGCTTCCCCGTGACTTTTATCTGCGCCAGAACAACTGTTGTTTAGGATTTTTCCATTACGCAAGTGCAGTGGCAGTGATCAGAGGCTAGCCGTACTAGAAAATACCAATGTTAGCGCAGTTGAAGTCCTTCTAGCAAACAGAACGCAGTGATCAAAAATATTTTGATCTATGTTGATAGAACTAAGATTAATGGGAAAAATATGTTTCTGATCAATCAAAATCTTTTACGACATAATTTACCCTTTTCAAACGAATTAACAACAATTGCAATCGATGCTAATTGGAAGTACTTTTGTACATCTATATTGTGCATGTGCCATTGCACACATTACACATAATGCGCGTCCCATCCCAAATTCGGCGACTATGGGTTTCGAGTGTTTTTCAAGCTTTTTGCTTTGTTTTTGTTTCCATGCATCAACAAAATTAATGACATTTAGGATTACCATTAGGATCACCCATGCTTGCAGAACGGTAAACAATGTTCGGAAAAGGACGCGCAATGCATGCTGCGTGTGCAACTGCACATATTAGGATAAGAAATGACTGGAGTGTATAAGCACCTTGCGATGCGCATCAATTTAGCGGAAATTTCTTGCTTGATTCTCAGTTTTCCACTATACTTCACAGACTCCTTTGATTACATTCTTTTGGTCCTATTTCATGGTGAAATATTTTCCCCAAGTCGACAAAAACCAAATACAAACCTCTTTTGATTTGCTTTTCACGAAGCAATGTGGGATCCATCCATCTTCGAGTTCAGAGACTGAAAATGCAACACATAAGCTACGCTTCATCAGCTTTTCCTAGCTTTCACACCTATGGCACCCCTTAATCCCCCCGTGGCGGAAACCCATTAAGAGCTTAATTATGACGACTGCACATAATGGTAATGATGATGAATAGCTAGCAAGGTGTAAATCCGGCTGAATGCACACCTCAATACCCCCATTCTCAATTCATTAGTCCCCAATGCACCCCCTCCCCGCTCATCCCTTGTGCTGATAGCGGACCACAGTCTGTAGTGGATCAACCCAATCTTTGACTGTTTTTCATCACAACAAGGCACTTGTGTGCTGTCTACGACTCGCGATGTTCGAACAATTACGAGCCCTCAGCTATAGTCGCACACCGAAAACAAAAAGCGCAGAAAACAGCTGATCGAGAGCGAGCACGAAAATGTCAGCTGATAAGAAGAAAGCTGAGAGTGACCTGGGAAAAGTTCAAAGTCTCAGCTATTGGGGGAAATACTTGAAGGTTTTGAGCGGATTAAACAGCGTCATGTGAAAAGAATGACGTGAGGAGCATGTGATGGGACAATCATCCAAGTTTACACACCCGGAATAAAGTACGCAATAATAGTCTAGTTGTTCTGACTCAGTATGTGCACTGCACAACACGCGCCATACTTCACGACTTAGGTCTTGAGTAATCCAATTTTGAGAAAAAAATATTTTCCTATCTTTTTCGGTTTAAATAGGTAGCCTGCAGATAATCATCATACAAGACTACTAAGTCAGAAAGCCTTGAATGCTTACCAGAAAGTAGTCGTGAAGTAACGCGCATGGTCTGCAATCTTACATATCAAGTCATGATTGACTCCACTATGAGGGTATAATGAAAAAGACCATATACCCAAAAATCAAAAAAAAAAACGTAGAAAAATTTTAAAAAAACTTACTAGGATCTTCAGACAAGGATCCGCTTCGGCTTCCAGTACCACTGTCCAAACTCAGTAATGAAGTGGACGAATTTGTGTGACAAATTTCATTTTCAGGTATAGCACCTGGTATTGGAATTGCATCAGATATGATCTGAAAAAAATACATAAGATTTACAGTAATGTAACCATCAAATCCATCAAATGACTTTTTTTGCAAAGAGAAGTTGCAATCTTTGTGCAGATAAGTTTTTCGTTCTGAAAAGAGATTTTAAGCGCGATGTGCACTCGGCCCGACCGGAATGAAGTTTTTACATAAGCGATGATTGACGACTGTACTACTTTAAAATCACTAAAACTTCTTTTTTGCAGAATACGAGTGCATTCCTGCGCGCGTGGGTTCGCCTGTTTATCATAATTCGGATTAGTACCAGTCCATAAATAGTTTGAAGATAGGTGACATGTAGTGCTTCTTTGAAACTCACAAAAAACTTATCAGATGATGTGTCAGAGCAATTTGCGATATGCGTGTCAATAGAATTCCAGTTAAACTCAATTTATCTAACAAGCAATCAGTTTATAAGCAGATGTGATGAAATGATATAGAGAAGAAACTGATAATTGTGTTTTGAACAAATGCAACGGCATGGAAAAATCTTTCGGGATTTTTATTATCGAAGCGAAATTTCAATGATTATAGATAGACTGTTCTCATGCGCTAACGGCTATTTTTCATCGTCAAAATTAGCTAAATTTTACTAGTTTTATCGAAAATCCTGCAAAAAATTACAATCCAATCAGTCCATCTTCTTCAAAATCTAACCAAAAAAAAAATATTCAGACAAGTTTGCAAGTACAGAATTGCTCGTTAACTGCAAAGCAGTAGTCACATGATGATTTGGCTAATTTGAAGCTCTACATGGTTTGCTGTCAACATGCAAATTTTACAAAATGCTCCAGGCACTTTAGGGTACCCGATTTACGTGATTTTGAATGGGCCTTAGCTAAAGCGATTGCTCAATCGGTAAATGACACTCTAGTCCAGACCGTAGGCTCTGCCGTACTCGAGGCGATTGGTCCGCCCGAAAAGAAAAGAATAACGGTATGAGCTGAAGTTTGGAATTTCCTCGTTTACGAACGGTTCGTGTGATCTACCGAATTGACAACAGCTTGGCTGATGAGTACAATCTGTTTTCGCAAAATCCATATACCCAGAGCTTGAACATGGGCTGTAAGATGAGCAGAATGTGCTGAATATGTGCTGCAGCGAATTTCTTCGGTTCCTCTTTCGCAGATATTTCAACGTATCTCCTTTCGGCAGGAACAGATGCGATCTTTACCACTTGGTGCCGCGTTCGAAAAAGGCAAGCCCCCTTCAAGTACCCGACACCATCGAGTCGTTCTAATTGTTGTCTCGTTTTGTGCAGAGAGTTTCAAGTGACACACATGCACACAGCACACACTACTGCCTCAGCAAGTTTTATTGACTGCGAGCGCTGAGAAGAGTGGAAGGGGATGCACGAGCGGCCCTGCGCGCTCGTTGTGGCACAAAAAAAGCGCAGTGACGAGGCGCGTAAGATGGCGTCGAGCAGATAGCGTTAGCCTAGTCGAAAAAAGAAGACGTGATGAGATCTGGCAGCTCGACGAAGCGCCGGCAGCGGCTAGAAGCTGGCTGCCAGACCGGCTGACGACTACTTTATTTGTGTTTGCGCTTCCCGAAACAATGGACGCTGGATCTTTGTTGATACAGCTACAGTTTGTGCACAGCAAAGCGCCAAAGGACTGGACTATTGGCGACCAATTTCATTTACAAAAAGAAATGGCAGAAATAAGGAGCCAAAATCATTACTGGTTCTTCCTTTGTTTTGACTGTTGGCTGGCAAGAAAACACTTTTGAAAAATAGGTATGAAACATACTTGAAGAGCATTTTTGCGAGTTAAGAATTAATCGTCAAAGCATGTCCACGTAAATCGATAACTGAATTTGTTATGCACAAAATCGTACAAAAATTTTCGCTGAACCATTGCCCAAGCAGCAAGTCATACCATTTATTCGCGGCCGAGAAATCTAGTTACAAACTCCAGCCCGGACCGTACACCGTTCTCGAAAATTCTGATTAATCCTCTCGGAAAGATTACGGTCTGGGCTAACTTAAAAAAGTCGTGTGGTTTGCCACCTATCTTGTCCGAGAATATTCTGTGCTTCTAAACCGGAAATTAGCTGAGTTGGCATCAGATTCTACAGTACAAACACCCGTCACTGTAGTATTACGGTAGTAGACGCAAAATGTCCTATAATCAATTTTGTTGAAGATTCCATGTGCATGATGCTCTGAATCCAGCATAATTATCTAAAATGTTTTCAAATTTCCTAAAAACTCATACAGAATTGAATCAAGTGTTTTCACTTATTCTTCTGAAGCAACTTTCAAAAATTACAAACAGTTAGGTTATTTTACTTTCGAAATGACAATGGAATGAATGGAACGAAGTTCCAGTAGGCCTGATTATAGCACAATTTTGAACAAATTCAAAAGAAACAAAAATCCCATGACTTGTAATCGCTTTTAAAACTGTTGTCTATTTACGTAACCATCCGATCATTTGACTTTATAATCTTGTTTACGCCGTTCCGTGACAGGAGTCAACAATTATCATTTCCCAGCTGATTCATTTCTTATCAAATAAAGCCTTGCCGACGGAACTCCAGATACGAAGATCTCCAACTTACTTTGTTTTTTCGCATTTTTTTCTCACGCGCCTTGGCGCATGATGGAGATGATGATGGTCAGGTAAACAGCAAATGTTGTTCTCAGACACTCAGACACAAAGTAATGATCAAAAATCAGGGATATCAATAACGGGGTGACTTTGGTTCCGTGACAGGAATCAACATTTTACGAAAGATCTTTACAGTTCTTTAATGACTCCACGACTCCCATTCAGAGATTCTGGGTCAAGGTGAAAGGATTGTCTGAGATAACTTTAGCCAAGAAAGAGGGGATTTGATGCGAGGTCTTTGAAGGATTCAATAATGCAGAAATTGCGCTACTTGACGAGAATCTGTACGAAAATTAGAGATTACATAGTCAGTTACACAGTTGAAAAAGGGAAGGAGATATAAATACTGCGATAGACGGAGGACATTTTTTTCCGTTAGTTGGAATAAAAATTCGGGATTTTGCAAAACTAGACTATCTGATCGAAAAAACAAACAATTTAAGCTAAATACTCTGTATTCAAAATCTCCAGTTTCTGTTGGGCTGGATATAAGCTAGATTCCACAAACTTTCAGACTTTAGTAGCCTAGATATCCAAAAATTCGAAATTTGAATTAAAGGATTTATTTGAGGGAAAAATCCCGATATTCAGAAGGTCGCTAGTTCTCCAAAGAATAAGACCTATAGATATAATCGGATCCTAATAATTTACAAGCCATAGTGATGTCTATGGAAAAAAAGTCGCAAAATTATTCTCAAATGATCTTATTCCACTCAAGGAGGAATTCTCATATTTCGGAATTTCCCCGACATAATGGAAAAATTCTTTTGAGCAATTCAGCAACCGAATTTGCCATATCAAATTATTCAATGACGTTAGCTCTGCCATACGAAAAAAAAAGCAGACACTTCCATTTTAGTCAATAAGCCAACACGCCACGCGATAATGTTGTCATCGACATTCCTCTTTTCTGATGCTAAATACAGCGGGCCATATTTTCTTTCTATGAAACGACAATGAGCACTTTTCCAGATGGGGAAAAACACTTGGTGCAGAACAAGATTGAAGAATAGCAAATGACTTGGGGTTTGGAAAAACTGAAAGAACCAGCAGCGAGGAATGAGGCAAGAGCGTGCGCGGAGGGGGACAAAGAGGGTCGTTGCGCGGGTTCGATGGGACCCGATAGGTAAACATTTCTATGTTAGTGTTGAGTAGAAGGGGGGGGGGGAAGGAGAACACTACACTATGCGTGCAATGACCTCATGTCCATCTAACGTACACATGGTTGGAAATGCGGTAAAATGACCTCCAGGAGAGACAGTCGTCTGCATATTATCTGGCGACAAATGAGTAGTTGTGCAGTGACAGAAGCTATAAAATGAGGCAACGTTCACAAATCAATGTCAATAAAAGTCATAATGCCGTGCAAATCGAAATATGGTGACCTGGAAAAACCCCTAATTTTACCTCCAACCTGGAAAGAAAACTGGGAAAAAGGTTATCTCAACTGCGGATCATTTTTGCGTTGAAGTCTGCGAGATTCAAAATATGGTACTTTGGTTTCACCCATCTTGAGAAACATCAGATCCGCTGGACTCATTCGAAAACTTTTGAGATAATGCTTTCCAGTCCATGCAGTCAACTTTGACTGTTTTGGTGTAGTTGCACCAGAATTACAAACGTCCGTGAAATAGTCTTTTTGACTTGATGAACGACTCCCAGAGGGAATTTGAACCGACAATGCATACATTCAAGATTCCCCGCATACTCGAACCTGCAGTTTACCGATTTGCATGCATTTCCCCTCACGGTTTAGAGTGCCACATCGGAAATGGATCCAGTGCGGCACGCTAAACTGTATGCTAGAAGCATGCACATTGGCACATAACATAAGTGTGGTATAACTGCGCCAGAGTAGGAAATCAAATACAATTGTCTCTGCAATCTTTCAAGACTCGATTTTCTTTGCTTTTTTAACTGAAGAGAATCTATCACCCCCCCCCTAACAACTTTTCTCTGTCTCGTTCTCTAGCAAATCACCAACGGACAAGCGCATAATTAGACAGCTTTATGCAAGGCGCTCGAAACAAGCTTCTGCCGCCAGGCACAAAGACAAAATCTGGTTAGTAATGCAAGAAATTGACTGTTTTTCAAAAAAAAAGTATTCCCTCCAGTATTTTCGGCGATGCCGTGCTCACGTGAAATTGTGACTGCTTGGCAAAGAGAATGTGAACAAACAGATAGAGAGCACCACTGGTAAAAACATTCATGGACTTTGCAGGTTGCAGTGAAGAAATGCAGAAATTATCGTTCTAAGTTGTCAACGAAAAGCAAAGCATGAGATAAGTACGCGAGTAAATACTGGCTAGTTCTTCAGCTAATGAAAAATTGTGCAGCTCGTTATGACTAGATTGTCATGGTAGAAACTGCACTCAGCAGAAGCTGGAAAAAGCCTTTCCTTTAAGTGAGTAGACATGAACAGCACTTTTCGGGTAAACTTCTTCTTAGAAAGGGTTATAATGGGTTCCACAGGGAGTTTACTTGGTCGAAAGAGGATTTTGTGAATTTGTGGGAGAAATGGACCTAATTTTCGACTTCATATGTAGAAAACTTGTTCATAGCATGACAAACACCTTCTATGAGACAAGCAGACTCACAAAAGCTTTGCACAGATTGTTTGAACAAGCTTGAACTTGTTCTTCCCTATTTCCAAGTAATAAATTATCCTATATGAGACTGATCACGAGTATAAACTTGTTAAGCACACGATCAAACGATAGATGCAAAGCCTAGTAGAGTTTGCTAGTCGAAGGAATGACCATAGATTGTGGAAAAGAGTATAAATGCAGCGAACTATTATCAGAATGAGCTCGAAACTATCGATAAAATCCAAGTTTGGAAACATGCAGTCCTACTCGGAGACAAACTAGCGAGGACAGCAATAATTACTGCGTTGATGACAGCCTGGTGAAGTTTTAACTCCCTTTCAGGCTACAGGTGTCAAAAAGGTATGTTTTAATCAAGGGTGTATTACAGTTAATTTCCGGAGCATAAGGTCTGTTTGAACATGATTCAAAGATTAGCAACCTCACAATGCACTCAGCAAAGGAAAATAGCGAAGATTTGCAATAGAAAAGAATGGATGAGGAAACAATGTTATGAAAAATGAACCAGAATCGGAAAACTGCACGCATTGCGCCCCATAAAAGGCGCAAATGCACATTTCAACGAATCAAATCGACTCAAATATGTGTCTCACCTGTATAGGTCTAAGTTTGGAACGTTCCCAACCATTCGTGTGCGGGGTTCGAACCCAGGTTTCACCCGGAGCTCGCCAATCACGTCCCATGAAGGGCATATCTGCTGCAATGAGAGTGCGCTCTCAGCTGATCGCGCTGCGTCTCTGCCCCGCCCAGCGAGCGCCTGTCTGTCTGCCGTCTCGCCACCCGTGATGCGCAAGCGATGCACGTCTGACGCATCACGCGTGCACTTAGCAGCTGACGCAAATTTTGTACGTTGTGTGAGTCGTGCACTATTTTCGTTCGTTCTTGCATTTTCGTTCATTTGCTCATTTAAGCATACTCAAGTTCATTTTTTTATGAGCTAAAAAAGGAAACTGGACATGGTTTGGTGTTTTCTCTTCCAAATCTGATGTTTTGCGTTGTTTTGAGAATGTTGGCGCGATGCTATAGATTTGCTGTATGAGGTTTCGCTAGAATTTGCAAAGATTTTATCAAAGCGGCCATTTCACTTGCTACTGTAGGCTTACTCATTGTGCGCCGCGGTTTTCCTACGGTAGGTGTACGGTGGGTAAAGGGTCCTCAAATTGCTTCAAAGTCACATGTTTCTGATAATTGGACAGGCTTCTTTTCACCCAGTACTCGCGGTATGCAAGTACTGGGTGAAAAGCCGTTGCAGATAATGATCTTGTGATTATAACTTTGTCAAGCAACCCACTTTTGATCAACCCATGTATACCTACCGTAACCCTTCAGGTAGACGCGAGTAACAGCTCACAAGGGAAGAAGTGGTCTTTCCAGGTGGTATGCGTATCTTCTTGGGGGGGGGCATAAAACGTTGATTCGAAGTCTGCATTTTTTATCTGCAAAGCATATCTTGACGAGAAGTCATGAGTTATCAGAGCAAAAAATTGGATGCGCTACCTGGATAAAATAGCTCGTAATATTCACTTTAGACCTCAAATGCAGCAGTGATGATTGTCAAGGCACTCGCGCAATAAATACACTTAGTTTAGATGTAGTTTCAACTCACCGCTGCCTTATTTGATCAGAAAATTTTCGACGATTGCTTTTACCTCAGTTGTTCCTTCAATTTTTGCACCTACAAATCTTCGTATTTCCTGGCTCAGAAACCCTCCGCAGATAAGGATCACGGTGTTAGAATCAGCGCCTCAGGCCCTTTTAGATGGTGTGCATCTCATCTAGAAAAGCTACTGTGACCAAATACCCTTTGTGAGCTGTTACTAGCATTTACCTGAAGGTTACGGTAGGTATACAAGTGCTGGTCAGAAGTTCAGAAGTAACTTCAAAATGCTCCAGGAGTTCGCTTCAGTCTCACTGTATATCGTTGTCGTAACTATTGAAAGCTATAGGACAAATCCGGCTTGTTTTTTTCACATGGAAGTGTTTGGGAATCCTCAGTCAATCCGTCGATCAAGTGGCAGCTCATATGGTTCATTCTTGGCTGAGAAATTCAAATCTGAACTCCTACCCAGACCGTAGTCTTTCCAAGCAGACCAGTCAGAGAACGGCCATACGTTCGCAATGTGCGCGCTGTTCGTGGTGTTCGCGGTGTTCGTGGTGTTCGCGGTGTTGTCGGGATCGGCCATACTATTCCAGATGATTCCTGCTATTCCTGCGATTCCTGTGATTCGTGGGGCATTGTGGGGTAGGGGAATGGAGGCCGCCAGTTTGAGGCGTCTTTCGCGGCCAACTGGTCCTTTTGCAGCATTCTTGCGCATCGTTTCAGGGCCAGTAGTCCGCGGAGACAGCCCAAACTAGCGGCTTTCGTTCCCCTACCCAGGCATTGTAACGGAAAAATTGTTATATCTTGTGTGGCGTGTCACACCCTACACTTGACCCTGCCGGCAACTCCGACAACACCGACAACACCGCAAACACCGACAACCGCGAACACCGCGAACACCACGAACACCGCGAACACTGCGAACCTATGGCCGTTCCCTCAGCGAGTACGGTAGCACGTTCGGATTTCGGGTTTGACTTCTCGGTCACTAATGAATTCTAAACCGTAGACATTGATTAGCTAAAGCCTCTTGTTCACACGAGAGAAGTTCAGCTACCCTTGTTGTGCATGAACTTTGACAGCATTTTTTGTTTTTGCGGGTTTTGCACAGTTTTACTAGCAGCTTTTTCTCGAATGTTTTGGAGCTTGATTTCTCCAACTGCAACCAAATCATTGAGCCTTTTCAAGCCTACATTTAGATAAGCAATGGCAGATCTAGATTCTGATTACCACTCATCAGATGACGAAGATTACGTACCAGAAGAAGGTGTAGAGGATGTCGATTATCCATCGGGCGAAGAGGTACTGACTTCAGTTTTAGTTTTAGTTCAGTTTTCAGTTTTATGCACTTCAAATATTGTTGATTGGTTGTTGTCATCTGACACATGAGCGTTGACGCCACTTGTCCTAAATTCAAAGTTTCTGCATGTGACCTGCCATCGCACTTATCTCGCATTTGTGTACATCTCACCGAAGTGTGCTTGAGAAAGCGGGGAAACGGCTTTGTTTTTGCAAGCTAAATTGCGAAGTGCACAGTTTGCATCCCTTGAGCAGCAGATAGCTCATCACTCAGCATACAAGCTAAATTGCGAAATGCACAGTTTGCAATCCTTGAGCAGCAGATAACTCATCAGTCAGCATTTTTGACTGATTGATGTCGTATAGTTGACGTGACGTCGAAGCTAGTGGATGAGTCACACACTTGTGCCGCGAAAGATGAAAAGAAAGATTTCGGGGCTTAGAAAATTTGGTAGCTGTGACGCGGGATTGCTTTTATCTGCGTTGGATCAGTAGTTGTGACAGCGCTTGAATTTTCCTTTAAAGTAACCATTTTTCCAGGAAAATGAAGTAAATGAAGATAGTGGGAAACCTTCTACGAAAAGAAAACGCGCTGGTAAAGACAAGCCACCGGAATCGAGTGAAAAGCCGTCGTAAGTTGCTAATCTAGTATGGGATGTTTATTACTTCCACGTTCATTTTTACCTTTTAGTTCACTAATGATCACCTCATCTGTATATGATGTGCATTGCATAAGCTTTTTCCTTCAAGTGTAGTCAGGTTTTAGCACATCTACAGACGGTAATGTTGAAGATGATGCCAAGGCTGCATTTCTTGCACTTATGTCTGAAGACGATCCTATCCTTGGTCGCAAGCGTGCTGAAGTCGTGCAAAGCTCATCAGAAAGTCCCAAGTTGGTATTCGTCTTTTGGTTTCATTGATAGCAATAGTTTTCGTTTTTACATTCCTTGATTTCAGAAAGAACGAATTGGAAGAGAGCGCTGCTACGGCCTCTACCTCATCACCCACGACGAATGTTGCAGAGTCGAAAAGTGAAGAAAAGTCAACCACAGTAATCACTGAAGTGTTTGACTTTGCTGGAGATGAAGTAAAGTATGTTACCAGTCTTTGCACGACTTTACTTACATATTCTCGTGTTATGTTTATTTACTAATTGATTTTTTTCATTCCAAGCTTGCCTTTTATGATGTCTACGTCGCTATAACATTTCATTCTGGCATATGCCGCGACATTTAGAGTTCAACGAGTTGTTACTGAGGAGGAAGCCAAAGAGATTGAAGCAAAAGAAAAGCGGAAGGAAAATGACAAGACAAAAAAGCCTCCGAAGTATGTTTCTTTATCCTATACCCTCTTGTCATTTTTACCATTGCCTTAGTTTCGCAGTTCTTCCTCTGTAGATTGAGAAGTGTTAATAATTCTGAATCTATTCTCGTAATTTGCAGGCGATTAGGGCTCGGAGGTGCGTTGACACTACTGGCAAAGAAGCCGAAAATGTCTGTCCTCGACAAATCAAACCTTGACTGGGCAACTTTTAAAGAGGAACATCACCTCAAGGTATGCTTGCAGCTTCCAACATGTTCGCTCATTCCTCTCATTTCTTGTACCAAATAAATTTTGAATTTTTAGGAGGAATTGGAAACTTTCAACCGTGGCAAAAATGGCTATCTGGATAGAATGGAGTTTTTATCAAGGACGGACTACAGAGAATTCGAGAAGGAGAAAGCATTGCGGAATTCGTCCAGAAAGCCCATATAGTTTTGTTGGCAACGTTACATGATTTTGGTTTTGTTTCCATCACTTTCTGAGAGGATTTTATCTACAACGCTGAATGTGGGGCGTAGTAGCTTTGATTTTGCAAACTTTGCTGTTGAACATTCTGCTTTGACGTTGTCACGCTCATTTCCACTGTGTCAGTATTAATTGTTAGGTATTATACTTTTTATGTTGTATGTTTGACTTATTGAATTGTACAGCAAGCTATACTTAACGTATGCTTTCTTGTTTCATCTATAAATCGTACACCTTTATGTGTCACATCTGGCTAGATTAGTGGTAGTTGTTATCCACAAGTTCACTAAGTTTATTTGATAGTTAACTACGGCCAGTTGTGCATTGACATATGCTTTTTCAAGCAATTCAACATATTTCTTTCTTGGTAGGGGGAACGACAAATTTTTTAAGAGGTTTCGCGGCTCTGAAGAATTTTTTGGGACGTTACCCAGCTTTTACGCACATCTTGTAAATCCGAAATCCACATAAGTTAGTATAACGGCAAAAATGCTCTTGAAAAAAATACATGGCTTATAAAAGTTAAATGACTGTTTCACTCCTAAATAACCAGATTTTTTTTTGAAAATTTGAATTAGCTTTGTAAAGGAATTTTTTCGGGGATGGCTACCGTTAGACTAAAAAATTTTGGTGAAACTCCAATTTTCGGAAGATGTAGCTTACATTTTTAAAAAGAGCGGTTTTTTCGTTCAAAATTTTTTCGTTGCTTCTCCCGTCTACTTGACAAAATCTTTTTTCATTATATAATGCATGTTAAGATGGGTATCGTTTACTGTGTTTTTTTTTTTAAATTTTTACAGCAAAGCTGAATGCGGTAAGTTAGTCGTAGTGATATACCTGCTTTTCGAATCCAGATGTGACAGAGAAATTATACCCTTCCGTCAGTCGATACCTTTTTTCTCCGCTGTGCACGCAAAGCCAGCTGTCACTCGGATCTCTCAGGATTTGCAGCATTCTATCTGTTCTTGTTTGCTTTTCATGGCCTTTGATAAACGACATATCTTGGGAGCTAATGCTAATCTGCTTGTTCTGTAAGCTCAGAATTTAAGCGACTTTAATTTCAGAATCTGATTAAAGGGGAATGAGTCAGTGGGAGGGCATAACATGCAGGGATACTAAAGTTTAAGCTCTTTCTCAATCTTGCTATAAATCAGCTTTCCCATTTATATGTTTGCGCAATTTAGTATGTAGACTAAACTAGTGTATAGACTTACTTTTAGGGTGGTGTTCCATGATTTTTTACCGTTTTTACTACACCATCGTCTTTTGTATCTTTCCTTCATTTGATGTGGCTTGAGTAACCATTCAACAGGGCAAAGAAAGAGCTCTACAAGATGACTATCAAGAGTCTGTTAGAATATACAAACTCCGCCCCTAGACGTCCTGAGCTCCTTCCACGCACGTGATATAGCTCATGCATACACAAGTACGACCATGTACTTGTACTCTTTGTAGATGCCTCAGTTCTCAAGAAACGGTGATGTTTAGGGTAGAAACGGTAAAAAAATATGATCCCTAATATCTCGATATCTGTAACATGTGTATGGTTAGTTGACTTGGTATCAGGTTGGATGTCGCTTGAGCGTCGACGTCACAGCTCATCCTCAGACGATGGTCGCCATTTTGATGACACAGCACAAGGACGGTTTCAAAATGTTCGTCAGTTGTCTAATGAGGAACGTGAGTCATTAATTCGTCTCAAAATGATCATTTACAGAATTAGAGCAAATTTTCTATAGAGTTTGTACAAGGAGCTCGGCGTATGTATCGCGTCCTATCAAAGCGTGATCCAAGACTGACTACTGAGCAAGGAATCCGCAGACTTTATGATGAGATTGATAATGCTGACTTCAAAACGCAAGAAGGTTTTGTATTTTTTTTTTGAAATTCACTTATGTTCTTTCTGAAATTCACGACAATTTTTTAAAGTATCTCTTTATAGAGCTTCTTGAGCGAATGTTCGGTGAAGCTGAATTACAAGAGCTAGTTGGAGAAAGTAGTGAAGCTGTGACGGTAAGTTATGAATTGTTTGATCTGAGAAGATTTCAGTGGCAGTGCGTGGTCTACTCTTAACCCATCCCTCTCCTCATTTACTCTTAGCCCCTCCCCCTCCTAAATAGAAAGATAGGCTATCTGACGTAACGTAGCAGACTCCGAGCTTATGTTAACTATTCTCAGAATTTTAGGAATTCTTTCGAATTTTGGTTGAAATTATACTTTCCTACAAGTGGAGAATACTCTAGGAATTTATATATTTATTTCTTTATTTATTTATTTGAATACGCCACATGCGCGCATAGTGTCGGGTTAGTAACCAACAGATTCTTGAAAGAGAAAAAAAAATCAGTGTTAGAAATACACAAACACAGAACAAGAAAGCCTAAACGCAGAAAAATAAGATAGCTTTTTGCTTGTTTATAAGATATGATATTTATGCTTGTTTATAAGATATATGGCTATGTTTAGCCCGATGATGAAGAAGCATTTGTCGAAAACCTACGAAACACCGTGCAAGGCGACGATCTGGAACCACTGGTTGAGGAAAAGAAGGGTCGAAAAATCCTCAAAGCGGTCAGTCCATAGCTTCTTCGACAAGAAAATCAACGTTCTTGGCATGACTGGATATTTCTAGTCTGGCCTCTGATCTTTCTAGAAGCTCAATAAATTCGATAGCTTTGTGGAGTACTTGCTTCAAAAAATCAACCAACAGTGGCTAACACTGATCTACGCCGTATTTCCTTTCCATCAAGTGCAAACACTGGTTTTCATCTGCTTGGTTCAGTTCATTAGGTAAATTTGTGTATGAAATCGCTATGAGACTTTTGGATAACATTTTTTCAGCCTTCCTTCACTTCTCTACTTTCTACCAGTACTAACTGCATATGCGTCATTCTTTCTGATGGTATATTTCACTTTGAAGATGTTCCATAACAAAAGGTGATTTCAGTATAAGAAGCTTATGATTGGTTTATCAATTTTTTCAGCATAAAAAGGCAAAGAAAGACTTGGAAACGCCTTTTGGATGTATTCAGCGAAAAAGGAGACGAAGGGACTCCTGTTGAAGGGGTTGGTAATTGCTTTGCACTTCACTTGGCTTTTATATTTGTTTTTTCTCATTGCCTGTGGTATTGCAGGACTCTTATTTTATTACCGATAACAACTGGGACACCTATGTTAATTTTGCAGTGTCTGTATCTTTATTCGTTTTGTCAGGTACAGTTCATGCAAATTTTATCCCCCATTTTTCTCACTTCTGGCACTTTCTATTGTTTCAGTTGGCGCTGCTGATCGAAAGATTCCATACTGTAGTTTACTTTGTGGTACATCAGTATTCTTTGCCTTGATGACATTTGTCAGTTTGGCGGATGCCTATGACAGATATGCACTGTTCGGCATTTTTGCGAATTTGATGTCTTGGTAGGTTTACCTTTGACATGTATAATTCACTGCGACTATAATCTGGTGACTTCTAGTTTACCCATCATTCTGTCGCGCATGCGTATTTCTGCAGGATACTGGCGCATATGGCGCCCTTTTCTCCAGTTTAAAATTAGTGAGTGCCATTTTTGAATTTTATAAAATGATTCAAGTGGAATTCCCTTCAGGCTATTTGATCGTAAGCTTGAGTTTACCATCTATTTGTCTGCTTTCAATACCGGTAATCTACTGCTTGATGGCGTCAAGAACAGCGACGTGGACAGACGCCGTTCATGCCATCGTGCCACACATCGTACGTGTTATTTTCTTGATGGTCCCGTTTTAAGAAAAAAATGGTTAAGTTGTTTTTTTTTTCGGATTTTGTAGCGAAGTGGCAAAAATTGATGTGTGAAATAATTTATGAGGAAATAATTCACGTTAAGGTGACAATAGTATGGTCTGACGTCGCTATGACTCTGTTGATGATAGGATGGAAAGCTTTCGGTGTGAGTTTTTCTTATTTTGCTGAGATCTCTATTTATCACCACTCTTGGTGTTTTCGATTTTTTGTCCTTTTTATCGCGACATTTTACTGGTCTGAAAAGGCACCAATCGAACTGATTGTAAAACCTGCATTTACAGTACGTCGATCTCATTTTGGCTTGCTGTGCTGTCTCGTTGTTCTTCTTCCCTACTCTTGCAGCTGGAGTCCTAGTACTTGCCGTAATGGTCGCGCAGCTCAAGAATTCTATAGACTTTGTAAGTATTATAGAAACAGATATATCGTAAACATTCTAAGAATTCTGCTTTAGATTAGTTGGGCTAAGGCTCTGATCACTATCTTTGTGCTTATCTCACCATTTATTGTCGCAAGAGTTTATAATTATTTGGCGAACAAGTACAAGTTCAGTGGTGAGTGTTTTTTCCCATTTTTGTTTCTGCCGCCAATGATAGATCCGAAATTGCTACAGTATCTACTACTAGCCCTCAGAAGAAGAAATGGATCATGCTTGGCGTTTATTTTTCCGCGCTGTTAATGGCAATTTCATTTTTGTACGAAGGACAGATGACATTTGATCCAGCAGCTGATGTCACTAACATGACATGGTTGGTTCCCCTACTTATAAAATTTGGCACCCATTTCGAATTCCATTGTCCCTACGGTATAGGTCACTACAGTCTAATGTTTGACATGAAGTTCAGAATTGTTGCTGATTTATTTTGTAGGACGCACTATGATCGTTACTGCTCTCTAAATTCAGCCAATACTATAGAGAATCAGATTACCTGTAGCCAGCTCAAAGGTCTGCTTCACTCCAGCTTTTTGGAATCTACCCTGGGGAAACCTGGTTTTTCAGGGACTGCTGTGAATTGGAAAGGAACTGTTCAATCAGTTCGAATCGTGAATATAGACAATTCGTTCGAGGCCTTGCTTGGTTACTTACCAGAATCAATCGGTCAAACATTGCGATGTTTTTACGACAGTAATCGAACGACTGACGATGTTGCGTATGCTGAGGGTATGAGGTTTGTAGATGATTTTTGGCTTCAGTAAACATCTTCGAAGGAATTTGTAACCTTTTTCAGAGCCAATGAATGCTCATTGACTGAGCACAACGTTTATACTTTCGATGTGGAAGTATCTGGACCATACGGAGAGAGGATTGTCAGTAGTGCAAAGGGTCAGCTGATACTTAGTGCCGGACATATTTTTGCCGAGATGCTGAGACTAGTGGATGAAGGTAATTTTCACCTACATAGACCAACGTTCAATAATAACATTATGTGTGCCAACGATGACAACGACATTTGCGCTAAAACAAGTGCCATATTTGTGAATACCATTAACTTTTCTTGCGATATGCGCGTAAAACCGGGCCATCGAGCACACACTGTCATTTCTACGCGCAAAAGTTGTCCGCAACGCAAAAACACCGTATTATTTGCGAGCTATACTAGGCTACCATCCCCTCATAAGATGACGTATGAGTTTTTCTTTGCCAGGTGATGTTGTGCGATTTGTCGCTTTCTTCGATCAGTACCCAATTTTCCGCTATCCACCTCGACTGAAGCTTTTGCAGTTGGAGTGTGCAAATTGTAAACAGGTATAATGAGTCGACTTTTTTGTTTTGATTTTCGAAGATGTGCATAGTCTATTTAGTTCCAAAAAGGAAGGAATTCACATCTGCGAGTGACTAATTCTAAGATCAGCCGTACTGGATTATGGCACCGAGTGTTTGAGGCGTTCAAATTCTGCTTCAATTTTATGTTTGCACCAGTTGTTAGAGTGAAGTAGGAGCGAACGCTTATTGAAGCGTCACCACGAGATAGTGCGTGCCTTGCATGCAATTCATTTTTACTAGTCATCAATTCGTTTTATTTCTTATGAGCATAATTCATTGTACATATTCCTGTTTACTCACTTCTAAACTAGCACTTACCCTAGCTTTTTCTTACATTGAAATATTTGAAGTAGTATCTCTAGACTCTGCTAAGTCGCAGTTTTATCCCCGTGTTCACTCAATAATTGTTATCAGGTGTAATATTGCTTTAGCTTGATAATGTTGGCCATATTATGCCTTATTCTGATTAGTAAATGATGTGCTTTTTGGAACTGCTTCGGCACGAAACCGGTGAAAATTTTTGGGACAAAATTTGCTTGCTTGCAAAAATAAGTAATTTTTTAAGGGCACAATAATCAAACAAAACACGCAACCACGTTGATCCTACAGCACCGCAAGGAGGAAGTCTACGCATGCAAACGCGAGCACCTTGGAGCTCCGCCCCATCACTACTCCATAATCTTGTCAGGACCTCTATTGGCCAATAAACACCCATTAAAACTATTATTTTTGGCGCGAAATTTGGAACCGTCGCTTTCCGCACAACTCCCCTAGCACATCTGTAAATTTCTCTAGAGATTCTGCTTTTGTTTTTGCAAAGCACATTTCTCGCAAACAAGAGATATAAACAACCTTATAAGCCACAGTCATTTTGAAAGCGATTTATGAAATTAACGAGTATTGTAAGGGATGTACATGGTCTGTGAACAGGTTCTGTCTAAATATTTGATGCTTTCATCTATCATAGATTTGACGGACTCTAGCACAGCAACCATTGCCACACCGCCAAATCCATGGGTCATCTAAATCATTGGAAATTAGGATGGGTGTTACGGTAAGATTATGGTACGGTACAAGTTAGTGCGACTAACCAAAGTGTAATGACTGAGATGCTGTTGGATACTTGGGTCTAGAGTGACAGCGGGTCGAGCGAGAGCGATGAATGGAGTGAGAGGTGTACGGTCAGCAGCAAGGAGATCGCACAACTCAGAGACGATTTTTCTATAACAAATCTTCAGGGATTCACAGAGAAATAATTTTGTTTGAAGGCAGTATTTGGAAATCTACGTATCTGGATTTTTTGTGCCATTGTTTCATGTTTTTTCTAGCGGACCAATCAGCGCTCTCGAGTACGGTAGAGTACAGTCTGGGCAAAAGTTTCGAGATGAATTTTTTGGCTTAGAATGAGCCATACGAGCTGCCATACTGGTTATAGCTTAATTAAGGTCTTACAATAAGATTCCACACAAAAAATCCAAATACCCAGATTTTCTAGATAGTACTCCGACAAATCCTACCTGCTATTTTCCAACATTGTTCGCCTTTTCATCACATCATGATCGAGAGAAATATTAGCTTTTGTAAGATAAATACCAATTTCACGAGCATGAAATTCTTTTTCGCAGACAACAGCAAAATCTTTAGCCATGTGTACTGCTTCTTCTGGAAGAATATCTCAATTTTTTGGAAAAATGTGTTAGCAATGGTTATTAGAACCTTCTACGAGAGCAGTCCATGCGGTGACATTTGCTTGTTTACGACGACCAGCTGGCAGTGTAAGACCAATTTTTCGGAGCGAGTCTCGCAATGTTTTCCCTCCATCTTTTGACTTTGCTCTGAAATCGAAGAATTTAGCAATTTTTTTTCCAAAGAAAGAAGGTAAGGCAGCATCCAGAGGCTTGTACTGGCGCTGTGCCAGCACCATGCCAGTGCCGTGCCGAATGACTACCGATCAATAAGGAACGCGTCCGTTCTGGCACGGCGTTGGCACGGGCAACTCTGGGCGCTCCTAGCTCAACTAAATTCCTTTCTGATATGGTATGGGTGAAGCGGGGATGTTCTTGTAGAAATGATGAGTTTTTCAAAGTTTTTCTCTCTAATTTTGCCAAATTAAGCAAAAATTTTAGGCTTATCTTTTACAGCTACAGTTCGACTTTGATTAGCTCATAAGTTTTCTTATATTTACCTCCGTAAAATTCCACCAAGAAGGGATGCGTTTAAACACTCCGGCGGGCTTATTCTGCGTTGTATCTCTCCCACCGTAACTCTATATTTTGTTGTGCTGCTCAACAAACTCGTCCTTCCTGGTACTGTACAGTAAACCTTAATATCCGAGCTACAGCCAAAATTAGAAAAGTGCAAATATGCCTACTTCGCATGGATCAATGCCATTCGGGGATGAGTCACCAAAGAAGATGAGCGGGATCTCAACTTTGCGTGATACTGGAAAAAATTGTTTCAAATTTCTATTAGAAACAATTCACTACAGAAAGCTATACCTCAACAAACATGATATAGTAATATTTAAGTGATTGTCTCGCCATAAGCAATGAAAATTTAGGAGTGAAATTTTGGAACTTGGTTCACAAAATACAAAGTTTTTTAACTCTTCTCTATCCTTTATACACGCTAGTGATGGCAAAATTCTACATCAGTTATTTTTTGGAATTATGAAAAGTAACTCAAAAATTTATAAACTCTTAATCTTCTTTCTCTAATGAGTAAAAAAACTTATGTATCAACATATTTGTCTGAAAAAAGAAATAAAAGAAACGAAATTAAGCACAAGATTTGCTTTCCTCCATAAAGTTTGGAAAACGATGCAGTCAGAAAATCATGTCTGCTTTCCGTTCTTTTATATTATTTTCGCAATCTGGATTTCCAAAGCTTGAAAATGACAATCTGCGTCTTCTATGCCGTCTTCTACCGTCGTCTATGTACCTAGCTACTGAGTGCTCAGTAAATTCAGTAAATAACTCTGCAGTAAAAATAAAAGTTTTGATACCTGTTGTAAAAAAAACATGATATTGATTTCTCAATTTGCTAGGAGCATCTTAGATGGTTTGAGCTATTGGCTTATCATTTTTGAGAAAAAAAAACTTCAAGAGGAAATTGAAGAAAATTGGAAAAATTTTACATCATGTGCCAGTGACAGCTCGTTATATCGCATTACAGTCTTCTTGTTTTTCTATCATAAGGCTGAAGAATTTCTATTGATATCCGATTTGTCTTTCATCATTCTCTTTCAACCAAGTGTTTGAAAAACTGCTTAGTCCCGTATAATTTGTCTACTTCCCCTCTCAGCTATTACCGTAGTCCAAAAGCGCGTACATACGAAAATCATCTGAATCTCGTTATATCCACGGGTCTACTTCAAGGGTAACTAGATCATATTTTGTTTAGCAGAATTCTACTCACATTTTCTTTCCAGTTCTTCACTTTTAACATTAGGTGTACAAAAATCCTGAAAGTCCAAATTTTGTTGGTCCATGTAATTTATGTGTAAAATCACACCTCCATTTCACCATTTCCATTTGGGATAATATGATGCTGAAAAAATGCCGGTTGAGGTTCACCTCTTGGACAAGAAATAGCGCCGATCCCACATGGCATCTAAACAAGACTAAGTGACTCATAGTGCTCAGAAATCAGGGTTACTTGTGCAACCTACATGATGCTGAATTACATTTTGATTATATGGAGGAGCAAACTCGTTGTGCGGATATCCAATATTAAAATATTGCGGAGGAAATGAACGATAGTCGTTGCGCACGTGCTCACACTGGAAGAAACATCGGCGGCATAATTTGTAGAAACTCTTCAAAAACAACTTTTTTGGTTGCGATAAAAAAATTTCACGTCCAGATTTGCGGTCCACAAATTTGCCAGATCAATCAAAGCACTGATAATGATAATATATGGCATCTTTTGGCCTGGTAAATGTAAGACCTACAGGGAAAGGTGGTGGTTGGCGAAAATCGCATTGACTCCCTTCAGCTTCATCTTCTCCTTCCAGATCCTCTTCATCAGTTGCCTAGAAGCTGAATCCCATGAGTACAAGAGAACACAACACAACGCAATGAAAGCTTATTCTTCCAAGCTGTAGAAGTTCTTATGTTTTGGTTACAACTACAGATAGCCCGATCTCACCGAAAAAACTTTCAAAATATCATTTGCAAAACCTTGAATATTGAAAAGAAGTTATCAGAGTATCTGTAGATCGGGATCATATTTCAAATTTGCCATCATATTTTTCACTATAATTCTACAAATTCTACGTGTTACAAATTTTGGTCGTGGCAGAAATGATTACTATATGCTCGAAAATCTTCTCTAAGTGATTTTTAAGCTTTTGTTACAAAGCATAACCAGGGGAGATGCTGTACTTGCTGCGATCGAATTTAGTACTCTTCAGCTCAATGAGAAAGTTTTGTGAAGGTAAACCAAGAAATTATCAAATTTCTTTGCGTGCTAGAATGTTTGAGGAACATCTCAGACGGGCAATATCTTTCTGATAAAAGACATTCAATTTTTGAGAGAAAAATTTACATTTCTGCAAAGCGTAAGACATGAAGCTTTTAGATACAGTAACCTCATCGTAAAATGAACGTGATTAGTCAGCCTTTCCTTTTTCTTTTACGATGATTTCTCCCTAGTTTTTTTTTTACTAATGCTTACTAAAATTACACAAACAAACCTCCATCTTTCGCTTCATATAATGCTCCTGAGATATAGAATGGCGCTTTCGAGTGTACATACTGTAATGGTAAGTAGAACGTATAGATATGCAAAAGTAAGAATACTATAAGGTAGAGCAACATGCTAAGAATTTTGCAGATTTTCATCTTTTTGCTTGTGTTACTTTTATTATTTTTAGCGAATGATGCAATTGGGGCTACTAGACAGAAATTTTCTAAACATCGAAATAAATCTCCAAAGCATTGAGACAATTTTACCGAGCAATAAATCTTATGATTGAAAGTAGCTTTTGTTATAGAGGACCTCAAAGGAAGCAAGGAAAGTTCATCTGCTTATATTAAATTACGGTATAGACATACTTGCAATTTTTTCGGAAATTACTTCACTCTCCAACACAATCGTACTCTTTTTAGCACACGTCAAAGAATTCAAGAACATTCACGATTATTTTACCTAGGATGGAAATAATGTCAAATTTTTCTATCCGAAAAAACTGAAGCTTGGTGGACACTAGATGCAGCGAGTAAAACTGGGCAATATGGGGCTGTTTGCGAAGAGCACGGCTAAGGGATTACTGTAGCATTATTAGTGGTGCTTAATTGAATTCTTGGTGGGCCTAGACAGCCGAAGACGCGCGCGTTGAGTGCGCCTAGTTGATAATCCTGCTTTGATTGCTCTGTTTGGGAATATGCTAATTTGGGGATACGGTAATTTCGGGGAAGCGCTGCCAAAATTAGAGGAGAGAAAATACTTTTCTCTGTTTGCTAATATGAGTAATCTCGTTAAGTCATGAAACTGAAGCTCTTCAGCTGTTTGAAGACTTTTAAAAAAGTTCGTCCCTTCAAAAAATAATATTAAATATAACGCTGAAACTCTTCTATCCAAACAAAGGCAACAAAGTTACTAATACGATCTTAACAAACCTGTCAAAAATTAATAAAGTGTTATCACGCCAAGTTCATTGACTTTGTTCGAACAGACGTCAAAAGAGAAAAAGATTTTCACAAAATCAAACACTCTATTCACTATTCGAAATTTTCTGGAATTTTCAGCTTTTTTTTGTTTCGAGTAATAAATTTGACCAATTGTACACATATTTCATTTTGTTATTATTATATATTAGTATTTCATTTTTTCATTATTTTATACATTATAATATTATTTTTTATTATCATTATTTTATTGTTTTCATTTCTTTATTTTATTTCGTTTTATTTTAGTATATTTCATCTTATTTTATTCACATATTTCATTTTTATGCATATTCCATTTATTTCCATATTTCTAAGAATCGACTTTTTTCCTTCCAGCTGTCTGATTTCCCTAGATTCTGGATCTAAATATCTCTATCCTGCTTTCCAGATTTGCTTCAAATCATAGGAAACTTACTATTTTGTCACAATCTAGATACTCCCGAATTTCTCGAAAATTTTTTACCGATTTTTATTTACATTAACAAGAATTTTTTTGTAGTTCCTGGATTAGAGCTAAAGTGAAGACGCATTTAACTGTTGTCAGCCAGATCCTCGTCGGTGAATATTTTAGGATATGCATAATGACAGCTCAGTCATATGGTGCTGACAAATCCCCTTATCCTTTCATTGGCCTCGCTCCGTCGTTTGCTCGGATCTCCGCCCTCTTACTCGGGAAGGATAACTCAAAAGATGATAGCTACGCATACAACAAAATGTCACTTGCAAATTTTCATATTTTTGCACATTTTCCCACCTTTTCGAATAGATTTCTAACCATAAAATTTCAAGACTTTAGAAATCATCGTGATCTGATTTTTTTCTTAGCTATTGCTCTGGAGGGTCTGAAGGTTTGAAGTAAAAATCTACAACGAAGGATCGAAAAGCAGTATACATGCCAAAATTTTGCTTTCTTCAGAATGACAGTAGAGATAGTTGCCTACCCTTTCTAAGAACTTCGTTAAAGCTTTTCTTCAGAATTTAAAAAATTCTTGAAATTTTTGTATGTGGCTCATTTTATCACTTAAGTTGAACTTTAGCCAATTATTGGTACTGAGACTAATAGAGCAAAGATCAAGCCTTACGGAGAAACTTCTCCTAGGTCTCTGTATTTCCAATATTCTATAGATGTTTAATTTGCGAAAAAAAAGTTGAGGTAACTCCGTTAGAAACAGTTAAAAGTCGAAAGATTACCGAAACTTCAAGTTCATGCTGTGGTTGTGGTTGTGGGCTGTCGATATCAAAGGCCGGGCATATTTCACGCGATATCAGTCGCCACGCGATTTGGCAATTCGCCAAAAGTCTTCAGATCCAACATTAGCAAACCGCATATGTATAGTATGTATAAGTTACGTGGTATTTTCTATGCATTTGAAATGTACTTACAGTGAGTTATGGACAGTTGGAATATTGCCAAATCGCGTCACGACTGAAATCGCGTGAAGTATGCTCGGCCTGTCAGCAAACACAGTACAATTTCAGGATTTCATAAATTTACAACCCATCCTGCGGGATTATGATTGACGTTTCAAAAAAAACTACGTAACTTTGAGCGCTTATTTTTAGCAAAATTTTTCAAGTGAAACTAACAGAATAGGAAACTCATGAAGCAGATGAAATGGGCACACGGTATCTAGCAACAAAATGTGCAAAACTGTAATATACTCTTACCCATCATCTCATACTAACTTTATTTATTCTTGTTTTTCTTTTGTTGATTTTTCTTTCCATTTCCCTAATAAGCTTCTACCAAGCTTGATAATTTGTTAAGAAGCGGTAGTTATGAAGAATAACAGCAAAGTGGATGACTGACAGCTATATGAGGTTTTTTAGATTTTTCTTCTTTTTTCTTTATTCGTCTTTATGTCATACTAGTTTAAGATCTTCCATCATTACTGATTACTGATTTCCGGGAAGATCGTATACTTTGCCTAATTTCCGTACAGTGAGTAGGAAGGAAACGGAATTAGTTATATTGTTTTTTGCTTTTGGTTATTTCATTCACTAACTTTCAAAAGTTTTTGTTGATAATGGCTCTGGCAGATTGCCCCGGGTAATTATCAAAATGACGCTGTTAACAATAGACCGCTACCAAAAACACAACCATTATCTTTATGACAAACTGGAAGTGTATAGGGCATCTGAAAAATCGTGACGATGGCGCGACCGCGCGCGACACGCACACCACTTCCTGAAGTCGCATTTTCTTGGTTTTCATCTTTAGTCGAGTTGTTTTTTTGCTTACGCTCAAGTTTCCTGACTGCTGCACAAGGTCTTGATCAGATTAAAAAGACGTCACTTGTGTTCAAAGCTTGTATAATTTACCATTTATTTAAGCACAAAGTGCACCCTCTTTACACACAACACACCATTTTTTGGTACAACATACCGAGGTATACATGATGAAAGAACACTAATGACTGAGCTACCGTAGCTCCAGACCAGTTGCCGATTTCACTACATCACAGGATCCGCCAGCTATCATGTCACTGATACGAGCACACATATCGTCAATGGCTCGATCGAGTTTCGGTCGGACACAATCTCCTTTTGAAAGCACTCGTGAGATTGCTAACAGGTCACCTATCCGAAGATCCACTTTTTGAGACCAACCCTGTACGTAACCAAAATTATACAGAGATACAAAAAAAAAAACAAAAAATAACGGAAGAAATGGATTGTAGAGTAGGTTTATATCCTTTCAAAAAAGTGAGCTAAATGCGAAAAAAGTGAGCTAAATGCGAAAAGCTTCAGATCGAAAAAAGTGCTCAATATGGAAAGTGGTTTGAAGGCCTCACAATCGCTCAGAATTTTTTAGTTTTGGTTTTCCACTGTTTTGCTCTTTCAGTGCCCAGAAAACGTCCTATACCAAGTTCAGAAATATTAGGTTGGTGCAAAAATAATGAGCGTTTTCCCATTTTTCACTTTAACTTGCTATAACTTTCTACAAGATCTACATTTTGAAATGTGATAAGCCCCGGTCAGACTTCACGCGACTTAATCGTCGCGATCTAATCGCCAAGATTTCCATTCATTTTCATTTCACATTCAAAAATTTCGGCCTGGAAAAGTATCACAACCGAATGCAAGTTGATCGGCATGGAATGATGTTGTAACAGTTGTCTCGTCGCGACTCAGTCGCGACGATCAAATCGCGTGAAGTCTGCCCGGGGCCTTAAAGACCATCAGATGCAGCGAACCTTTCGCAGCCTTACAACCTTACAGCGCACATTGAACTATACTCATATCTCATATGGGCAGAAAAATATGGATTGAAAAAACAAAAAGAGTTTTTTCTGAAGCCTTCTTTTTGACAGAACATAACTCCTTTCACACTTTGTTCTTATGATTTATAAGCAGCCTATCTTGTAGCCGCAATCCAGTAGTACAAATATACATGGAAACGGCTTGGAGAAAAAAGATTAGCGAAGACGGAAAAATCGAGATTCAAAAATATCAACTTTTTTAGCATTTTTTCAGTAGGCCTCAAAACCCCGAAGTAGAGAATTTTTTAATTTTCTGCGTACTGAAAGGCTGGATGTTTTTGCGAAAACCGCTAATGGGACTCCTATCCTCACGCTTACAGAGATGAGCAAAGTTTAAGCACTGCATTTTACAAAAGAAAGTTATGGGCTCTAAAATGACCACAACCATTACCCATGTAAGCCGCCGATATCTCACTTTAGACAACTTGAGAAAATATGGTTGAATATGCATAATGTAGACATCCATTACATATAGTGGCTAAATTTTCGATAAACCACCTTCATTCGCGCTCAAATTCTGGCCAGAAAAAATGAATGCAACGAAAATCTAATTTTGAGTGCGATTATGTGAAGCTCTATAAATTCTTAACAGAGTGGGCTAGAAGTTCCTTTCGAATATCGTCAGATAGAGCATGAAAAGAGCTTTCTAACAATGTGCCGAAACCGTTAAAAAGAAAGACGTTTGATGGAGAAAAGTTGTCCTGAAAAAAGTCCTAGGAAAACGCTCATTGTTTTGCACCAACCTAATAGATGCAAATTTTGCGCCTCAAGTGCTATTTTTTACGCGCAAGTGTTGTAAGCAAAATCATTGCAGCATACCTAGTAGACTTCAAGCATAATTGCATAGTAATCTGCGTAAATAAATGACTGAACCTACTTGTAAATGTGTGCAATGTTGTGATAAAGACAAATTGACTTTTTCCAGTGCTAGGTTGAGTGCTGAAATGGGATGTGTTCATGTACTGTTATTTTACTGATATCTGCTTTTAGCAAGGCATTTCTCAAGATGATATCAAATGTTTTACCTTTATAAGATCTTGCTCCACTAGCCAATTTTTCTGCTTTTTTCAAACACCTTTTCAAAAAATTGCAATACAGGTCTTGTGGACCGGCGCCATTGAAGTAGACCATTCTGCCCTGCAATAGCTACATTTTGTTAATAACAACAATTTTATCTTACCTCTACTATCGCACCTTTATCGTGACGTCACCACCATGGAGAAAAGTTTCTACTACCGCATTCACAGTACTTTCCAGGATGTCCACATTTGGTTGAGTAAACCTATAAATGAAAATTCAGTGACGCAGACCATATTCATCCTCTAAAGGGATCAGCATTCATTGCACGGATGCGGCGCACTAAAAGGCCGTCATTTTGGCATCAGGTGTCACGTAAGCGAAGATGAACCGGTGCAGTAAATAAGTTTATTCTCCTTTTAGCGTATTGTAAACCGGTACTCATCTTTTATTATGCATGACATTCTTGGATTTTGCTTACGCGATACCAAATGCCAAATGCTCGTCGTTTAGTGTGCCGCTATTTTCCGACGTCTTGAGAGGTTCACAAAAAGTACGGCGCCTCCTATAATCAACCTGACAACTGCAATTACTTACTTGTGTTGCATGACTAGAACATTAGCTATAGACAGCCGCATAACTCCATCGGAGATATTTTGAGTCCATGGAGATCGTGCTCGTCCTGTCGCATGATTGAGCATTTCCATGGCTGATGCGCGATAATCAGCCTGAAAATTGATAAAATCAGTTAAGAAGATGTCTTATGAGCAAAAATTCCCAATTTTTTTAATATCATAACGCAGAAGCGAATTGAAAAAATTGACACGACTTTCAACAGTTTGGAACACAGGCAAAAAGAATGTCAAAAAAAAATTACCTGTAGTAAAAATATCCGAATTTGCTTCATCTTATCTTGCATATATAATTCTTCTGAGCTCATTCTGTAACAGAAAACATTATTGATGCATAAACAAGCTTTTTTAAAGAAGATATTCTTTTTACAAGTTCGGAAAAAGTTCTACACCCTATCACTTGATGATGATAAAAATATATAGTCGCATGAAAGTGTGTGTTTGAGCGGGAAGACTAGGAAGCCCAGACCACGTGCACTTCTACCGTATTCAAGCCTGACTGGTCCGCTCAGAAGAGTTAAGGTCTGGGCAGGATTTTAGGGTCAATTTTTTCAGCTAAGAATGAATCTAATAAATTCCCGCTTGAGCAGAGACTTGGTCTTTCGACTAATACTGACATCTGGTCTTTCGACTAGTACTGACATCTCCTCACCTGACATTATTAGCATTATGTCTATGGTGGGCGTGAGCAATGGGTCTCTGCGGCTCAGCAGCAGTTGTGGGTTTGGATGGCGCAGGTGTGGGAGCTGGCGCTGGCGCAGGCGCTGGTGCAGGTTTCTCTTCTTCAAACAATCTATTTGCCTGAAAACGGAATGGATTAGTCGCTGTAAATTCTACTACATGACGAGGCACAGAAGCACTATTAGTTAAGCGGGCGCAAACGTGAGGCGCGCCGTTGTATATCTTGCGCCTCATGCGCTCTACGGCTAATAGAGCCGCGTTCGCGCCCAAAGATATTACGCCTTCGTCATGCAGCAGCCTATAGACTTGATTTACAGTAATCTAGACGAATACCTCTTCCATGATTCCTGCACCATATGTGCGGACTTTTTTCATCACAGCATCACTGTACACGCAGCCGATCATATTGACATTGATGAAGAGTTGTGAAAGACATAGTAACCTGTCTCTGTAAAATAATTAGATGTATGGAACGCACACGAATATGACATCTTTGTTCCGTAGGTGAATTATTAGGTTGGCTATTAAATAAGTTCGGTTGCTTCTGCGGCTTTTACAAATGCTGTAAACACTTTTTGTCCAGTCTATGGTATCTCTAGAAAGAGCACTTCAGTGGGAACTGAAGTATAAATTTTAATTGAGTAGAACTTATCTTCAAAGAAAAAATCCGCAAAGAAGTGAGAAACCCCAGGTTTCTCAAAGTACGCAAATACGAGGAAAACTGGTTTTTTTTATAAAAGATCTTCAAAGTGGCAGATCATTTTTATTGTTATTCACTGAATAGAGAAAACTCCAATATCGAACTGCTGTCCTCTATATCCATTACAGCATGAAAACGAAGCTTAAGAAGTCAATTAAGCTTTTGGGAATTTGATTATGTTGAGGCACAACTGTCTTTACTACTAATAGAAAATCCTAAATTCTTCGTAGGTGATAGAGCAAGCTTTGAACTACTTTCGCACAAAAAATCATGGATAGAGAACAACAAGAAAAAGTTTTTATGAATATTTGCGTGCCAAAACAAACTTATTTTTTTGCCAACATAATAATATTGATATTTTCAATAACTGCTGGATTACATTTTAAAACGCAAATATCCCTTCTCCCCCTCTCCACGTAGAGCTTATTTGTTGACAAATCAATCAAGGTGAACATCGTATGGCTGACACAAGCAAACAATCATCTTGCTCTTGCTGATGCCTTTCAAATTTTTTTAAGGCCCATAATTGTAAATCAAAAAAAAGAAGCGAGGTCCGAGGAAACTGCAAAGCGATTTGGCTTTTTGAAAAATTTTCAAAATTACCTCAACCTCTCACAAGTAGAAACAAATCATTTGCTTTGGCTTTTTGAAAAATTTTCAATTACCTCAACCTCTCACAAGTAGAAACAAATCATTTGCACGACTTTTTCCATTATGTAGGTGATTCTTAAGAATTGTACGACCCATTCTCGCAAGAAAGGACAGGGGAGAAGCGGGGGCATCCACGGCAGAAAGAAAATCAGTGAATGTTCTGCTGCTTTACAATGATCCTCCTTGGAAATTTTATCTGATGATTCCTCTTCGCAGACTTTTGTTACCATTGCGCTGCCTAAAATCTGCGTGTGTCTAATACTTGTTCAGCCTCAACTTTCTAAAGGATATCACTAAATGCATCTGGGTGTGCTTTGACACTGTACTTCGGAGCACGCAAGTTAGAAAGAGATAGATTGTATTGAATTATATGGCCTTGAATGTCAATTGCACGAAGGTACCCTTTAATTCAACTGGATAGGCGGCTGGAAGATGGGGCTCATGACCTAATTAAGGTTAGAGAATGATCAGAGAGCACGAGTGCGAGAAAGACGCCGACTGCATTGCGGACGCGAGCGGCCTTCATTAGGTCACAAAGCCCCGCCTTCCATTCGCCAGTCCAGTTGAATCAAGGTTAAGCATGGTGCGAATCACATAAGGTTCCGCCTTCATCCGAGTAGTCTTTATTATGAATGAGCTACCAAACGTGTAACAGTAATTTAACCTTCTCCATTGGAACGCATGTATTACGTACTACAGCGCAGAAAGCTGATCCGAAGCTCAATGAGGGCAAAGTTAATCCACAAATCTATTCGGTCAGAATTTCATAACCGCTACGATAAGAAAAGAAATTGGTCTCTGCGCTTAGCGGCAATGCAAAGATCATATAAAAATCGAGTGAATGACTCATAGACTCACTGAAAGTTGTCCGTGCCAGCGTCGTGCTTGCGTCGTGCCGGATTCTACCTACGTAGATGCGCCCCGTACTCGATACGCATTCAGCGATCTCCACACAACACTATAACGGCACTGGCATGACGCCGGCACACAAGCAAGTGCAAAAAGCTCTTCGAGATGAGATCCACCACGAGATTTCACACCTAATGCCTGCACTAAAGATTTTCCTTGAACTGGATGGGCTGCAAAACTTCTACGTTTCCAGAAACAATTTAGTTTTCAGCCACGACATTCTATGACATCGGCTTTTCTCCAGAGTCTTCAAGTTATGCAAATGCATGCGACTGCACAAAGTATGCAAAACCTCACACACAGACGTCATTTTTCATTTCGAAATTGAAAACTGAAGCTATCAGGGGTACTGTACGATATTCGTTACGTTTAAAATTTACTCCTTTTGATTTGTATACATCGATGGAAGAACCACTGCATTTAAGATATAAATGAAAGTGCATTGCAAAGGTCAAACAGCACAAGAAAGTTACGATGCATGCCCAACTAGTGCAGTTACACATCTCACCCACGTCGAACGAGAGCAGCGAGCTCGGCTTAAAAAACTAAAGCATATGACAACTAACCTCGGCATTTCATTCCAGTACTTACGTAGGAAGGTTCGTCGTATCAACCAAACACGATCGCATTCATAGTGTTTGCGCTCTTTGTCAACTTCTTCCTCTATAGACATCGCCTAAACCATTAATAACATAATAATTCGCACACTTTTCTGCAGCATTCTCCTTTTGGCTATTCATAAGAAATCTTCCAAGATATTTTGCTGTTTACTCCATCTATCCAAAATGTTGTAGATAAACTGCAGGTTTAACCACTTTCTTTGGTTCGTTTTTGCTGCTCTTAAACAAATGATAGAATATTTATTGCTGAACATGAATATTCACCATAGCTCATACTTTTGAAATTATTAGGCAGCTCATATCTAGAGATACGTAGACTGCGGTAAGTGAAACGAAACAAAACCGTAAAACAAAACAAGGGTAATATCTTTCACATTATGCCACGATAAGCACAACTATCTAGAGATCCTCAGCTGCAAGGCAGATAACAGCACATATAAATGACACCAACAATACGGAAATTAGCGCCCATATTCCATATCGAGCAAATAAGAAGATAACGAAAATGCTGACCAGAACGCCGTAGTTGGCCAGGACCTGCAAAAAAGGAGAGTCGTTGATTTTCGATGACAGAGTTATCCTGAAAATACCCGAATTCGAAGAACAGGAGGTGTGACTTTGAGAGTTTTGGAGAAAACCGGCGATGAGATCGGACTTGTTGGATTCGGACATGGAGGATCCATCACTGTACGAGCTACCGCACCAAGGACTAAATTACATCAAAATTAATAAGAAAAATCAAAAGAATTTTTTGCAACTCACTAGTATTTTTATTGTATTCTCCAGCTATCGTTCTCACAACTGCAGTTCGATTCAAGTACTCATTAATTTTTGCTAATAACATCACAAGCGGTGGAAATTCGTATGGCCTTGGCATAGCTTTCCAATGAGGTATATACTGCGAACATGCAGAAAAATCAAACCGCCTAAAATATCATAAGAGAAGCCTGAGCTCTTTACACATTTTTCGTTGAAAAAAGCAACAATTAGTGGTCAAATTCATAAGCCTTACCTCTCGCCGCTCCACACTTGACGTTTGCCAAGCTCCGTAAGGTACATCAGACCTGTGACAGGATCTTTCACATGGTCTGGAGCCTGGTGTTTTGGTGGCCTTTTGGGAGTCTCTGGCAGTATTGGAGTGTGAGTAATGGAGGAAGAGGAACTGCAAAATGATCATTTAGGACATATGCAAAAACATGATGTCCTAGTCATTAAACCAAATTGATGATTTTTTCAAATGAATATCTTTGAGAGAGGTAATTCGGAGAAATGAAGAAAACATTCATACCTTCCGTGAATTGAATCTGTCCCTGCATTAGTTTCTGCAACAAAATGCGTTCCCATATTAGCATCTGCGTCGATCAGCAAACTTTCTACGCTTGCGATAACATCACACTTCTCACGGATTGCAGGTGGCTCCGGGGCTCCAAACAGCATATCCCAGAGAGACTTCCTTCGCTGAAATTATAGACCTGTCACTGCATATCATGCTTATTACTTCTCAATACGAAAAGCCTCACGTTTTGCCGTGCATCGGCTACCAAGTCCTTTTCAGCTCTCAAATTTGAGGCCACAGTTTCCAGAAGCTGTCTCGTATGTGGACGAGGATTTACTCCTATCTCTCTACAATATAAAACGATCAAAGAGAAAAAACTATCATGTTCGCGCTGTGAACCACCTAACCTTAATAAAGTTACCATAGGCTCCTTCCAAGAACACTCAACAGCAAGTCTTATCACCTTTGCGGTGTCGGCATTCAAATCGTACATCTCAACACTGCAAAAATACCGTTTAATTTGAACAATTTTTGATGAGATTTCATAAATCGGAATAAAATGCACAGCTGACCGTCTTAGGATCTTCCCGAGTAGAATGCGGTAGAATTTTTCATGAACACGAACAAAAGGCATCCATGAAGCTCTCGTATTCATTATCTCTGAGCTAGGTACTGACGAATCCACATACCGCCACGGTCGGCAGAAGGTTGTCCAGCATTCTATAGATAATAATAAGATGATATAATTACCAAAATGGAAAATTCGATCCAAACTACGTTACAAAGATGGCTCGCACAGGTCACTAAAGCACTAAACACTTCTTACTTCATCGAAAGTTCTAATTAGACAAACGAACTTCGAAGCTTTGCGAAAGACGCTATAAGAATTAACTTACGAACAAGATCCTTGAAGATGTTCATTGTGGGACATTGCTCGAGAAAGGTATAAAGGAAAGTGTACAGATGTGAGGAAAACGGTGGACGACAGTGCAGTGAGTTCTGAACTGTGACAACTTTCTGGGCCACTAATGCATTTATCTTTACCTTGACAGCAAGCAGATCTTGGTCGGCAATATCATATAAGCAAAACACATGAAACTGCTTTAGCAGGTATCTAGAAGGTAAGAGGTTATGAGGTAAAGGTTCCATGACTAACAGTACCTCAAGATCATAAGTCTGTTTGCAGACGGGAAATCATTCGTTGTACAAAGCACGGTGACGAAGTTGCAAAATATGGTCAAATGTCGAGGATGAAGAGATGAGGAGAAGAACTCTGGCGACTCTAAAAATACCAACGACATTGACCGTTCATACATGCACATTCGGTAAGAAACTGACCTAGTCTCATGGAGTTCAGTAGAGGAGAAGTAGGTAAGAAAAGATCGAGCGGTGTATGCTTTCTGTTGCCCATTTCGCCGACAAGTGGAGCTCGACTGATGTTGGGAGCCATGGGTTCGGTGGGAAGAAGACGTGTCACATAGAACGACACGGTTTGCATCAAAATGCTATCGGCTGACAGGATTGTTGGCTGAAACAATGAGCATTTGAAGGCAAGAAACTGAAGATCATGATGAATACGGACCACCATGCTCGTATCGGCTTGCGCGCAAATTTCTTGCCACAGCTCATTAGATAGGCCATCATCAGCATCAAGGATTGTCTGAAATCACAAAAGGCAAAGTGGATCAAGCGGATCAAGCGGATCAAGTGATTCGCTTCGCTATTGGTCGATTCACTGATCTGACTAATAGAGTGGATTAAGCGGATCAAGTGAATGAAAAGGATCAAGTATGGCGCGTGCCTAAAAGCTGCTGCATAGGCAGGGCAAGTACAAATGAATCATGTATGCCTATAAAAAGTAAGAATCAGATGAAGATAGAGCAAAAATAGAATTTCACATTACAGCCTGTGTCAACTGCGTATTCTCCCATCCACACCAACGCCGGAGCTTCGCGGCATGTCAAGCCCGTATGGCCTAGATGTCAATGTGGTGCCTTCGCGTTGCGAGCGCGTACTTCCCAAGCAAATGGAGAACGTAATTGACACAGACTATAGATAATCAAGTTTATAAAGACATCGAACAAAATCAATCACAAAATGGGGCGCCACCATTCCCACCGAAATTTACAGCAAAAAATAAGAGAACAATTGTGCGAAAATATTGCAACATGAAAAACGGGCTAGCCACATGTATTAGTGAAACAAGCAGGAGTCACCTCGAAAAATGATGATTTGCTGTTGATAATTTCGTGTATAAGATGAAAAGGGTGTTGAGCCATTTGCGCATCATTCGGTGGTGGCATTATCGAACATAAGTCAACAGTCCTATTTCGGAAAAGTTTCTGAAAAAGATTGAGCAGGTTTTTTCCCAGTTATGTTTTAGATAAGCATCTATAACCTCAATCACTAGTCTTGCGTATGTGGAACTTCGCCTTGAGGGACTCATTTCCCTTTCCTTATTGAGAAGCTCCCTACACACAGTGACCACAGGATCCTCGTATGTATTATTATTGACATAATTTTGTTCGTTGTTACGTCCGCTGGCGAAACTCGCCAGTCCCGCTATGCTCTTCATCTGTGACATGTACTCTCCCTTTAGATTCAAGGAGCTAAACGAGAAAATGTTCAAGATAGGTTCGGTCTTGCTGAACCAAGTTTTGCTTGCATGGCACACTTCTAACCCTTTATCCATAAAGATATCTACTAGAACATGCTAGAACAACAACACTATAGCAACAATCACATCACAAGAAAAAAAAAACAACTGCGAAAAAAGAGCTAGATTCACACACTTGTAACCATATCAACAAAGGTACAGATAATTAGATAAAGTATATATAATGATAAACACAAGCCCCACTGAGGGATAAGCCACTGTTGAAAAATCATCTTCGGTAAACAATTTTTTCTCGGCGCTCGCGCTTCCTAAGCTTTTTGTCGTCAAGCTCTTCACCATTCTCGGGAGCGGGAGCAGTTATCCAAGGAAGAAGGATGTTAAAGAAAATCTGAAAAACAAAAGTTGAGAAAAGAGCTTTGCTGTGCATTATCGACGGTAATAGTCAACGAGTACTTAAGTAAGTTATAGGGTTTGTCAAGTGTTCTTCGCGCCCTCATTCCTTAAGAAGATTTGATAAACATTTACCTTTCAATCATCTGTGCCAATTACTTATGGCAGATCTATACAAGATAATGAAAAACCTTCTACATCAGATAATTTGTTGTTTTGTGAAACAAACAAGGGCAACAATTACGCAAAAGCAAATGATGGCATTCTCGATAAAAGCCTATAACCTCGTTAATGCTTGTCTCAGGTACTTCTACCTCAGATAACTGTGATTACTGCAGTGAGTTATAACAACTTCAGACGGCAAATCAAAAGGAAAAAATGTACAATACTGAAAATAAACTAAGATGTAGCGGTCTCACCTTGTAAGCTGCAGCAGCAGGAATAATGAGAAGGATTAAGTAGGCGTAAGTTGTGTATAGAGCCGCAACCTGAGATAGAGAAAATAATCAAGACAGCAAACAGAGACACAATAACTGACATACCTGAGCAATAGACGTAAGTATGATGATATCTTTGCAATATTCACCAAAGGCATCTGGATCATTCAAATCCATACCAGCGTCAACTACACGTCCTCGCTCATCGAATTTTGCTCCTACAAGGGAAAAAAGCTTTTCACGGAAAAAGAAAAAACGGCACCACATGAAAAAACTTACCTGCCATGCTTTTCATAATAGCTAGAGTAACTAAGTCGATGATCACAGAGATGCCGAAGAAACTGTAGGTGTTCGATGTACAATTCAAGAAGACAAAACAAGCAGCTAAGTGAACCACCTGCAAATTCATATTAGAAATGCTTAGCTCATTTCAACTGCACTTACCGCAACAGCTAAACACGTTGCTGCAAATGTTATTATTGTACTTCGATTTTCTTCATAGATTTCCTTTTGACCCTTGGTGGCTTGTTTAACCATGCTGAAAAAGAGATTCAGAAAATCCTTCACCAATAGACAAACTTCCGTAACGACAGGAAAGGCACATACCCGAATCAGATACTCAGAGACGGACAGTAATGTTTTATCAATCATTCAATAATCATATCTAAACCGGCACAAAAGTGATGGAAGCCAACGATAGTTGGGATTCACCATACACGAAATCAGGAAACCGCTGTTATAACAATTGGAACAAAAATGGGGAAAAGCATGAAAAGCGAGCGAAACTAAAATGGAGGGGAGGTACAAATTACAAAACTCAGACATTGGAGATAAGCAGTGAAGAGCAAACAATGTAAGGAGAAAGGCGGCTGTTCATCCGGATGGCTAATTCAGTGGAGTGAATAAGCCTATTCAATTGTTGTGCAGATCAAGGCGGAAGATCTCGTTGGCGATGAAAAATGACCCGGTAGTGTTTGGTCGGAGAATGAAGATTTGAGAAAATGGATTGATTGGATCATCATCTGTCTGAAATTTTAAGTGATAACTGGAAAGACAAAAAAAACAATTGGAAACAAAAGATATGACAAAGTAAATATTGACGTAACGTACCTTGAGTTGGCCAAGCACCATCACTAAGATTGATCCATCATAAAGCGGCTGTGAGTCGCATTTTGTTATAGCTCGCTGGATCTGCTTGAATGTCAGACTCTAAAAACTAGTAAAATGAGCAACATAGAAAATGCTTGAAAATGCCAAAAGCTGAAGACCCCTAACTTGGGGTGGCGTTGCTCTTGGGACTGAGGTCTAAATTGCGTTCCTTGCAGCTCACTTGATCAAAAATTCTAGTAGCTGTCTTGTATAAAATGAGAAGGATGAAGATGGTAACAAGAAAAACACTTTCTGTAACAGACAACTACCATAAACCATTTTTACAGATGGCTTGCGTCTGGAAATACTCCATGACGTCGAACAAAGTAATTAGATGGAATTCAAATTTGGACTGTGGAAAATCTGTGTTATGTGTGAAGGCTGAAATTGTGTTGAAAAGGGAATAGAAGTAAAGCAAATATACATTGAAAAGACTACAAGACACTGGAATGAGCGATACACAAGTAACAAAAGTATACGATGTCGCAACACCAAAAAAAGAGCACTACCAGCAGAGCCACTCTTCCTATCAATGTAGAAGAAGTCTAAAGCCCAAATACACTGAGTCCACCGAGATCGTGCTCCTTGGTAAAATCGTCATGAAGTTCCGTTTTATGGTTTTTGGTTGAAGTTTATTTTCGAAAATGTCGAAGACATTCTCGGCAAACCTCGACTTCACATTTGTGCCATTCTCAAACCTAACTTATGGCTCTAAATTCACGATGAAAGCGTGCATCTTCCAAAAAAAAAAAAAATTCTCAAACATGCTTTTTGTAGTGGACAAGTGTTCGGCGCGAACTTTCTCAAAAGCGAGCAAAAGTACAAATGCATTGGATGCGTATCGATTTTGTTTGCTATGCGAAAACGCGTCTACGGGGTGTCTCTGAAAAAGAGGGTTCGAGTTACAAAAGTGGAAAAGTCCCTAAAAGTCTGAAAGTAGCGTAGTGACGGTGCCAATACCGTTAAAGAAAAGGTGAAATTAAGGCGGGATTGATTTCAATATTTCGTAAAACATGAATCATGCGTTGCCTACTTATTTAGATAACAAGTTTCTAGAAAAAATGCCTCTGAAGCAAGCATTGAACAATCAAAAGCTTCCTCAAACAAGGTAATATATTCAGTTTGAAGATAGCTCACCGAAAATTTCGCTAAGATTGAATCCCGTCCTTTGCATTGCACTCCTTCGAAGCTCATGTACGAATTCTCAGGGTCGTAAAGGTCGCCCAGGCCTTGCGCGCGAGCTATACCATCACCCTGGTCGAATTTCGAGTAGTAGTGCTGCACGAAAGCAGTTGCTATGCTCTCGTAATCCGGATTGAAATTCATCCGCTCACACTGAAAGAATAAACCGTTTGGAGAGGTTGATTGACTGATAAAAAAAAGCATCTACATCTGCTTGTCCTGTTGAAAAATGCCAGAAATCACAAGTTACTACAGTCCAAAAGCCACAAAAGTTTGCAGGGTAATTTGCTAGCAGAATTCGCTATGAAAACAATTTGTTAAAGCCGCTATTAAGAACTGCAAACAACAACCGAAACAACGAAAGTTCGAGCGCCGCGAAGCGCGCCACTGCAAACAATTCATATTACGACAACTCACACTACGATTTCGCAAGAAAGCTTCGGATTTGTGCTCTCGTGCATCGTCGTAGAGTTTGTGGAGTCTTCAGGCAAAAAACAAAATCGGTCGGTTCAGCTGGTTTCTCATCGCTTGTTTGAGTTTGTCTCGTCGTCCACTGATAGCGAAGTCGTACCCGCTCTACACTCCGCTATTTGCTTTGTTCGCGCCACCCTTTCACTTTCTCTCGAGAGATTGTCAAGAGAATTTTATTTTCTGAAATTATAGTCACGATGTATTGCGCTCAGTGGCTGATCCCAGTGTTGCTAATTCCGAAACACTGGCTACATCCGTTGTTTCTTGTTGAGCAGGCATTGTTCATGTGGTTTTACATCATTGCCTTTTTCTTAGAGCGCAGGTAAGTGGATGACTCATCTCTTTCACCGAACTCAAAACTCTTAAGAGGAAGTTCTTTCAGACCTTGTCACATATGCTCGGCCATATTCTTCATCGCTCTAGGTTTGCTCTGTTGGACCGATCCAGATACTTGTATTTTTTGGCCTACCTGTGATCGCAAACTGAATGGGGAGGTTGGCATCACCTCTGCTTATTTAAATATCATCAAATCCATCCTCATTCTTATCATCTCGTTCCCCGCCCTAGGACGTCATGCAGGAGGCAGCAAAGTCCTACCGCATTTGCTTCTGGAAGTGCCTGGGGAGCTTCAGATTCCTCGCGCCTCTAATCACTTTTCGCACCTCTGATTACTTTACAAGCTAGAGGATTGAACGAGAATCTTTTTGAAGAGCATCCCATCCTGGATCAATTTGAGAATCTTGCAATTTCTTTCAATCTCAGCTATAATTGTTTTCGGCCTATTCAAATATTGGATTCAGGGCATTTGCTCCAAAATTCGTAACAGAAGGAAGTATTCTGTCGCAGAATAAAGGACGAGTGCAATCAGTCTTCAAAGTCCTTGAATTCGATCGGAAAAAGATTGACATGTTTAAGATTTTGGTTTGAAGATTGAGTAGACCAATTCATACTTTCAAATCATTGGACGTTGAATGGCTATCTATGAGTAATTTTTGAATTTGTTATCTTATTTGCTATGAATTCAAAACATAAAAGCCATCTCAAAACTTGCCACGCTTTAAGAAATCAGCGATCAATTTGGCGTAGGTCATATCAAGTAATTAGAAGTGCGAAGAAGTAATTAGAGGCGCGAGGAAGTCGTTCCTTAGGCACTTCCATAAGCAGAAGCGGCGAGCCTTTGCTGCCTCCTGCCCGACCGCCCCCGCCCTAGAAGGGCGGAGCATTGCAGACCAATCAATTAATGATTTACCCCTACAACAGCGGAGTTGCAAGAAAAAAACCGCGTTGACAAGATCCTTTCCAAATTAATTATGGGAGTATAATAGTTGCCGCTAACGGAGACGGAGACAGTCTGCAGCTTGCGACGGTTACGGACGCCCTTTAGCTGCCTATCATATGCGGTTTCTCGCGACTCAGAGGCCTCAGGATCGCACCGCAGCCCAACTCATGCATTATCAAACCATAATTTGACTCGATGCATCTTTTGCTAAATCCTGCTCTGAATTATCACCACTCTCATTTTTTTCGGAAAACTCGTGTTCAACATATTTCGACATTCTTTCTGGTGGAATTTTTCTTTACTTGCAATGGCTTACTTTTCGATTACCGGGGGATTTAGCAGATTACTAAAGATCCATCATTTTTCCCCGATTGGGTTTGATCGAAATACTGGCTGATTCACGTGCGCAGGCGGCGATCAAATCACAGTGTGAAAGTGATCGTAGGCGAAGTGAGCGCGAGCGACGGCGATAACCGAATCAAATCAGTTCCACTATGTTGACTGACAAGTTTACTTTATTCTAAGCAAATCACTCCGAACATATTCTTGAGTAATGCCTTTTGAATGCCTTTATTTTGAATTTGATTTTAATTAGAACTCTCAATCTAACAATCAATAGGCCAAATAGTACAAGGAAAATATATGGTTTCTATCTGTGACTGGTGCATAAATCAAAAAACTGGTGTAGTCAATAATCGGGTGGATTAGCGATAATCTTCCAAGCTAGCAGGTAGTCATTCTAAAAAGTTGAAAATGAGATTTTCTGAACTCGCTTACATACCTATCTTATGACAAACTCATGTTCTTTCGGGGGAAAGTACTTCATGTTTACCAACGTCACTGTGAACTGCAATTCACAAAACGCAGTTATTTGCATTCCACTCATTCTTACTTCGACAAAAAATTGACCCCGCCTCTTGAACGCTGTTCCCACTGGAGGTGGTGCAGGAGGAACCAAAGCCTTGACCCCTGTATCCAAGAGGGAATGGGGAAGGCAGAGGAGGCTCCGCCCATCCCTCCGCCCACGGGATGCTCCCATTGTGTGTTGAGCAAGAATGGTGGGTGTACTACCAGATATCGGTCAAATTCGATGAGTTAAGAGGTTGAACTATGAATTGGAACATGGGAAATGGACAGTAAGGATTCTAAAACAGGTTTTAAGGTACCGGGATGATAATAGAAGTAGTATCATCATGTCATAAACCTAATAAATGTATAGAGTAACGGTCATCTTTGTAAGATTCATATAAAACACCTTTACCATTCAATTGTTGGTTAATTTTGCTCAAAACCGATGTGATAATGATACAGCGTAGAAGGTAGATTACCAAAAAATTGATTCAAAGCAGGAGAACATAAGCCGAAAATGAAGTTTTAAAGTGATTTTAAAAACAACTCTAACAAAAAGAACAACTACATCTTGGATACTCAAATCCAAAAAGGACGTAAAATGCAAACGTAAACATCGTTATGCCTGAGAGGAGGCTCCGTAAAGCTTCACAACTCAGATTTGAAGTGCGAACCAAACCTGGACAACCTTCATCCCGCTGGCAGTTGTCGAGCCATAAAATTGAAGAATTGGGACAATATATATCTTATATATAAAGCTGAATGTCTGTTTGTATGTATGTATGTATGTCTGTCTGTATGTATGTATGTGTGTACGTATGTTCCGAATAGAAAATTCCATTTCTGAACCGATCCGGACCAAACTTGGCACACATACACTTTGGGCCCCGGCGGGTGTCATAGGCTACTTTTCGTCATCGATCGATATCGATTTTATCGATTTTTATCGATTTTTTTGCTGAGTGCACCTACGGGGCTGGGAGTTGGCACAGGGGGGTAATCGAGCATGGGGATTCCGAAAACAATATTGGTTTTCAGGATTATCGATTACTTTTATCGATTTTATCGATTTTTTGCAAAGTTTGAGCTAGGGGGCTGGGAGTTGGCACAGGGGGGTAATCGAGCATGCTGATCATCCCCAAGGGGGTGATCAGCATGCTCGATTACCCCCTGTGTCAAATTCCAGCCCCCTAGCTCAAATTTTGCAAAATCGATAAAATCGATAGAAGTAATGGATAATTCCAAAAACTAATATTGTATTCGTAATCTGCATGCTCGATTACCCCCCTGTGCAAACTCCCAGCCCCGCAGGTCAAACTTTACAAAAAAAATCGGTAAAATCGATTAAAGTAATGGACGATCCTGAAAACTAATATTGTGTTCGTAATCAGCATGCTCGATTACCCCCCTGTGCAAAATCCCAGCCTCGCATGTCAAAATTTACAAAAAATCGATAAAATCAATAAAAGTAACCGATAATTCTGAAAACTAATATTGTATTCGGAATCCCCATGCTCACTTCCCCCCCTGTGCCAACTCCTAGCCCTGTAGGTGAACTCTGCGAAAAAATCGATAAAAATCGGTAAAATCGACATCGATCGATAACGAAAAGTGGACTGTGACACGCGCCGGGGCCCGAAGTGTATGTGTGCCAAGTTTGGTCCGGATACGGCGGAGCCGGGTAAGCCAGCTAGTTATAAATAGGGGAAAACCAATGAAAACTACTGTAACTGTTATAACAGACAAGTGTTGGTGACTTGCCTGCTTTTTGCAGCTTTTTGGCCAAGTCTGATTTTGCAACTCGAACATTTTTGGTTAATAGTTTAGCATCTATCTATTTTCGCAAGTTTCTTTGCAAAACACGACTTTTCAACGTTTTTCTAGCAAATTTTTCCCAATCTTTCCCTCCCACCTCCGAGTAAAACATTTGATGGAGTTAATAAAAAAGTTTTCACTTGAGTCATGACTCTCTTGGCTCATCAGACGACTGGCTTGATCCTGCAAAGGTCAACTAATCGGCTATCGATTAGCGCAAATGCAACTAACGCAGTGACTATCGTAAAATATTGAGAAAATTATCTCAGGATAAAATCAATGTTAGTAACTTTTTCGCAAAGCCATTCAGGTATTGGAGTAGAAATTAGAATGTTCGCCAAAGAGGGGTTCATAAAAAATTTGAAATCGAGCCGGGACTCTAATAAAAATTGTTCATCAATTTTCAATCTTCAAAAGAATGCTGAATTGCATTGATGTGAATTCATACAAAAGTCCATTTTAAAGACTCGTCTTTCAAAACTGGTCACAAATTTGGTTTTCCCTTCCTTGTATCTCCACCCCAGGTCTTTTGAACTAGCCTTTTCCATCAAGGAATTCCTGAGCAAAAAAGGCAAGACCCAGACTCAGAGCAGTGGGCGGAGCTTGGAAGGTTGCCAGATCCTTCTTGGCACGCAGCCAGCTCCTCCCCTTTCCTTCTTGGATAATACAGGGGTCAAGGGCTCTGGTTCCTCCTGCACCGCCGCCGTTCCCACTTAATGAATTAGAGTATCTCTAGGTGGTAGATAAATTCACTGCTATCAGAAGAACTTAAGTTTTTTTTTCAATTTCCTTCCAGGAGTTATATACACTAGTTTTCAGGTCTGCTCCTATGTTTACAAGAATGAGCTGGCCGGCCGGATATAAAATAACATCTAGTGCTTGTGTGCTTCAAAACATCATAGCAAGCCTTATGTGATACGGTTTTTTTACGGGCAATAATGACGGTAGCTTTTCTAGTTATTATTAGACGTTCGTTGTTTTTTTTTCTAGAGTTTTAATTCAGTTCCAAACTATAAATGTATGTGATTGACCATCCACTCATTGGTTCCTCTGTATCTACATATGTCTCTTTTGTCGTTCACTCATTGATCATTGCGTAGAAAGTTTATTGTTGCATATATTGCCCATAACTCTTCCCTTCCAAAGTCTTGTGTTCTTCAAAACACTTTCCTCAGTAATTGATGGATCTAATACTACCACATCTTCATTTATTATGCCATATTCATCGTCTAAGCACAGGATATTGTACTAGATCGCCGAATATATATTTACTATGAATTTTTTTAAATCTCAGTAACAATAAAAACAGACAACAGTCAGAGTAACAACAGAGGATTAGTGTGTTCTCAAGAGAAAAGAGATTTGAACAGCTCATTCCGTGACTCATGACTCCATTGTACCATTTCCGGCATAGCAGGGTGGAAGTTTACCAGTTTCGGTATTGGGAGATACCTAAGGCAAAAATTGATAAAAAAAACCTCATCAGAAATTTAGTTCACTTTCCACAAAAAAGGTCCTCATCTGAGATAATTCCATGTTGATGAATGTGTGGATATGACGTAATGATTCTCAATGAAAATACTCACTTGATTTTTCTATCCTTCGAAGCACGATGATCAACGTACTTCTTCTTCGAGCGTTTACTCTTTAACTTCTGCATTTCGATGTAATGCCTATAAATTCAACCGATCACACTTCGCAAACATTTCGTCCCATAATTGTTAACAAGCGACTTACCTGGTCATAGCGACCGGGTCTTGTGTGTTGCTTGTTTTCTTGTCTATCAGTTCTTTCAAAAGAACTTGGTAAAAATCGTCATCGTCATAAATCTCCTCATCTTCTTCCGCCTGAAAAGGATACATAAACGATCAACTTCTCCAAATAGATTTACCTCGAGGAATGTGATAAAGAAAATCGTGGACGATTATAATGGATCACAAAATAGCAAAGATCACCTCCACGTTGCCTCCAATACGCTCAACGTCAGATTTCTTCGTGCGCGACCTTTTCAGAACACGAGGCCTGTCCGAGCAGATCTGAACGCTTATTTGAAGTTCTACAATTGTGTTCAATACGTCTTCTAGCTCAGATTTTACAAGTCTTAAACTACCAATTTGTATACAAAAATTACAAACACACAAGTAGAAGGATATCAGCGATCATATGTGCACCACAGAGGTGCACCTCATATCGCTGATATGAGGTGTGTTGTATCAATGGCAAGAGACACAAATCCATGGAGATGAAAATGACGTACCTTCTCAATTTGTGCCACGATATTCTCCTTTTCAAAAGCGGAGAAATCACTGTTGGCATTCTTTGTACGACGAGATGAAATCAACTTGGTACGCTCGTCCCATTTGGCCAGAGTAGCGTTCCTGAAATTTGCACCTAGCCAATCACAAATCTTTTGAGCTTCTTCTTTCGACTATACAGAAGTTGATGTAATCGATATCAATGTCAAAGTTAGACGAGAGATAGTAGTACAGTGACACAATTGAACAGATCCAAAATATGCTACCACGAAAGAATCAACTGTGTTCAAAGCGGATACGTTATTACAAAAATAAAGCAACAGAAAAAAAAATTGTAAATGTGGTCTGAAGCCGAATTAGAATTATATATCATCATATTTCTAAAAATATTAGGTAGTAACGTGACCAAAAAGCCAACGATCAGCACAACCCAAAAAAGGAAAAAGACACACCTGAACTTTGTAAATTTCTCCTCGCTTTCGCAAAGCCGCTTGCTCAGCGACTTAATGTTGACCGGGTGAGCCTGAGCTGCGCTGACACTACCATTCTCTTCTTCTTCGTCGTCCTCGCTATATTTAAAACCAGTAAAATTTCAAAGAGATAAATTTCTTGTGGATATGTACAAACAAACCTAGCTTCAGCGACGCTATCGTCACTTTTTTCGTCCTCGCTGCTCTCAATCTCTTCATCATCAGAATCCGCTGCTCCTACGCAATAACGTGATGTATGGATATAGAAAGAAAGAACAGCTAAAGAAGAAAACTTACCTCCTCCTCCATTCATAGCCTGTGTGAAGGAAGACAAAGATAACAGAAGATTCTCGGCTTCTAGTAACCCAGATACCAATTTCAACGCATTCTTTTGAGCTGAAAAGTGCAGCACGAACAACAGCAAATAAAAAGATGAGGTTCAAATGAATGTGGAATATACCCTGCTTGAGGTTGTTCGCAGTTTCTTCATCCGCTTCCTTGAGAAGATCTTTGGCTAGCTGTCCACGTGGCAGCTGATTAAACGCAGTCAAAGCAGCATGCAGTTTTATCTTCACGTAGAGTAACTGCTCCCATATCTCAGATTGAGCACGAACAGATTCTCCTACAGAACAAAGACTTCAGATCAGCTGATGAGAGGTATGCTACTGTCAAACCTTTTCGCTTTTGCTTATCTTGATCAACTTTCTTCATTAGGTCTTGCATGGACACTGCCTTCGCATCGTCATCGGCTTGCTCTTCGTGCTGTTCCTCATCTTCAGCTTCACTTTCGCTTTCGATTTCTTCGCTTTCTCCGTCCACCTGTCCCATAAATGATGAATGAAGAAAATCTATATTTGAAAGAGAGATAAACATACAGAGGTGGTAGGAGTGGCTTCGTCTCCAGATTCATCTTCACCGCCCCGATCATCACTGCTTCCAACGCCATTTATTTCGTCTTCGCCTTAATAGAGTCTCTTTGAATATTAGCGGATTGCAATTCTGGTCAATCACCAGAATCACCCTCAACAGCAGCCTCATCTTCTGCATCAGTATGATCATCATCTCCGTTTTCTAAAGTAGGATGATCAGCAAGACCCGTCATACCAGAGAAATCATCAAAAATTTCATTCCGTGAAACCTGAAAGTGAATCAGTTGCGAAGCCCTGCTATAATTTGACAAAATACCTTCGTTCCACCATATTTCGAGCTGTCGTCAACATCTAAGGCTATCACTCTCCTCCTCAAATTTGACACGCCATTGTCATCCTCGAATTTGGTCTTCGAAACTGCTTTTGATGATGTGCCTATAAATTAATATACTCTGCCGAATTTTGAATTCTGTGTATGCTTACCATCAACATCTTCATCCTCCAAATCTGGAAGTTGAAAAACAGGCTGCGCCAGTTTTTCTATGTCTTTTAAAAAAGACATCTAAAAAGAGAAACTCATAAATAAGTGTTGTAGAGGCGTAGTCTCTGAGGTAGAAAGAATGAAGACAGAAAGAAAACTCAAGAAAATCAAGAACTTTTCGAGATTGATGAGATTGATCCTGACAACCTGCCATCATGTGATCTTTGCAAGCTCGCTGCTTACCGCGTACGCTATAAATTCGTCAGTGAATAAAAATTGCACAAGATTTGCGAGGCGTGGTTAAATCTTTCATGAGATGGTCAAAGCGTTTCTAGTAAGGTTTATAAGCAACATAGAAGGTATGCAAAGACCAATTCGATGATGAGCTGGTTCACTGATTGACCGGGAGTCATTTTCCTATATTGTTGACTTTGATATCTGTTGCATCTACTCGTCAGTATTCGTTTTACTGATCATTAGAGATCATTTCAGACTTGTAAATTATGGCACTTCGCGTTGACTATGAGGGGAGCAATGATGTAGGAGTATTTTGCACTTTAACAAACAGTTATTGCCTTGTCGGCATCGGCGGCACACAGAATTTCTACAGGTATGCATCTCTTCAAGCTTCGAAAAGTATATGTACTAAGTAATCCTGAACTTTCCAGCACAGTAGAGGCTGAATTGGCAGATGTTATCCCTGTTGTTCATTCATCAATTTCGTCTACTCGTATTGTTGGTCGGGTCACTGTGGGTAAGTGAACATCAGCAGGGGATTGTTCACAGTGCAGTATGTCCTTATTTAGGAAACCGTCATGGTTTGCTAGTGCCGAATGGTACCACCGACCAAGAGTTGCAGCATCTGAGGAACTCACTACCAGACGAGGTTTGGTTTGAAATCCTGCTCTTTGTGATGTATCCCGTTCTTAATCTGTATCCATTTAACTGTCCTCTCAGCCTCATAATTTTGAAGTTGATATAGGCCTGCATCTCAAAACCCGAATGTCAAGTTATGACAATTTAGTTCTAGGGGTAAAAAATACAATATTCCTCAATGAAATACGGGATGTGTCCAGAACTGCCAGTGCCAGCGCCATTCCAACACCGTGCCAAAACGCTGATCGACCAGTACAGTGGACCCGTGTAAATCTGGCACGGCGCTGGACTTCCGGACACTGCCATAGTGTGTATCGCCATCGTCTAACTGCTCTCGCAAGGCAGTTTTGGGTGGGGTGTAGATAAAGTACATCTACTGAATTGCCTTTTAGGAGGATTGCATTTGTGCGGTTTGTATTTTTGTAGGCATCAAGGTCTCTTGTCTATTTTTTGGCCTTTTCTTTTGTGCTCCTCGTTATTTGGACTAGGGAATAACTTCCAAGCCAAGAGGCTTTTAAACTAGTGTAGTTCAGTATGTAGCCCGAAATTGATCCTGACAATTTATTTTTTAGGTAAGGGTGCGACGGGTTGATGAACGGCTTTCTGCCCTTGGAAATGTCATTGCATGCAATGATCACGTAGCAATAGTGCACGCAGAAATTAGTCAAGAAACAGAGGAGGCTCTTGTCGATACGCTCAAGGTCGAAGTCTTTCGTGTTAGTCTTGGACAAAATGCTCTCGTGAGTTCTCAATTACATACATTTTAATATGTCGCCACTGTAATGTGAATCTTGCATGCATTCAAGTTTGTAAGTGAATATCTGTTGAAAATCCTTCCACGTTATCTTCTAACCGTTATCGTCTAACCAGCTTTTTGGTTACTGTAAAAATGCTCATAATCCGGCTTACTCCGGTCAAAATTCGATATCATGTTTCGGTCTAGCATCCGTCATCATCACTTCTTCTAATATCCATACACCTCTCATGTTTTTCTTTGTATGTTTTTTGCAGCTATTTTCCGATTTTATGCTGTTGTGAAATTAACTTCTCCTTCCTCTGTGCCGATTGTAAGTGTTCTTTGATGCCCACAGTATGTTTGCATTAGTCACGTTGGACGCTTGCTCTTAATTTTATCGGCAACCTTAATAGCACCCATTGACTAGAAACCAAGACTTTTTTGAACCACTTTTTTCTAGGTGGGATCATACTCCGCTCTTTCTTCGCAAGGGTGCTTGGTAGCGGCACGCACTCCCCCAGAAACTCAACGAGAGCTAGCTGCCTTGTTGCAAGTGCCAGTCGTTGCTGGTACAGTGAATCGCGGCTCCGAGTTGATTGGAGCTGGAATGTGTGTGAATGATTGGGTCGCTTTTTGCGGTGAGTTGTAAAGTTTATGAACGTTCGAAAAAAAACTACTAGACTCGGGCCTGTCTCGGTTTTTTGTTCACGATTGAGTGGTTTTTTCTTGCTTTACTTCTGCCGCACGTTGCCGATTGATTTTGGGTCCATTGTGCTATTTTTGTTGATGAAATTGTAGTTTAATCCAAAATATTAGGTTGGCCCGAAAGCTCTTCGCACCATTTTCTAAAATTCATAACTTCTGATTTTTCCAACCGATTTGACTGCTTTATTTTTGTATGAAAGAGTAAGTCATGCTCTTTATAAAGACGTCTTAGCTGCTTACTAGGGATCATCTATTGCATAGATAGGAGCGATAGAAGAAAATTAGTGAAAATTCGAATTTTCTGTGTAGGGTCATAAATAATCGGAAACTTGCAACAATCGGAGCAATCGGTATTGTAGGTTCCACCAGCTCTCTCTAACAGTGCAAAGCTTGCGCTGATTGAGCGCCTCTGCGCTGATTGAGCGTGTCTATGAAAAGTTACGATTTTCCTGAAAAATGCCAAAATAAATCAAATTCGCCCTTTTGTATTGCTTGCTGGAAAATCATAACTTTTCACAGAGACGCCCAATCAGCGCAAACTTTGCGCAGTTAGAAAGAGCAGGTAACAGAAACTATGATACTGACTGCCAATTTTTGTTGCAAGTCTCAGAATTTTCATGACCCTACACAAAAATTCGGATTTTGACTAATTTTCTTCTATCGCTCCTATTCATGCAACAGATGATCATTAGTAAGCAGCTAAGATGTCGTTATAAAGAGCATGACTTGCTCTTTCATACAAAAATAAAAGCAGTCAAATCGGTTGGAAAAATGAGAAGTTATGAATTTTTGAAAATGGTGCGGAGAAACTTTCGGGCCAACCTATTATTTTCATTTTTGTTCAAAATTTATCTACACAGTTTTACTGACACTTAGAAGGGCTGATTTTTGGTAGTTCCTCATTCTTCATTTTGATTCAAATTTTTAGGTCTGGACACCACATCCACGGAATTATCAGTTGTTGAGTCAATTTTCAAGCTTGGCGATCACGGTCAGCCAGCTGCAATCAGTACACAACTCAGAGATACTCTTATTGAAAGTCTGTTGTAAATTTGTTGTTGTATTGTGTTATTGTTTGCTGTTTTCTTTGTTACATTGTCGTGATGAGAGATCTTGTTTAATACTATCAATAAATGGAGCTACGACCTTTTGTAAATATATGATTTTCGCGTAGTTTCGGACTTAGTTTACCAAATTTGAAAAGAGTTGTAGATCAGATGCTCAACTTTATCCAAAAACGTATCAGAAGAAAAATGACATCTAATTTGAGCTATGTTACTCTTTGCGTCACTTGAAACCCTTATCTCCGTTGTTAGCATTTTTGTATGTTGAACGATCGATAAGAATTGCCCTCGATCGACTACGCTGTAGTTTTGTCTCTGCTGATGCGGAACATATTGGGTTGACGCGTCTTCAGCACCTCAACTACTATTTTTTTCCATCTGACTTCTGAAAATGTCTCAACTCCAAGAGAATCTCGACAATGTGAACAAAGTGCTTAGCAGCTATAGTGGACGCGATAAATTTGTTCGAACTCTTTCATTTCTACTATCGTTAAAAGCCCAATCGTCACCGAAGAAGGAGGCTCTGCTAGCCCTCGCTAAGCAATGCTCTGCAGCTCGAATGGTATTACGACAGTTCAATCATCCTTCTATGATCAAAGCTTGCCAGCAACTTCTGAATACTACACCTTCTGATCCCGTCGATTATGCTTGTACTGCCACCGTCACAGGCGTCTATACTGTCTATGGCTTCGTCGAACTATTCGCCTGGTTGTCAGATGCGAGAATTGTCGCCCTAGACACCGCTAGATTATTCCGATGGTGTCTCTACCTTTGGATCACCGCGTTGGTCGCTGGAATAATTCGCCAAATACGACTAATATCGAAGAAAGGTTTGGAAAAGGCCAACGAGGACATTATTACACTTGTGGGTCTTGCCAGCGACTTCATGGTCGGTGTGAACTCGCTTCCACAAAAAATTCTTTGGTCTGGAAAACTTTCACCCACGCAAAGTGCTACATTCTCTTTGATTGCATCTCTGATAGGTCTTTATAAGATGTTCTGAGAATTTATTGCATATGATATTCTTTCATTTGTCATTTCTCTCCGTCCAGATATGTACAAAGATAATCTTAGACTTTTATATCTTTTCCCGGTGGTCTTTGACAAAAAATACTGTTACAGCTATGGTCTGAACAAATTTGCAATCAGAGTTCATCAACCTGCCCTATAGGTGAGCCTTCCGTATTTGGTCGTAAATTTTGTACTTTTTTCTCATGATATGCTTACTTCGCTTTTCACTTTTTTATTTTATTGTGCCCAAGCAACATTCCATAGTAAGTGTTCTCTGTGTGAATGGTTGCTTTTCTTTCCTTGCTTTATCAGATGTCTCTGACTGATAGATATCAGTTGATCATATCGTTCAGATCTGCCATTACACCTTGATCGCTGTCTGTAGCGCAGACGTTTGGCAGAACTGCAACGCTTTGTCTTATTTTTTTTGCAGTTTGCATTGCCCTTGCCTTTGAGTTATTCTTGTTTGTTTTGTTTTTTCCACTGAATAAATCTCTGATTCCCCTTTAGTTGATGAGCAAGTTTATCGAAGTGTGTGGGTGGCTGCATTACATCAGTGTCGCGAACTACGTGCCGTTCTTAAAGGTAGCAATGACTTTCCATAGGGAACACGCCTGGCTATGCTTTCATATATAATGCGAAGAATGCAGTCATTGCCACGTGTCATTGAAATCTACGTCTTTGTCCCGCCGCCTAGTATCGGACAGCGCTCTCTAGTTTGTGGTATGACTTTTGTCTTTTATAGAATTCGTAGTTCTTATTGCACTTTCTGATATTTATTTGACAGTTCATACGATTTTAGAAGTGCTAGATCTATATAATCTCAGCTGTTTAAAAATAACCATACGCATTTTTGACGATTCACTTCTTGAGACAATAATTACTGAATGAGTTCAAAATTATTTATCTCAATAAGTTACACTTTCGAAAGACATCTTTGCAGTTTTGCGTTCAACGGGATTCTTTTTTTTTAAATAAAATACCCAAAATCTTATAGAAAACGCCGCTTTTTTGACCCAGATAAGTCCGCCCACAGATCCCCTTTCGCTTAAAAGACAAGTCCTTTCTTTCCATCATAAGTACCCTAAATCCTGGCAGGCAAGTCCAAAGACTGCCATATGATAACTAAGGCGAGGCCCTATCCATGAGACATTAAAGTAATCCGTTTTTTACATGTACTTGGCCTGGCTTTGCGCGAATAAAATGTTGGATTTCTTCGTTTTGATTAGTTAGTTTTTCGATAATTATATTGGCAATATACTCACACAAAATATGTCTTTCTCGCGAAAGAGTCAACATCTTGAAATGTTGAATCTTACGAAGAATCTGCGGGAAATGAAAAATTTTCTTGGGAACCGTAAGTTCTCAAACTGTACCCATAGCATAATTAGTTTGCATATCTGCATTATGCTTACATTTGTCACAGCAATATTGAGTAGACAACCTCATTTGCTTCATCTATGTATGCAGGGTTAGAGCTTTTTTCTGAACTATTTCCTTTATTATTTGGCCCCTTTCTATATGCGATGCAATTTAAGTATTTTCGAACCATCTGAGTTCTAGTCTTATTCTGATATTATCTTCTTCCAGAGAAGATACGTGCACAAAAGAATATGATGAGTCTGAGAACAACCGGTTAGAGGACATACCTTGCGAAAAATGAGATCGTTTTTTATTGTCACAAAACCGGTTTATTACAGATCATAAGCCCGCTTTTTACTCGCATTTATGTAGTAGATGGGGAAAGGAAGTCGAAAGTGAAGTTAATAAGCACCCGCCCTACTTGACCCGCTTGATCCGCTTCGTCATTGGTCGATTCAGTGAACTGAGCAATAGCGAAGCGGTTGTCCGCTTGATCGGCTTGATCCACTTCATCCACTTCACTATTGGTCAGTTCACTGAATTGACCAATGATGAAACGAATCAAGCGGATTAAATGGATCAAGTATGGCGGGTGCCATAGGCTGCTGATTGATTTATAGCATATGAATTTGATTAGTAGAGTGTATGGTGGTTCCATGCGGTGGTTCCACTAGAAACTTCGCATCTGACTCGCCTTTCGATATGCTGATCGCATTTTTCTGTTCACTCTGTTCACTTATGAAGATTAGCGTACTTTACTCACTTAGAAAAAATGTCAACATCTTCTATAGTTGATGTGAGTTATTATTATTTTATCTATCTTCGTCAACGAAGGCTTCAAATACCACCCAGTAGAATCTGAAACGGAGTTTACTGTTCTGATAAGAAAAATATGTTTGTATCAAACGAAAATACCTGGTCGCCGTAAATTCTTCATTCGCATCGTTTACAAAGACTTAGATAACCGATTTAGGCAATGCGTATTCTCGTAACAGGCGCCGCCGGCTTCATTGGAAGTCACACAACGCTAGAATTAGTCGAGGCTGGTTATGAAGTGATGTGTATAGATAATTTCTCAAACTCAGTATCAGGTAAGTTATCTTTGGAATTGTTTCGTAAGATGATAACGAGATGAACAAGGTTTTTTTGCTCTCCATATGGCGTCCAAGCGAATTCTCGCCTACATACTCCGTACCCTTGCGTTCAACAAGATCGCCCCTCGGAGAGCTGATAAACGCGCCCCGCCCATTTTCTACTTTTTCCGCCCAAAGAAGCAGCTTATGTCACTTTCACGAAAATTGACTGGTTCAAGCATACAAGGGCTCAGTGATGAGGACTAATCGATATTTTGCCTGAACATTGTTTTAACCCTTAACCCGATTTCACGAAATGTTGCTCGTAATATGAAGGGTATGACTTGCAATTACGATTTACAGATGGTAAAGGGAATGCTGTTTCTTTGCTCCGAGTAGCTGAGCTGGTTGGTAAAACGATACCATTCCAAGAGTGTGATGTGTGTGACATAGAGAAACTGGATCAAGTTTTTGCCAAGGTGATTTACCTTATCCTTTGACCTTTCGGGTATCCATATATTTGATTTGATTTTGTAAAAGAAAGCTGTTCTTTATACTTGGTTTTGTCTGTGAGAGTACAAATGTTGACTCGAGAATCATCCTTTCATGATTTAATTTTTATGAATTCGTAGCATCATTCGTTTTATTTACAAAGAGTACATGTTATAGGGCAATTTTGATGGCTTGATACACCTTGCTGCCCTGAAAGCCGTTGGAGAGTCTGTTGAAAAGCCGTACGAATACTACTCCAACAATCTAACCGCTAGCCTCAACTTGATAAAGGTATGACGATTTCAGTACTTTTCGACAGTTTCGGATTCAGTTGCCGCATCATTACCATTATAGATGTGCCAAAAGTATAATGTCAAGAACTTTATTTTTTCTTCAAGTGCCACTGTGTACGGATCTCCTAAAGAATTGCCAATAACGGAGGATGCCCCTACAGGACAGGTATGGCTACAGTTTGTTAACCTGATTGATGACTTGTCAGTCCATATTCTTCAGGGCATTACTAACCCTTATGGTCAAACCAAATATATGATGGAACAAATATTAATCGATGTTGGGAAAGCACATCCCGTAAGTACCAATATTCTATCACTTCGATTGTGATCTCAATTTTTCTTTTAGGATTGGAACATCGTTTTATTGCGGTATTTCAACCCAGTTGGTGCACATCCTAGTGGAAGAATAGGTGAAGATCCACGAGGTATTCCCAATAATCTTATGCCTTTCGTTAGCCAGGTCAGTTTCATTTCTGTATCGCAGTATGTCCTTGTAATTGCGGTATTCTAATAGTTTTTTCAGGTCGCAATAGGCAGGCTACCAGTACTGAAGATTTTCGGTGACAAGTGGGATACCCCTGACGGTACAGGCGTTCGTGATTACATACACATAGTTGATCTTGCTCGCGGCCATGTCAAGGCTCTGGATAGGATACAGAAACTAGGTAAGTCATCTTCTTCGAGTTTTGTTCCGCAAAAAAATGTGAGATGATTTACTAGCTTTTTCGCCCATGAGGTGCGTTATTTTTTGATGCGCTAGATTCCCAACTGCATTCCGTTTTTCACACAAAAAATATCGCTTATCCCTTATTTCGTTATATTACTATTATCATTGAATAACTATATATTTTCTGGAACTCTGTGTAGTTTTTCAGAACAACAGTTTGATTGTTTTCAGGTCACATTGGAACGGAGATTTACAATCTTGGCACTGGTAGAGGGTACTCCGTTAAAGAAATGATTGCTGCACTAGAAAAAGCTAGTGGTCGTAGAGTTCCTACCGAGGTAAGCGTGTCTTGAATATTTATAGATCCAGTTTCAATTTATCTTGTTTGTTGAAATATTTGTGCTTCATTTCTTTTCAGTCTGCCAGTTCATAAGGCCATTCATGATACCGTCAATTTCAGATTGGCGTTCCACGCCCGGGAGATATCGCTTGCGTCTACTGCGACCCCGCGAAGGCTGCAAAAATGCTGGAGTGGAAGGCCGAATTTGGTCTGGATGAAATGAGCCGGGATCTATGGAACTGGCAAACCCAGAATCCGAATGGTTTTTCACAAGCGTAACTCACATAGAACATTTCCATACTAATTTTTTTGTTGAGCACATAGACTAGTTTTCAAGTGCAATTGCCATCATCGCATAGTATTAGCATCTTATATTGTGATAGGAACTTGCTTTATCGAGATGACTTTCATTCCAAGCTGTGTTGCCTCATAGAGTGCCAGGTTTTATCTTGCTTATATTTATTCTAATTATCCATGGCAATATGTTTGTAAATTTTGAAGATATAGAATAAAGTTCAGTTATGGGTTATTTGATGTTCATACAGTATCTTCTGATATATATGCCAAAAAATTGACTTTACATTTGTCATCAAAATCCACAAAGGAGTTCTACAAAGAAGGTTGCAATTTATCAATGAAACCATCATCTATTGATCTGATTTCTCTATAGTTCGACAGGACAACTCGGAATGCTTCAAACATGATGAGCTAAATACAGTAGCCGTAGCAAAACTAATAGGATGCAGTAGTACCAAAACAAAAATCCGTTTGGAAGGGGGTGTGGAGGCGTATGTGTTGCTCAAAGATATCTCAACATTTTTGATGCAAATGATTTTGGGTTGCTGCGTCATACCATATCCGATTATTATATTAGCACAGATTGCAGGGGTTTATAGTCTATGTCGCTAAATGTTGGCATCTTGGGACATGTGGACAGCGGAAAGACAACGTTGACAAGAGCTATGGCCGAAATGGCATCTACAGCTGCTTTCGATAAGCATGCGGATAGTGGTGGTAGGAGAAACACTCTTGATTTGGGGTGATTTTTTTACCATTTATTGCCGAGATGTGGAGGAGACAAATTGAGCGGAGGTCTTGTTGGGTACTGCGCTGAAATTCTCTCCTACAGGGCTTATCAACTGCAGTGTCGGGTTCATCAGCATCTCCGCTCCCGCGCGGGACTCCACCTCTTCCGCAAACATGCTCTCTAATTATTTGAAATCGAATAAGGCTCCGCCTCCCAGGTTCACGATGGGAAGGTGATCAGAGAGCATGTTTAGAAAGAGTCGCAGAGTTCAGGCGAGGCGGCCGCGGGGAGCAGAGAGCTTTTGTACCCGACACTGCATTTGATAAGCCCTGTATCTTTTGTTTTGTGCTGAAAAATCTCATATGATCAACGTCGTCTATGGTGTCTATTTTATAGGTTCTCCTCTCTCACCGTTTCTGGCCGTCGACTTGCTTTAATCGACTGCCCTGGCCATGCAGGACTCATCAAGGCGGTACTGGCCGCAAGCAGTGTTTTCGACATGGCAATCGTTGTGAGTCATTTTTTCCGCTTTTAACAGTCTTAACTACCTGCATTTATGTGCAGATAAGAAACTTTATTTAAGGTTGTCGATGCCTCTTCTGGAATTCAACCTCAAACAGCCGAACATCTCCTTTTATGTTCTATATTTTGCCCTAAACAAGTCATTTTAGTGTTGAACAAAATTGATTTGGTAAAGCAAAGTGAGGTCAGTTTTTTCACTGGAACGAGCTTTTAATTTTTATGATCTAACCAGCTAAGATTGCCAGCATTACAAAGAAGATCAGGAAAGCGCTCGCTAGCTTAGGAATCTCTGAAGATTCCCCGGTAGGTGTTAAATGCAGGAGTAATCTCAGGATGAATCTGTAAATTCTAGATAGTGCCAGTGTCCTTAATTGATTTGAAGGATGACACGCTTCGCCAACTTATGGAAGTTTTACAACAGAAAGTATTTGAACCGCAACGGGAGAATTCTGGGAGGTAACTGTTTTCTTAATTTTTTAAAAATGTTTGAGTGTGGTAAAAAATTGGTACGAAATTATTTTTGCCTTTGAATTTCCTACAGCTTTAGAATACTGGCTTTGCTAGGAGTCACTTATATGGTAATTACTTTAGACTCGTTATCGCCGTCGATCATTGCTTTCCTGTAACTGGTAAAGGTACTGTAATGACTGGTACAGTAATCGATGGATGCTTACGGTAGATCATTGTTCCTTCTTTGTTTATATATTACTTGTTGAAACAATTGTTATGATTTTTTACTCATAGTTTCCAGAGTGAACCAAGAGATTGAAATTCCGGTATTGAAAGAAAAGAGAAAAGTCAAAGGATTAGAGTCATGGAAGGAACCAGTCGAGCAGGTACGGAATATAACTTATAACTCTCGCTGGTATACGATAAAGACCCTCCAGACTTTACAAAATTTCTTGTTTGTTTGGGAGCGTAGTCAAGATTTTTTTTTTCAAAAATACCTTATGACTTTTTAAGGCGGTAAAGCTTACATTTTCTTGTCATCATAGTTCTATGAAGCTAATATAGGTGACGGCTGGAGAGAGAGCTGCAATTTTAGTGCAACAATTGAATGCTCAGTCAATTTCTCGCACTATGGGTGCGTTTTTTCTTTTTCGCGGAGTTTTCATTATACTGCTGTTTTGGTCATGCAATTATTTTCAGTTTGCTCACCTGGAGCTTTGACCGAGATGGATTCATGCATCGCCTCGGCGATAGCTATCCCATTTTATCGAGGGACAATGTCATCTGGAATGAAAGTTCACGTTTCCATCGGCTTTGAGATAGTCATGGCAGAATGCCAATTTCTGCGACCTGATGGCGACGAGTATGAACAGCTAAGCACATTGGATTCTCCATGTGTCTGTTGGCTGTCATTTGAAAAATCTGTACATACACGGCCTAACTCCTTCTATATTGCTTCAAAATTAGATCATCAAGGAAAAGGATGTCGTTTTCTATTTCATGGACAACTTGGAGAACAGCTCAAGGAGAAGAAACTGCGACGTTTCGTTCGAAAAGAGCGTGTAGGCAAAGCAGAAAGAGTAGAAAATCCACGAAGTATCGTGTGTAATTCGCTTTTCAAAAAGGAGACGAAGATGAGTATTTTCGAAGGAATGCCAGTAATACTGAGTACCGGAGAATGTGGACGGGTAGCTTCGGCTTTTGGTAAGGGAGGTAAAGCGCGGGTGGAATTCAGCACTCCTCTGGCAGATTCTACAATTGAAAAGATTACGACCGGTTTGGAGGTAGAGGTGCATTTGCATATGAAAAAATATGTTGGAGAGAAGGAAGTGAAGGGGTATCTACCTGGGTATTCATACGAAGAATACGAATCTCATAATTACTTACTTTTAGCAGAATAATTGTGATGTTGTTGTGATAAGCATTATATTAGGCTGGTTCATAAGTCTTGTGCCGAAATAATAGGGCAATCTGTTTTGAAAATTTTGGAAAAGTTTTTACGAATATTTTTTGTAAAATGCGACTGTTCTGTCATACTATGCATACCAGAGGTTTTTATAAGCATAAAAATGTTTTACAAATAATGTTGACAAGAATCTTGAAAGTCGTGACACATAATTGCACGAATTCTTAAGAATAAAGTGTAAAACCACAACTGAAGACAGATTTTTATTTTTTAGTATTTTTAGTACGATTTGATTGCTTCTGTTTACTATAAACAGTTTGGTATCTCCTTGATAGACCAGCGTGAATTCTTGCTTATTGCTAGATCACATCTCGGAAGTGAATAATTTTCTCTTTTTATGCTACAATACACAAACAATGTTGCTGAAAATTTAGAAAATTGCAATTTTTCGAAAATTGTTGCAGGAGTTATGGACCAAATATACACTAGAGTGAATCTGCACTTTTTTCAAAGCACATTGTATTTTGTTCAGTTTTTTTTTGTCATCATCCAATCTATCATCTTCATTCGGGTTCATCAACTTTGCCGTTTGTGTTCATGAAATTGTCATGTATAAGGAATTTTGCACATATAACATGAGCAATAAACAATTTCATAGTTTTTTTTTTCACGATGAAGTAAGGGTTTGACCATTGCGTTTGTAGTCGCCGTCGTGAGATCTAAATATTATCGTCATATTTCAGCCTATGTCTTTTGGCATTCTTATACCGTCAGCTCTGCCTAGATTAGGGAGTAATGTGATCTCACGAGCGTTTCGCGCTACTATCCCGACATTCGCCCAAGAGCTCGGAGATGATGGCCTACCCAAAGATTACAAGCTAAGAACATTAAAAGCTGGCAGCCGACGTTTGGATACATTTGTTAATAGAGCAAGTGGAAAGAGTAGCTCGTATGTTGTGCCCAACTTATCTGGCCAGAATAATAACTCGAAATACAGTATTTAGGCAGGTAGAAAAGCTCATTCTTGGCGGTCGAGTACGAGTCAATGAAGAAGTGCTAACAAAGAAAGCGTATAATGTTAGTTGCACTAATTCAGGTGTTTTAAAATTCATAGCTTTGGTATTTTAGATCCAGAAGGACGACTGTATAGACGTATGGATTGGTCCCTGCGCTGATAACAAAAGTTTAGCAGATATAGAGCGATACGAGGTTGGGATCCGAGATATTTTCTGTGCAACATACATAGTGTACAGGGTGGTCCCAAAAAGTATTCTTTGTTTTGCAGCGGTCTGAGGGATTTTTATTTCGGGGGAGGGGGGGGGGGGCTTTAATTTCTTTTCGAATGATGTTGCGTGGTCACACTCGGAATCTGTAGGTGTGCTTCTCGAACTTTTTATGGGCCTTCTAGCAAAAGAAGGCCGTAGAGGCAGTCAAGTCCTTGAGCAAAGATTTTTACAAAGCTAACTAGAATTTTCGAATTCTCAAAATTTACCTACAAGTAAGAACGAGTCTCCTACACATTTTTGTAATTCATTCATGGTTTAGTTCTCTGAAGTATTATGTCTGAAGCATGGTTCACCCAAGATTTTGGGCTGTAGTTTGTATGGTAACTTTCAGCACCTCCTGCGGATTGGGTACTATTCATGTGCACAAAATTTACTGGATTTTGGGCGGAATTGCCGAAGACTTTTTTGCCTTGCTCGTAGAATCTACAATAAAGCTATTAAGATCAAATAATGTGCAAATTTTCGTCATTTGAAGTTGCTGAAAAGATCACAGTTCGCAGATAATTTTGGAATGAAAACTAATAACAAACATTGCAATTTGAAATTTTTTTTAGAAGGGGGCGGGGGGAGAAGCGGCAGAAATTTTCAGGAAAATCTAAACCACGTCTTGCGAAAGTTTTTGGGAGCTGATTCTTCGCCAAGTCTTTTTACACATTTTCTATATTGTATTATATATCTTGTAGAATTTGGTATATTATTTCAATTGTTCTTACAACGCGTTGTCCGCCTAATTTTCACAGCAATGATTCTAAAAATGGCGAACCGTTCCCCCCCCCCTCCCCCCCTCCCCCCCAACTTCTCATCACCCTCAGCCACTGCTAGGCACTTTTCATTAAAATTTATATGTTACCAAAGTTTGATAATAAAAATTGTTTGCTTGGTCTGTCTGCTAATTGGAACTTATGGGAGCGAGAAATTGTTTGTAGGTAGTCGACTACGAAGTTACGGAAAAAGGCTACGACATCGAGATTAAATCATGGAAGAAATTTCTTGTCGAAAACTGGAGAGGATAACGAGTTCACATCAATATCGTATTTTTTATCTATGATTTACTTAGAACATGCTGTGAATGTTTTTAAATGCTCAGGTCGTTACTGATAAACTATTTATTTCAAACGAGTACAATATTTCTACAAAATTATGTTTGTAGTGTATAAAATCGACGTTACATTCTAATTAGTGTTATTAAGGGGGTTTTTCGCACGCTTCTGCTAAATGTGCCATCTCTTCGTGAAACTTTTTCGTGCATGTGCACCACTCCAGCAGATCTGCTACATGCGATTCTTTGTGCTGTGGCACTTGATCGAGTAGGGTCGTTAACTGGATAGGAGATTGTTTCTTTTTCGCACCCTTACTATTTTAGCTCTTTTACCTCTCTTAGTTTGATCTGGAAAGCCGTTACAGCTTCTTGGTACAGCTTGTTTTTGTAAGCTATTAGTTGAGGTTCTTTTGCACCTTTTAACTCCGATTTCGCAAAATCCATCTCCCTTCGAAGCTTCTCCAACTCTAAAGAAAAGCTGAAGTTATGGTATACGCAACGGTCAAAATTGTTTGCATGGCGGCGCGGCCTTGCTGCCTCCGAGTAGCAGAAGATTACGTGAAGAGCAGAGACGCGGACATGTGGAACCGCTCCGCAAGCATTGGGTGCAGCATACAACTCACCATTTCGACGCATGGCTATTACCCAGTAGTGATACTGTATGAATGTCCGAATATTATGTAATGACCTTCTTCCCCGCCGAATATATTCTCGTTTCTCATTGCCTAACTTCATGTAGAGATCAATTAGTTTTTTTTGATTCTAAAGGAGTGGATTTGAATTAGAATAGAACATCAAGGGGATGTTCTACCGTATAATCATTGAAATCTGTTTTTGATTCCAAGTATTTAGCAACCATCTCGTGTTCTTCTTCGTTTGCTGGTGGTGCCATCTCCATTTTATGGTCCTGAAGAGTTGAAGTTTTCTATGCGCCGTAAAGTATGACGTGTAAGGAGGTAATCGCATGCAAAGACGAGATTCATTGCACCCATCGAGATAGTTCCTGCTTGAAGGAGAGAGCACACAGCAAGATGGGCGAAAGAGCGCATAGATAAGAGAGACGCCGACAATGTTCGCAGTGGCGCTCCGTCTCTGCGTGTGATAACTCGTTTATACTCACTTCTTTACGATATGAGGGGTTTTCCTGTATGGTTCCACATACAGCTTCAGCAAGGGTATCAAGGCAAATCTGGAATCACGCGATTCTGCGCTAAGCAGCAAGTGTGAAGTTCTATGCTATACCTTGTATTTATCAAGATGCGCTAACGAATCTTTGAATGCTTTTGAAACCTCGGTTTTTTCCGTCATTCCTATGGTTTCTTTTATTCGGAAGAAAAAACGCTTCACATTCTGCACCCTTTTCGACCCCATCTGAAATATAAACGCTTTGAGATATCACTTGCCCAATAGCGCAGATAAGATGTACCGGTTGTACAATGCCTTTGCCGGTAGCGCCATAGCCTAACACACCGTAGTCCTTCCTAAAATTGTTACCCTGAATCGCTAACTTAGGGCAGTGTCATTTTTACGTGAGAATCTAGCTTTCTTACGATTGGGTTTAGAAGTTATTAAATTCAAAGCAGAAACGTAATTATCACCTTGTTTGATACATTCGTTTAGCCAAAAAACTATTTCACCTGTAAGGCCTCGGGCTAGTTTACGCGATTTCATCGTCGCGATTCATCGCTACCGAACAAGTGTTACGAGTTCATTGCATGCCGATCTCCTTGTATTTCGGTTGTGATAGTTAGTCACGATTAGTCGTGTTGGAGTTCTATCACAACCGAAATGCAAAAAAATCGGCATGATGATATTGTTACGGTTGTCTTGTCGCGATCAATCGCGATGATCAAATCGCGTAAATTCTGCCCGAGGCCTAAGGAATAAACTATTGCTCACATGTCAGGCGTGGTAGAGGAGACTGTTCTCAGAAGTGATTTAGATCTTAGAGTCTTGTCGACCTCCTGAAATATTGGCAGCTAGAGGCTGATCCATGGCGAAGGCTGTTGGTTTATTTTGCAAGCGGGTGCGAGCGCGGCGTTCGAGCATCTTTCATCATTAGAGCTTGTACCCCGCGCGCCACGCTTTTGTGGCCAGCCGCCTTCGCCTTTGACTAGTCTTTAGTCTTTTTTGCATGCTTTAGACTGCAATTGCTTGAAATGAAGAAGACTCAGAAGTTTGCAGCTACTTGATTCTTTCTTACAATGTTTCGGTGCTATTGTCCATCATTTGCTGCTCGCAGCTAGTCTTGTCTTTATCACTCGCTATTATTGCCTCAATTACAGATGATTTTTGTCGTGTCACCAAAATCTCGCACAGTCGTGATTGGAATTGTATGCATATGTACCCTTTGATTCAAGTGGCTTGACGGCTGGAAGGCGGTACTTCGTGACCTAGTTAGAGCTAAATAATGATCGGAGAGCACGCGCGCGAGAGAGACGCAGATTGCGTAGCGAGCGTGAGCGGCCTTAACTAGGCCACATTGCCCCGCCTTCCAGCCGCTAAACCAGTTGAATCAACGGTTATATTATGCGCAGTTGCCGTATAGGCTGCTGCATGACGAAGGCGCAATATCTTTGGGCGCGAACGCGGCATTGTTAGCCGCAGAGCGCATGAAGTGCGGGATCTACAGCGGTGAGGATATGCGCGCGTCGCGTTCGCGCACGCTCAACTAATATCGCCATTGCGCCTTTGTCATGCAGCAGCCTTTATTTATTTTGATATTTTATTCGTTTATAAAGTTTTTAAGTATGTTGTTCTTCCCCGCAACAAAATCTCAACTAAGCAATGTCCTGCTTGGTACATAGAAACCATAGAGTAAGTATCCCGAACTTAGATGCGGTCGTGTCCACTTATACGTGCAAATTACATTCAATTATAGGAAACCTGTTCTGGGTTTCGGTGGCTTTGAGGAATGTGAGGGAAATATTTGTAGAAGGCATGATTGAACTTGCTTGGGAATCATGATCAAGCCGAGTCACCATTACGCGAAGTAGTACGAAAAGCATATTGAGACACCTTTTCGCAGATTCTTTGTGCCACCACGAAGGTAACATTAACTAGTGACGCCGGATGGGATCAAGACCGATAGGGCGTTGCTTCAGTTGATTTAAAAAACGACATGTCTGATGTGAAACGACTTGCGAGACTGACGTTATGCTCTGTACGCTCACGCCAGAAGAGTCTCCACCGACAACAACCCCCAAGGTTTCTCTTATTTAGAGGATGCCTTGACGAAAAGAGATCGCTTGGCAGAGACGAAGGCCAAGGAGAAAGGCATATGTTAGCAGAAAAATGGGGATCTTATCGTTTGTGGTGAGGACGTTCCCTCACGAAACATTAGAGGTGTCATGTCGATCACATCATCCACTTTGTTAATCCTTTAAAATTCGTCCCATGTTTACCGTTTAGGATTCTGTCGTATCGACTGACCATCCTCCGCTTCTTTTACATTTAGAGGCCACCAGCATGGTCCATCGCTATCCTCAAAATCTGCTACGAATGAAGTAAATGGTTGCTTTCAACGAGAATCTGGAGATTGTCCGTAACGGAAGCTCACTCCATATTTTTTTGAGCAACTTCGACGCAAAAGTCACGATGCTAAGGAGGGGGACTATGGAGCCGAAGTTTTGCGTACGAGCTCTGGCGCCAACATCCACGCTTCGTAAAACTCATTTCGGCCACGCCTTTTTTCATAAAATACCATCTTTATGAAAAGAGACGCCGAAGGGCATAGGCCAACTCTCCCTCCAAGCGAAGGTACGCTTTCAACTGCGAGGAAGGGGAAGTATGCCATCACATGCTAGAAGATATGCGCTGTAAAACCACAAACAGTAGAATGGCATCTGTGCTAACTGGGGTAGAAGGGGTCTGACGAAGGATTACGAGTTGCTCAAGGGGAGGTTACGAAATGCTCAAGGGGAGGGAGTTCTGTTGCATAATAGGGTAGACGGGATACGACGAGGACCACGAGTCGCTCAGAGGTATTGAAACCCTGTGGTGAAGGAACTGCGGCGTTTTGGGACCATCATTTGCATAACAAAGACACGTACGAAACCTAATTTTATGCGTAAGCACTCGAAGAATTTGAACGAACCACGTTCGGATGGTTTCGCTTTGGAGAAGTCCATTGAGACTACTGCTCCTCTTTGTTTTAACATTAGAGAACTTTCCAAGGACTGTTTAACAACGCTACAGTTAGTCAATTGCAACCTTACCATTCTAAATCGAAGAATGCTAAGACGCTATTTCGCTGTTGAAGTCACTCTAGGAGAGCCACAGACACTCGATTGTCTCGCGGATGACATCAGTTAGCAGTATCAGCGTGGCAGAGACGATGCTGAGAGGTCGACCAACTGGCGGGAAGCGATAGGACGGTCAGCCAAAAAAGCCTTAGTTCAAATCCTGCATTAACGGGTACATTTTCATATCCCGGACATTTTCAATACGAAGGACTCCCGGAGAAAGTAGGCCGGTTACGAAATGTAGCCTGAGCTTCCTCTAAACTTCAAAAAGCTACCGACTAATTGACTGATCTCGTGCTTCGAGCTTAGCCGTTCAATTTGAGGGTGAAATGGCGTAAATGTGACAGTCACTTAAAAGAACTTAGGACGGTCACAGTATCAAGAAAGATATCTCCCAATGTATTACAATCGACGCACATGATTTTAAATAGTTGTAATTCGAACAGGAGACCAGCATTCCATCCTTGTGACCTAGCTAGTATATCTAGGAAGCAAACCGATGGTGTAGATTGCAAATCCTAAAGTAGATCGCTCTGAACCAAAACTTCTTTAAAAAGAGAGCCCCAGCAAAATGGCCACACGACAATAGTGACATTTTCAGTTCAAAAGACCTTTAAATGATTTCTCGGAGTGAAGATAGGTCGTTTTGCATGACAAAAAGCTTTCAGCACATTTCCTCACACGACCGCAAAACAAAACACGCTGTAGCTGCTTTGTCCAAGTAGCTTCAGGGAAGAAGGGAGATTTGTCACGACAAGACGCCGGGACTATTAAAGCTATATGCCATTAAACAAGATGGATCTAAAAGCTACTGCATGACGAAGGCGCAATACTTTTGGGCTCGAACGCGGCTTCAATAGGCGCAGCATTCACAACGGTGAAGATTCGCGCGCGCCGAGTTCGCGCCCTCTCAACTATTATTGCTATTGCGCCTTCGTCATGCAGTAGCCTTCACATCTTCACACAAATTCCCCTGCATTTCATGATGAACACGATCAATTTCAGCGAGCCAGAAATGGCAATGAAACGCTCTCGCCTAGCTGATTAGGTGAATGAATCACAATATCATTAACGTCTTGAAGAAATACTCACCAGCGATTTTTCTGGTGTTGCTTTTGGTTTATTCATCAGAGACTTCTCCGGAAGTCTCATTGTTTTCAATTCGTCTATTTCTACAGCTCTTTCTGCCACATCTCTCTGTTCATCCTTCTCCAATTTCTTTTGCGCTCTTTTCTCCCAATATGCTGATCCGGAGCGAGGTTTCTCCTTCTCGTCTGTATCGGTTTTTGAAGGCTCACTTGTCTGACCAGTCTTCTCTGCAGTGTTCGATGTTGTCGATGTTTTTTGAACCGCTTTTTCGGCACTGTCGGCTTTCTCTTCTGCACTTCCCACATTCTCTTCCTTTTCTGCTTTCGTTTTCTTTCTATCCCAAATTGAGGAGAGCATATGCTTGAAGCGACGAGCACCTTTCTCCTGTGATTTACTATCTGTGCCAGCGCTGTCTGCTTTTTCTGGGATCTTTTCATCAGACTCTATTTTTTCTGCGCTCTTTTTCTTCTTTATTCGCAAGGACGTAAGCATACCTAAAAAACCATGGGCTCGACGTTTTTCACCCTCTGTACTAGTTCCCGGTGCTTCAGCTGGTGGGTTCGCTTTTTCCGCTGATGTGCTCTTTTGAACACTTTCTCCACTCTTGCTCTTGTCCTTCTTTCCTTTCTTCTTCTCTGCGGAGTGTTCAACTTTTTCGGCGCTTTTTCTTTTCCTTCGAATCTTTTCTTTTGACATCGTATCACAACGTCAGATTTGAGTACTGTAATCAGACTGTTAACATCTGCCACAACCAATCTTGGAAGAAGCTGCTTACAACGAGTAGTCTGAGTAAAAATGGAATACTCACTCCGGTGATTCGCTTATATCTGGTGTTTTATCAAGCAAACATGAAGATACGAATTTTTTTGGTTGCACTTGCGAACTATTCTCCAGAAACTTTCGTAAGGTGCTGTCTTCGTTGTCATCATAGTGCAACGCATTACAAGTTGAAATTGACTTCATCTGTTTATCCATTTGCGAAATTCTCTAGTTACCCTCTCTTGCCTGTCGCTTTTATGAGCGTTTTTGAGTTGGATAAGAATATGTTTATAGGAGCGAGAGGTAGCGAGAGCTTGCGAGCGCTATCACCGTGATATGTGTGCGCAATTGTATTTCTTCTTGAGATCTCTAAACTCAAGCAACTTTGCAGAGAAGATGAAGAAGCAAGTCATCATTCTTTATGCCACCACTTGTTTTATAAAATCATGGGTGAAAATTGAAAAACTAAAACTATAACTGCTGGTGATCACAGAGCTAATCGTATGATTGTTTCAAAAGCTCTTTTGAGTAAAAATTTGACAAAACTCTGCAATCATTTTATAAAGGCTTCAGTATACGTGCCACGTTTTCAGATCACTGAACCTCTTCAAACTCATGGCTTATAATAGCAAGTCAAACGATGTTTACGTTTGCGTGTGAGTCTGTCTATATCTCTCTGTCTATCACAAAATTCATAGATCAAATTCCAGCAAAGCTCTTGCGCTAGAACTTTGGACATAGCTATCAGCATGTTGGTCCACTTACAAAAGCACATGCAAATTCAATGGAAACCTTTGAAAACCATGCGCTAATTGGCTCCATGATGCTTTTAGCTCACAAAGTTAGGTCTTTATCTAGACTTTTTGCGAGATTGTGGATGTGCTTGGCATGTGTATTTGCAAGTCGTTGAATTCAATAAAAAAAAAACAGCCTTTTTTCGTGAGAATGGCGCCAAGAAAAAATGATTGCATAAATGGTCGATTTATAAAGGTTTTAAATAAATTTGAACTTTCCGCTTGGAGATATAGCCCATATGATCGTTTGTATTGCAGTCAGCCATAATGGATGTAGTAGCCAATTCAAATTCGCAATTACTCTTTGGCACAAAGGTTTCCTCCTCCTTAAATTACCGATTTTGCATGGAATTGCAGAGCGAGGAGGGTGATAGTAGAACCCAGCGCACACCTCTGCGAAGCAGGGTGGCATAGCAAAACCTCGTGTTCAGTCTTCTAAAAAGGAGCAAAGTGCAAAAAGTCAACAACGCGTTTTTTTCTGTAGTCGCCTACACTTGAAAATGTTCAGAAAAATCACAGTTTCGTTGCATTCTCGGCTAGGTAGACTGCTGTAAAGTGGGGTCAAAGATTCACTCTTCAAAGACATTGGGGGACATTCAATACGCTGATCCCGAAAATCCACTTTTGAAAGCTTGAAAACGGCGAAAGTAAGCGTTTTTCAATGCCCTTCCCTTTGGAATTGGACGAGTGGAGCAGGGCCAATGACGCTATATCGTTGCAGGACCCAACAGTTACAGCGTTGCGGCGGGCGGCCTCCATTGGTGAGAAGGAAATTGCCAACTCCGGATGCGTGTAAGATTGAGAGCGATTTTCACGGCGGGGAAAGCATGCTGTGCAACCGGAATTGCACTGTTTTCATACTTGGGCGATATGGAACCTAACGCGTTAAAATCCCGACTTGTTGGATTTTGCCGATCCACTGCCTTCAAAGGCAGTGTCTCACCAAAATTTAGTTGTCGAGATTTTTGCATTTTGCATGCCTGTCGGACCCTGTCTAGCACTGTATGGGCTTAAAATCGCACGAAGTTCCCAAAAACCCCGTTTTCTGGAGGCCCCGTGGAAGCAACGTGGACGAGTTGTACCTTCCAACTTCAGCCTCATCCACAGTGGCAGCAACAGAGGGGAGGTGCTCAGACACTTTTTCCGACGGCCCGCGCGCTTTCATGAGCCTACCGTGCGAGCGGCGCGCCTAGATTTGTGGGCGTGGCATCATTTCCGACGGGCGGCGCGCCATCGAAAACTGCCGTGCGAGCGGCGCGCCTTGCCTTCGACGGGCGGCGCGCCATCTTGAGTGACCGGGCGAGCGGCGCGCCATAAACAAATATGTAAGAACAACGAACATGTAACTTGACAAGACGCGTAAGCATCATTTTGAATTCGTTGTTAGCCGTAGGAGGTTGCATTTGTTATCGTATCGTTGGTTGCTTGTCCGTTTTGCCGGCTAATCGTCTCCATTCTTTGTAAGTTTTTTCTGGTTCACATTTGTACAGTCATTGTCATCCAAGTGCTCCCTATTCCGTAGCATCTTAGCGTCCGTATTGCGTCCGCTATTCGGCTATCGGGGCCCCAAAAAATTTTTTGTCATGGATTTCGCTCAGAGTTGGCCCAGAGGGGTTATCTGACGTGTCGATTACGAATATCACCTTTCTCCGCAGGAAAACGCCTCCCTTAGGATTACGGTAGGTATACGGTAGGGGGTCAAAATCATAGATTTACCCGAAACTTGGTCCAGAGGATTTACTCGGCCCGCTGTGTTGCTAAATATCACATTGGTTTTGAAACCAGCGTCATTTTCTCGGATTACGGTAGTACACGGTAACAGGTGTAAAAAGTAGTTCTGCCTGAAAAGGATGTACGGCGATTCGGACGATCGTGAAGCTTTGCACACACGACCACCGCCGTGCGCTACCCACCCTGCTGCGGCTTTTGCCTAAGCAAAGCATAGGGGAAAGATACATTTGCCAATTTGTGGTCTTGACCCCCACCGTAACTATGCAGGGAGACGTTTTCGTGCGGAGTGATTTTTTGGTGCCATCATCAGAGTTGTTTGCTATGTTTTTTCTTGATATTACAATATTTTGAAAGAGAATTGGGCCGCGGTTAGTCTCAAGCGTAAATATGGAGGACCACAAACGTATGCGAAGCCTAGACCTGTTTTTCCACCATGTCTTACTGGGTATGTTTGTTATCTGGTTTTATTACCTCTAGTAGTTTCGTTTTCAGTAGAGAGAATGCTTTTATGGAAAATGTTGTCGAAGACGAAGGTGCTCCCTCAGATATCCAGATGGAATTAGAAGTTTCACAAGGTTCATAGCTTTTGCTTTTTTTCCTTTCTGTTATGTTTCCTAGACTGTTTTTTTTTCAGGTAACATGTACGAAAGACGCGAGTTTCATGTTGAAACTCATCTACGAGGAGTTCAGACTCTTCCGTTGCCTAGTTCACTTCATGAATGTGTTGAAAACGGAATCTTGCACATTGACAGTGATGTGGAACGCGTTGAGCCGTTGACAATTTATTAGAAAACACACAAGAGTTCCCCCTCTGCCTATCGGCGTAGATGCCGAGGGTTCACTAGGAATAACTAGAGAACAACGCACACAAATATATCAAAGCGCGGCGGGTACGCCGCAACCACAGAGACCATATCGACCTAGCCTATAGTGAGCGAGCAAGTTCTAATGTAAGGGACGGCTCTACAGACAGGGCAGCCCTTCTAATTTTGTCGAAGATGCATCGCCCAGAGTCTAACGAAACGGTCTACTACGTAAGTACGAGTACATTGATTTTGATAAAGACATACAAATTTTTTCTATGACTTTATCAGATCCGATATCGTACTACGCGCTAAAGTCACTTACGGCAGTTTGAATCGCATGGTAGGATCGGACATCCACTAGCTATGGTATATTGCTAATCGCATGACAGTACGGCTGCACATTTTGGGATGTCATATATTCCGGTTTTTTGCTCAATCAGGTCATTCTTACCGGTATCTAAAAGTGCTTTCTCATTATCAGCATGGCTGCTGTGCTTTAGTGTTTTCAACAGGGTGCTTAGCGTAAAAGGTATTGATGATATTATAGTTGTTGCTTGTTGTGTTCTGCTTTTGATTCTGTATTATGTCGTTCTGAAAGTCTTTGGATAATAAATCTGCCATCATTTAGTATACCTGTAAACATGTTTGGCAATAAATCTAACGCTATGAGGTCGTATTTTAATGATAAAATATGAATTTTATCAAAGGATTGCTATCTGTATCACAATAGGGTCCTACAACGCTTTCAAAGGAGCGGGCGAGCGGCGCGCCTTCAGCGAGCGAGCCGCGTACCTTTATTCCACGGGCGGCGGGAGGCATGAGCGCTCGCACGCTCAAGGCGCGCGGGCCGTCGGAAAAAGTGTCTGAGTGGATGCCAAGTGGAGGGACATGTTCAAACGCGTAAGGGGGGAGACCGAAGGAGTCGTCCGCGCGTACCAACTCGCTTTCCGCGTACCACTTTGAGCGAATTTTTTTCAGCGTGGAGGGGGTCAAATTGAGTGGAACTTGTTGCAATGGCCTGCTTAGACGTCCCTATCAAGACCTTATAATAACGGGCTAAGGGTTGTTTACGTGTTTTTGTGTGTGTGTCTGTGTGTCCGTCTGTTACGAAATTCGTAGAGCGTGTTCCAGCCAGTGTTCTATACCCAAATTTTGCATAGCGCATGCTCCCTTCATGAAAGTCTAAAATGCAAAAGCACGAGTAGATTCGTCGAGTGGATCCCTCAGAAATTGCGCGCCAAACGGATCCACCTGGCTTCTGTCTCGCAATATTGGGTCCGTATCACCACTTTTTTGCAAGTCGTGGGTGTGTTTGGTTAGCAAATATGCAAAGATGGACTTTAGCCCGAAATGCGGTCAAAAGTTTACTACATTACGAAAACGGCGCCAAAAAGAATTGGTTGCGTATATGTTCAATTTGCCAAGGTTCTAGCCAAGCATTTCAGAAGATTTTCGCACAGAGATGTAGCTCACGATTACTATTGCCTTTATGGCGATTACCAAGCCATGACAAATTCAAAAACCTATTCAAATTTGCGTTTGTCTTCCTGTGAAAAGTTTCATCCACGCGAAATCACCGATTTTACGTGAAAAAGCTTTTTAAATGAGTAGTTGTTTACATTTTATTCGTGGTAGTCGGCATAGCGCTGTGAGTTCCAGTGCCACAATTCTACGAGAATGAGTAAGGCACATAGATAGTAGGGCCAGTGCGAGCCTCTGCGAAGCAGAGGTGACGCACTGGTAATATAATATGTGAAGATCCGCGCGACCTCAACTTTGGTGAGACACTGCCTTTAAGGAGCGATTGCGAGGCCAGTCAGTCAAGTAACGCTAAAACGGAGATGTCTTCATTCGAACTTTTGCAGCTAATCGCTCTAAGGGTGTAATCCGAATCCGTGATCTGATTCAGCAAGTATATATTGGAACATTTGGGAGTGTTACAGTGCTCACAAGTCTTGAAAAATCTAAGCTCGATTACCTGTAATTCAACATTAAACCCAAGGGGTTCCGCTGCCCAAAGGGTTCGCATGCTGTGAGTTTGTGAACCCAGTGAAGATCGATATGCACAAGTGTCGCATGGATTCCCCAATGCATAGCTTTGTGAATACCAATGTTGTGGGTCAAGCTTATTCAGTGGGTTCCGAAACCCACTGGATTATACGGCCACTGAGCTAATTTTTTCTATCTTCCCAAGAAACATAAATTATGCTTGTGCTCGATACGATCTTGTAGGTCTTGCTTTCTTCTGTTCATCTTTTTGCCATATGTTTCATTTAGTACTCACTTCAAAGCAAAACTTGGTCCAAATGTGATGTCCGAACCTTCTTACCAAAATAGTGGTCCATGAAGAGGAGACATTGAGGATGTGATAGTTGTTGAACGCAATTTTGGAAGTTTTGTATCTTGTCTGATAAAATTTTGGAGCACATGCTAGCGTAGGAAAAAGGTGAGTACTTCGCTTTGAGAGGGAAATGGATTTTTCAAACTGGAAAAAAATTAATCGGTTTTGCAGTTGGCGCTCCTAGATAATGAAAAGTCATGAAAAGAAGAAAACGAAGTGAAGCAGCCACTCACAGCTAATGCAAGCATTGTTGTCTCTTAGCTAATTTTATTGCACTACCCCTTACCTCTAATTCTGTTTCAGTACGACTTTCCTCCTTTTCCCTTTAGATTAGTTCGAACCCACGCCTGACCTCGATTTGACTGTATGTTAGGTGCCATTTGTCTGCCCTGTATGCAACAAGCTGCTAATCTTACTATGATATCTTTTGGTAACTGCCAAAGCGATGCGACGAGGGTACTCTCCTCCCCCATATGCTTTACCGTTGTGCTATGTGTTCTCTTGCAGTGTTAACAGCAGATTCGCGACAACAAGGGCAGTCCAGATTATGCGGCGACGAAATATAACTGCGTTACATGAACTAACAAGCATGTGCAGAGGAACGACGAGGGAGTACTGGGGAGCGCATGCACTCAAGGATGATCCATATAGCTTGCATAACAGCGACGTAGAGTTGACGGCGTTCGTAGTTAGTTTCCAGACTGTATGCACTTTAAGTGCAAATTATAGAGCTTGCTCCGCATCGAAAGTGCAAAAATGAGCAACAATTGTCAAAGATCACCGTCACCTCCCCATTCATAAACAAGCAAAAAAGGAACCAAGTGCGTGCCATGAACAGAGCTCAAACAACAACGAAATATTGATCCCAGACTACCGAAACAGTGCAAATGTCTGACCTCCAGTTGCTATCATAATTTGAAAAACTGTCGCCCATTTTGCTTTCTATCCTGCCTAACTCCTTACAATCATTAGCTCTCGAAAAGGAGATTATGATTCTGTACAATATGAAGGTTAGGAAAATAAGATAATATAGCCTATCAATTTTACGGGGATTCGCTTAAACCTCACTTTTGAATGCTTGTACTTTTTGAAAATATTGCTTTTGCCTCTGGAAATAGAAAAAACAGGGGGAGCTACGTCCCGTTGGAAGAAAAGAATCAGTCGATTCATGCGGTAATACATCTTTCTAAATTTCTAGCAACGTTTTGTTAAATTTCTAGGTTTAAATGCTGAATCTCGCAAAAACCTGTTACATGCTTACTTTCGGATGCTTTTACATTGTGAAAACATTGTGTTTGCCTCTAAAAGCAAATGAGCAGAGGGAGCTCGGTCTGCTGGAAGGAAAGACGCAACAAATCGACTCGAAAACACATCTCTTCTAACTAGATTTTAATGTGAAAATTCACAGAAACTTGCTGCATTTGTTTTTGGCGGCCTCTACTTTGTGAAAACCGTACTTTTGCCAATAAGAACAACACAGCAGAGGGAGCTTGTCTTAATGGAAGAAAGCACTCAGTGTTCATGCGACAGGATAATTTTGATATGATTCTCTAGGTTTCAGTGCTGAATCTCACAAGAAAGGCTTGAAATTCACTTTGGGCGCTTTTATCTTGCGAAAACCGTACTTTTGCTGTAAAAAGCAAAAGTCTCGAAGAAAGGAAAGCTTCAAGGACTTTATGCGGCAGCGCATTTAGGCTAAGGATTTCTAAGGATTTCTCAGTTTCAATGCTAAATCATGCAAAAGCTCGCTTGAAATCCACTTGACTGCTTCTACTTCGCAGAAAGCCTACTTCTGCTTCTAAAAGCAGAGGAAGCACGGCATTAGTCTTTGGGAAAGGAATACCCAAAAGCTTTATGCGACAGGACATTTTTGCTATGATTGTCCAAGAAAAAGCCTAGAGCGAACTTTGGTCTCTTTTTGAGAAATGACCGTTTCTTGGCGAGACACATAATAAGGAGAGTATAGGACTGTGCATGATCGCGAAGCTCGATGTGTTAGTGGCCGTTGCACAATTCCTGAGTGTCAGCCTGAGTCTTGGATTGAATAGGCTGTTCTACATAGATGACTGCTGAGGTGATCATGTTTAGGAGCTGTGGTGTCTGGGTAGGGTACTTGCAAGAAAAACAGCGTAGATGATTTGAGAGTTACTGTAAAAAGTTTCCTGAGAGCATAATCTTACTTCTACTACTACGTACGTTGCGCCGGAGATCGTTGGGGAAATGGAAATGGTCTTGAAATGAGACCTTGAAATGACCCTGATTTTGCTTCTATTACTACTTGCATTGCGTAAAAGATCGTTGAAAAAATGGGAATTCATTCTCTTGCTATTTTTAGTTGCATACAGATAGTTATCAATGTATCTGCCCCAACCCACTTGCTAGCGACCCGTAGGGTCGCTACTGCCGTAGGACATTTTTGTTAAGAATTCCTTGTTT